CAAAAACGCACCAGAGAAGGGACAGCCCCAAGAGACAAGAGCCAGTTTAAAAGCGACTTCTCGACGTCGATGGCGGTTGCAGCAGAACTTCCACTGGTGGAGACGCTGACCTGTCGCTCCGGTGAAGTAGAACTTAGTCGAGTCGTGACGGAGGACGAGTCGCTGACTGTGACAGGCGAGCCTGCCTCAACAAAGGGCGCTCCAGAAGAGGATTGATCGATGGGATAACCGCCGTAGAAAAGGTCGATGAGATTGACCTCTTGTTTGACGCCAACTACATGATCGTGCGCAAAGTCGAAGTGTTGTCCTCCGCAAGTGGAGCAAGGTCGGTCTCTGGTAATGACAACGCCGTCAGGGCGTCGGTACTTGAGTTTGCCGTTTTCATTGAAGAGGTTGGCAGGGTTGAAAGTAGCTTTGAGAGACTCTCGCTGACGCTGAACAAGAGAAGGCGAGTCGCGAGTCTTGGTGGGAGAGACCGAGACGTCGACGCTTCTAGTGGACGGAGCTGAGACCGTCACTTCTTGTGTTGGATTCATCGTTGGTGTGACCCTGAGAGATCGATTCTTTGGATCCTGAGCACGCCACGCATGTTCGAACATCTGAAGCTCATCCATCATAGTGGTAGCTCGTAGAGGCTTCGTGATGTGAGCGCGAATCATAGGCTTGAAGTCGTCAGGCAGTCCGAGCCAAACGTCTGTGAGGAACGAATCAATTTCTCTGTCGGAGTACACGGCGCTCATGCGGCGTGTCTTGTCTAGGAAGTATCCCAAAGACGGTTCGTCGCGGTATTGCCAGGCACGCATGTGGGCCTCCATCTGCTTTCTAGCAAAGTCTCCTCGGAAAGCTGTGCGTAAAGTCTTCACCCATCCTTCGAACGTAGAGAGATTGTCCATTCGGAAAGCAGTGCTTTGCATGTTGAGCCAGGAGTCTGCGTACCCTGTCATGCACTTAGGGAGGGCTTCCACAAGAGGCTCCCTCCAGGCGGGGTCTACCTTTTGGTTATAGAAACCTTGGACTCGACAGATCCACTGATCGAGATTCTCGGGCTTGCCGTCGAAAAGACCAATTTCCTTCGCCTTCCACTCAACTCGACGATTAGGTTGGTTGACGACCATGGTCGGAGCACTAGTGGTGATGGGTTCCAGAATCTCGCGGTCTGCCTGTGCGGGGGTGAAGCCCTTTGAGATCAGAAAACGTCTGCGACTTTGTTTCGCTTCGTCGGTGCCCTGCCACAGAAGGTTTGTGAGGTTACGGCGCTCAGCTGAGACATCCTGCGAGTTCATCTGCTCCTGAAAGAGTCTTCGAGTCTCTTGTCTCTGACTCTCGAGACGAGCTTCCATCTGATGCTCGAAGTATTGCTGAAGTTGCGCGAGTTGAGCCGCGGACATTGCTGGAAGAGGGGGATTTGGGGTGCCTTCTGCGTCGTCTCGACTTCCGCCGGAGGAAGGATGCTGTTGACTTGCCATCTGGGAAGCCTTGGATGCCTTACTCTTCCTTTCTTTGCGGAGTGGAGCCTCTGGGTTGAAGGTGCGCTCGATTTCGGGTGGTAGACCAACGACCCGTCTCGACTGTGGAACTAGGGCAGGCGCAACCTCGTCTAACTCAGCGGCCTGTGACGCCGAGGTACTTGATTCGTTAACCTCACGAGCAGGTTGAGAAGCTGGTGTAGTGGATTGCGTGGGACCTTTCCTCGTGGCCATAGACCAAGGAGGAAATGCGATGAGGATTGACTGGACGCGTATATGCAGGTGCACACCGTCCGCGGGGGAAAAGAGCTGGCAAAGGTGGTGGTGAAAGAGCAGTGGAGTGGGTAATCGATTGACTCAGCGTGCTAAAAACGTTGTTCAACGTTTCGAGCGTGAGAGAGACACAGTCGTGTCACCATGTGCTAAGCGTAGTATCAATTGGTGTGGAAGCAAACGGTAGCGCCAGCGAAGGCGATGGAAATCTACAAGGCTGAGAACGATCGGAACGGAAGACCAGCGATCAGCACACCCACGTAGTGACGGAGGTAGATCTCGAGGGTCTGATTTACCCGTTCGGTTTGGCCGTCAGTTTGCGGGTGGTAGGCGGTGGACAGCTTGACCTTGATACCTAGTTTCTCACATACGCTTTTCCACATCCTGGCTGCAAATTCCGGGCCCCTGTCTGGCACAATTTCCACGGGGCACCCGTAACGATAGGCCACTTCCCTTATGAATTCTGTGGCTAGGTCTTCCGCTGAGAAATTCTCTCGTACGGGCAGGAAAATGGCCATTTTCGAAAAGCGGTCTACGATGACGAGTATACTGGTGAACCCCTGCGAAGGCGGTAGTTGCGTGATTCGATCCATACTAATTGATTGCCATGGTCTTTGGGCTAGTTCGAGTGGTCTGAGGGGTACCCCCAGTGACCGGGAAGCTTTTACTCGCGCACACGACTCGCAAGAGGCTACGTAATCTTTGACGTCTTGGACGTCTCCTGGCCATGCGTAGTGTCTGTGGAGGATGGCGCGTGTTTGCGAGTTCCCCAGTGACCGGAATCCGGGGTGTCGTGATGTTGTCGCAGCGCTCGTGTCCGTAGGTCAGCTACATCCGGTACAAATAACTTTCCTTCAAACCACAGGACCTTGGGGTCCTTAGACTTGCTGGAGAACCCTCCGCAGTTGCGTAGGTCGCTCCATGCTTTGGCTTCCAGATCCCGCGAGGCTTGCTTGATATCTTTAGTAAGGTCATCCTCCTCCACAGTGTACCGCGTGTATTGGTTCATGACAATTAGAGGATTCGTTGGGTTTAGTGGAACCCCACTTCTCTCCTCCCCCATCACCACCTGGCGGTAATCGGGCCCGAAAAGGGTCCCTTGGACCCGTGCTTGTGGTCGAGCTTTTCTGTGGATTCCGATCTCATCGGCGATGTTTTGGGGTATGGAGGAGACCAAATGTAAAGTTTCCTCTTGGCGGTCAGCCCTGCGGGACAGTGCGTCGCAGCGCCCGTTTTCTTGACCAGAGCGGTACACAAGGGTGAACCGGAACTGAGCTAAGAATTGGGACCATCTAACCTGTCGTGGTGTCAGGATCTTTGTGGTCTGGAAATATTCCAGGTTTTTGTGATCCGTTTGGACCTCCAAGTTAAGACATCCCGTCAACAGGTGTCGCCAAGTGCGGAACGCCTCGATAATACTTAGCATTTCCTTGTCATGTACGTCGTAGTTGAACTCCGCGGGCGAGAAAGACCGGCTGAGGTATGCGATTGGGCGCAACTCCGATGGCTGGTCTTGAGAACGCTGTGAAAGGATCGCACCTATTGCAAAACCCGATGCATCCGTTTCGATAACGGAATCCAATGAAACATCCCAGTGTGACAAAATGGACGCGGTGGTGAAGGCCGTCTTCATGTCTTCAAAAGCTTGAAGTGCGTCCTGTGGGAGCTCAAACTTTTGGACATCTGACTTCAACCCTAGGCGTTCCTTTTCGGACTTTCGTAACAACCTGGTCAGGGGCTCCAATTTAACCGCAAAGGTTTTCAAATAATTCCGGCTGTAATTAGCGAACCCCAGAAACCGTTGAATGGTCTTGATCGAGTTTGGGGCCGGCCAATCCTTCACTGATTGTACTTTCGCTGGGTCAATGGCGATACCGGTTGTGGAGATGACGTGTCCCAGATAGGTGATCTCTTCCTTGTAGAATTTGCACTTCTTTGGCGACGCGTAGAGTCGATTGTCGAGTAATCTTTGCAAAACCTCATGGATCAGGCTCGTGTGCGACTCCCGGTCTTGTGAGTAGAGTACGATATCGTCTAGATACACCATGGCCTTCTGCGGCATCAAGTCTTGGAAGATAGAGTTTATCCACCTTTGGAAAGCCGGCGGGGCGTTGCTCAAACCGAAGGGCATGACTTTGTACTCGAAACTTCCCATTGTGGTGGTGAAGGCGGTCTTCCACTGGTCTTCCTTCCTGATCCGCATGAGGTGATATGCTCCACGTAAATCAATTTTCGAGAAAATCTTCCGATTTGCCAATGCATTTAGGATGTCCGAGATGAGGGGAAGTGCGTACTTGTCCTTCACCGTTACCGCATTTAGTCGTTTGTAATCGACTACGAATCTGAGCTCATCGGAATGTGGCTTGGGTACGAAAAAGGCCGGCGACCCGATGGGCGACCTAGTCGCTGTGATGAACCCCTTTTTCAACATATCATCAAGGTATTCACTCAAAGCTATTGCTTCGCGTCGTCCTGTTTGGTAGGCCCGAGGTCGGGGCATCCTTTGGACTGCATCCGGTACGAGGTCTATCCGTAGGTCCACTTGTTCACGGTGTGGGGGCAGCACGTCTGCTTTCTTTTTCGAGAAAACTGAGGCGTAACGACGGAATTCCTCGGGAATCCCACTGAGTTCCTCTTCCGTCACCGCTCGGTCTTCGTCTATTTCTTCGAAATCAGGGCTGCTACCCCACGGTGTGTCTTGGTCGTATGCCGCAGGAGCGTCGATGTTGGTCATGTTGCAGATCAACGCTTCGGCTGTCTTATCATATTTTCGGGGTAGCCCTAGGATAACCACTGCCCCGAAGGTCGTGAAGTGAAGTTTGTTTTGTCGAAGATCCAACAACGCTTCGTGACGAGACAACCAGTCTAATCCAAAAATAACGTCGAAGACCAAATCATCCAGGATCAGAAGCCGGTCCATGGACACCGCGTCTATGGTCGGATTTCTTAAGCGGATTTCGACCATAGCTTCGTGGGTAGAGGCGGAAGTCCTTCCCGACTTATTGGAGAAACCTGAAGCTACCATTGGTTTGTCCGACCGTCGGACATCGCTTCCTATGGGTACCTTGTTCCCCTTGATCCACGAGAGACTAGCGCCCGTATCTAGTAGAGCGTTGACGGGGTGACCATCGATGTCTATTTGAATAACTAAGAGAGTCGCCGATTGAGATTTCGTTACCAGGAGGGGTGAGAGCGCCGGAGTGTTTGGGGACGGGTCTAGGCGCGCGAGACTGTCCCTTTGTCGTTTCCCGTCACATACCCGGCATCATCGTCCGTTTGGTCCCCTTCCCCTTCTGAACCCCAATCTCCGGGGTTTACTTCGTCTTCCGAATCAGAGTAGTCTTTGTGGTCCGTCCCTTCGGAATGTAAGACATTAAGGTTACTGCGGCCCCGCTGGGGACATTCTCGTGCGAAGTGTTTACCCCCACACTCATAGCATCCGCTCCTGGGTTCCCCAGAGGGCTTCCTCTCACGTCGGTCATTCGCAAAGGCTACCGTCTTTTGTTCCTTTCGTACGGTTTGGGTTGGGACAGCTTTACGCTGATCTCCCGAGCGTGGGAATCTTTCACTCACGCGGTGCCCCCTCTCCTTTTCCGTTTCGCGGGCAGACGGTTGTCGAGCGCGTTCTTCTCTTCGTTCCTGTTCTCGTTCTCGGAATCGGAGGTCCTGTTTGAAACACTGGGTTTGTAGCCTTTGGAGAGTGCTAATGTCTTCCGTATGGGTATGTAGTACGTCCTTCATTTCTGAGGTTAGTCCAGCGTAATAAAGATCACGCAGGCTTTCTCCTTCATACCCCGTCAGGTGGGAAAGTCGGTTAAACGCAATTGTGTATGCGTGGATTGTACGATTCTTCCCTTCTTGTCGGAGGCTGCGAAGTTCCCGTTTGGCTCTTTCCTTTTCAGCTGGATCTCCAAAGACCGCGATGAGCTCTTCTTTGAACAGTTCCCACGAGGTAGTACACTTTGCGGGCGGTACAAGCTCTTCCTGGGATACGGCCCAGTCTGCTGCCATATCCTTTAAAAAGGACATGGCGGTGAGCACTTTTAGCTTTTCCCCATTAGCTGCGGGATCCTGGTAACGCCCCGGCTCTGCGATGAAGAGGTGTTCTAGTGCTCGGATGAAGCCTTTAAGTTCTCGAGGGTTTTCTCCGTCGAAAACATCAGGTTCTTTTACATACACCTTTCCTCGTGGTGCTGAGTAGAAACGATCACTGGAATTGTTTCCTTCTGACGGTTCCCGAGGTTCGGGAACCAGGTTGGCAAATCCTTCTGACTCCTGGCGGGCTTGAGGAGTCCAGGCCCGTGGAATACGGGTTGTTGGGGGTGGTTCCTGTCCGGTTTCCCTTACGGATCCGAAGCCCTGGGTTCGGGAATCCGGGAGTAATCCCGCTTGTTGAAGTCTCTCTTTGCGGGTGGGCGCAGGCCTCTCTACCTCCCAATAAGGAACACGTTCCTGCTGTCTAGGTCGACTGGTCGGGGTAGTTCGTGGCGCGGGTTGTTGACTCGTGTCAATGTTACCCATGCGGGCACTAATTGCCGCTACGGAACTCGCGATGGACAACATCGTTTGTTCCAATCCTTGAAATTTTGCCGAGATACCCGTGACCTCCCTTGCTAGGGAGTCGACTTGATCCTCGAGGGTCGCGGTAGGGGATTCTTCTGAATCTTCTCTGTCTCCCATCAAGATGTTTAGCAAGCTCGTGGCTGGCGCGTTGGGGGGGTCAGACGCGTCAGGCGCGTCGCCCTCTTCCCCCCTTTCCTCGGGTATGGGGGAAGGGCCCTCTTGGGAGGTCCTTTGTAGCGCGAAGTGAGGCGGTTCTCCCCTCACGTCCCTGTTGGATCTCGTCTTGACAGATCTGGGGGTACTCATGATTACCTAGAAAACCGGTCCGGGGGAAACGCCAGTTATACTGTTAAGTCTTGGCAGTCTCGTGGAGTGAGGTCGACTCTAGTTGATTCCTCTCGGAACGGAAGTGTAGGTTTTTAGGGTTTTGGTTGGTGCACTGGTTATCTGTAGTCGGACTCCTTCGATACGCTAAGGTATGAGAGTGTAACTAAATATAATAACTGGCAAGGGAACCAAAAGGTGCCTCGCACACAGAAACAAACATGGAACTCTTATACATGAACAACCCCGCACTGCGCAGAACCCGTCCCCCTATATTGCGCGTCGCGTCTGTGGCGCGCGTCGTGCCTGTAGTTGTGCCAGAGAAACGTCGACGCACGAGGCAGGGCGTTGTTTACACAACATATGTGAGGTGGGAGTGCTCGTCCGCGACCACGGCCTCGGCGCATCCGGGGGGGAAAAGAGTAAGGGGAAGAGAGTGGGTTTGAGTACGGCTTGCGATGCTGTTAACGTCAATGGGGTTAGACGTGAACAGCTATGGAAAGACGTGAGGTCTTGTCACCATGTGCAAGATGTGAGTATCAATTAGTGGGGAAACGAGCCAAAAGGGTACAGGCCATGGCGCAGAAATGACAAGGGTGGAGGATCGGAACGGAAAGAGCCACGTCAGCACAGCAAGAGGCACACCAACGTCGACTCCCTATCCCGGCTCAAGTTTTCCACCGTCACCACCAAACCCAATTCAGCCACGTGACACCCCACTCCGCGACGCGCCCGCAAGGATTGACGCGTCGTATTGCCACCTTACATTGCCCTGCCTTCCTTCTTCTCCCTCTCGCCGGCTCTCCCACAGGTCGCTACAGACGAGAAAGAATGGGTGGGGGGGGGGGGAAGGAAAGTGCTCGCTGGCTCTCTTCCGTTCCGATTTCCCTTTAGGCATTTCATCCATTGCCGCCCTGTACTAGCGCTTTCCTTCCTTTTCCTCATACAATCGATACTACCTTTAGCACATCGTGTACTGCACCGACTGGCTCACTATCCTTGGGCGGCTAGAATTCGGTATTTGACCCGCAATTCTCAACACCTCTGTGGTCCTCATACACTTCTCCTACCTTCCCACGATGACGCTGATACGACCAATCGGAAGACGTTCCATCTACATGCTCGCAAGGCACTCAAATACTCTATGGGTAACAAATTGGGTCCTATTATTTGGCCTTCGTCTACATCGTCTTGACGTTCCTCTTCTTGTTCTTCCCCACCTCCGTCCCATTGACATCATCGGAAGATACAAACTGGACTGTGGCAGATTCTAGGCACTCACCTTCTTGGCCGGACTGAACTGGATCTTCTTCGCTCGTCACGCAGCACAAGTGCTCGATGAGATTCGCAACAAGCTTGGGCTGGACTTTGGCGAGTATCGCGCCGAACAAGTTGAGACTCGCGCAAATGGAATCTACGATAGTCGCGTGGTTAAGTCTTTCCAGGTCACACATGCGCAGGTGAATTACCGCAAAAGTGGATCATATGGCCTGGAACCATCTACCCTTTTCCACCCGCCTCCAACCGACGAGAATCAGGCAGCAGGCACGATGAGCTCGGCAATCAAGGCCATATCGATTTTCGACCCGCGTTCTTTTCTATTGCTCTTTCCCGCTGAACATGGCGATGACAGTGAAAAAACAGAAGAAGCATGGCATTGAGACAATGAGAAAACCCACGTCTGTCTCGGACAAGCTCATGCAAGTGCTCTTGCGGCCGCCTGTTTTAGGTCGATCCCCATCGTCTTGTTGGCAAAAGTCTGAACGAAGGAGACAAAGAGCTGACGTGCTTGGCCATCCATAGCCCAAGAGGCTTTCTTGCCAATCTTTGCTCCTGTCTCTAAGTAGGCACCGTTAAGCTTGTGACTAGGGTCAGAGCTGGCATCGAAGTCGGGAGAGGTGGCTGCGTATAATGTCGAAAGAGCTCCTTTCTGAGGATCGATCAGAAATCGTACAAGGAATTTGGAGAGAATCTTGCCCATCAGGCCAAGTTTGGGATCCAAATTGCTGTACAAGCCAGTTCGAACGTTGCCAGGGTTCAGAGAGAGATTGCTACAACAGTACGGAGTGAATGTCGAAGTGGAGTGTCAACAAGGTTTATGGGCGCATGCTATCTTGTGTCGACATAGGAATTTTCTGCATCGCTCTTAATACTTACACGATGTTCTCCCTACTCGTAAGTTCTGCCAGGTAGTCTGCAGTGAAGATGTTGGCCACCTTGGACTGCCCATACCGCTTCCAAGTACTTCCCTGATCTCTGTTGACTGCCTGGATGGACTCCCAGCTTTGTTTAGGGTAAGCCTCCCCGTATCTCTCATGGGCAGAGGAAGAGGTGTGAACGATTCGAACTCGATGTTGAGGATCCGATCTGGCTGTCTTGACCAAGACATCCAAAAGCGATAACGACAGCACAGCAGGTCCGACGGCGTTCGTGGCTGAATGGACAGGATGAGTGAGAGTGGCAGGAAGCTTAGTCAAGGCCACGCAGTCGGTGTACGGCCTCCTTTTCGATGTCTCACCCTGCTGAATTTCGAGACCTTGCTTGCTGAGGCCATACTCAACTGCCATGATCCCAGCATTGTTGACGAGAATGTGCAGCTGAGATTCGCGAGACTTGAAGGCAAGTGCAGCTGCCTGCACGCTGTCCAAGTCAGACAGATCGCAAAATTGGAAATGTACTAGGTGTTTCCAAGCGGAGGGCAGGTCTTTAAAGGCCTCATTGAATCGCTTCTGGCTCCTTGTGAAAACATAGACAATGCAGCCCTTCTTCATCAACTCGAGGGTAACGATGTAGCCGATGCCAGCGTTGCCGCCGGTCACAATGGCTCTCTTGCCGAACAAGTCCGGTATGTTGTTAGTAGAGAACATTCGATGAAGTAAGACAGGTGATAGAAATTTGACAGGAGGTCAGGAAGAGCTGAGGCTTGCTCCAAAAAAGTGACTTCTTGTATGGTCGAGGCAAAGGTCGACTCACTGTTGTGTACGTCGGGTTGGCCAAAAGCGCACGCGTACACTCACCGCTCCCGTTCCGCGTCATTGCCGCGCGTTCCGGGTGTTCCCCTCGCGTTCCGTGTGAGTTCCGCGTGAGATGCGCTGCGTTTCGTCCGAGTCCCTTACTCTGGACTCTACGCTCTGACCCCGGATGCCAGCTCAAGGCCGTCAGCGCCAGCAACCCAACGCCCGGGTGAGCTGTACCGCATGCCGCCGTCGCAAGCAGCGCTGCCAATTTTCTCGTCTCCCTCAATGTCCGCCTTGCGTCGGCGAGGTATTGCCGTCGGCGGAGAGCTGCCTCCAATGCATTCGCCTCGCCCGACCGTGTATCATCAATGACGTTGAGCGACTGCGTAGAGCACTACTCGATGAGCAATGCCCGGTGATCAGTGGGCCGGACCGGGTCATGGCAAGTCAGCGCTCGTCAACGTGGAGCGGTCTTGCATGCTCTCCAGCTGCCTCTTCTCCTCGTTGGACTGCGCTTAGGCCCATCGCCGAAGCACTGGCGGGCACCGCTCCGTTCCCTTCGCAGACTAAGACCATTGAGGATGCCGTATCATCCTCAACCCCTCTCACTATCTTATGTGCGCTTGTTTCATCGGTCGGACCTGTTAAGTCTGTTCTGGGCACCGAGGCTTACTCCTACACGACAAAGAGGCATCGCTGGTGAGTGATGATGGTAGGCTCCACACAAAATCACCAAAGTGACCCCGGCGAGCCTCTCTTCAGTTTGTCAGCCTCGTTGAACGCTTCTGGCTTGCGGTCGCTACTCTCGTGGTTTCCCATTGCCCAGGATCTCATGCCAGGACCACCACCTCCGCTGCACCCGCACGAGCGCCCAGACCTGTTACACCTGCTGATACGGTCCACCGATTCCAGCTCAGGGCCACACATGCATTTGAGTCATCACGTCTCGGCCTTGAGGGCGGGCCTGCTACATGCTCTCGCCCGTCAAATCATCACGGAGCGCGATACCCTAGCCATGGCAGTCATTGCTCACTTCTTACCGGAGCTTCTAGCCGATACTCTCTCTCCTATCACAATAGTCTCTGCGGCACTGCTCCGAGCCGTGCTCAGTTTCAGCCCGGTCTTTGATGCCGTCAAGATTTTCGTCTCCGGCTCTCCGGCAGTGGATGCTATGCTCACGACCTGGTTGTCAGCCTTGACGCAGGCCCTCTTCGTCGATCTATCTGACAACGAAGAGCTTCGGAACTCGGATCGTGCCGATCAAATCGGCCATTTGGCCAGAATCCGCCAGAGAATGCCCTCAGGTACAGGAGAAGAGGAGGGCTGCCGAAAAGCTCTGGCAAGGACAGAAAGGGTGGCACGAATTCATTCGCTGTGTCGGTCACATCTCCATGACCTGCATCAACAGCGAGACATCGAAGGCACGCGAGCTACCATAAACGCTGCAATTACAGAGCTTCGCCGCGAGCTTGCCATCATGCCTGTTGCGTCAGTGGTCAGAGACGACTCGGCGCAGCGCCAGTACGACTTCGAGACGGCCGAGCTTCGGCTTTTGTCAGTCATGCTGTGGCTTAAGGAAGTTTTGTTCACTGTGTGCGCTCTGACGACTTCCAACACCAGTCAGCAAGCGTTTTGGCGTCAGCTTGTGAGCCAGCCCAGTCTCATGCAGCTCTTGCATACACCGGGGGCTTACCTTGTTGAGGCCTCTGAGACGCTTTGTCTATACTTTTGCAACTTGCTGGAGCACCGGACTCCGGATAGTGGACCTCTTATACCGATGTCAAAGGTCATGTCAATTGTTGGCGCGGTCAAAGTACTGACAGAGCACACTGCTGTTAGCCAGGCCAACAAAGCGGCAACTCTGAGAACGAGTCTGCTGCTTCGTAACGTTGCATCGTCTATGATGCAGCTCTCTTTCAACGAAAGGGAACAATTGCTAGCCTTTGGCGGCGCACGCGAAGCTGGAGTATCCTCAAATTCGACCATTCAGGCTCTCGATCTGCCAGGTCTTTGCTCGATATTTGTCCTGGGCGTCGCAGAGCGCTGCAAACAGGCTTTTCCGCGCATACCCGCCGCTACATCAGCGGCAAATACGGGCCTTTCCTCCACAAACCCACATTGCCCGCCTGCTGCTAATCGTAGCAGGACAAGTGATGCAAGACTAGAGCTAGATCTGGAACAATTCATTGCCAGTCTATTTGCAGCGGCCGACGCAACAGTTGACGTCGGATGATAACCATGTACAACAACAGCATACAAGTCCGGGCATATCTTTCTTTGCACACCATCTGCCGGTGGCCCAATTCCTTGCTGTGCTCCCAGCGTTTTCCGAGAAGGACCTCGCTCTTATCGAAGGCGCGTGAGACATGCTTAAAAAGAGAGTGGGCTTCTGCTTCGCTGCTGCGGTGGCCTGCGCGGACGACGAGTGCGATTTGGCGCTCTTTGACCTTGCGCGGAGCACTCCTTCTGATACTTCCTTGTTGCGAATTGCTGCTGCCGTGAGCTGATCGTCAATTGCCTGCCCATACATCGCCTTAGCCAATCCGGGTAGTCCTCGTCTGCGCCTCCTACTGTCTCGCTGTAAAGCGAAGGAATTCCATTGCCTTCAACCTTCACCTTGTAGCCAAGAAGGACCAGTGTAATGCCAGCCTCGATCTCACTTGTCCAATCACGTTCGATGGCGAAGAAGTCGCCGACTGACTGCTCGGTTGTGATTTGGATCGACAGAGCTGACGAGTAGGCTGTCGGGCAAGCGGATCGATGAAGCGGGTCTAACATTAGCATTAGCCACTCTCTCAAGCGACGGTGCGAAGCTCAACTGCACATTTGGTAGATCTCTGCGGGTCTGTACGATGCCGCCTGTGCATGCGACGGTCATAGACCAGACTGTCTGTCAGTATGAGACTTGATGCTCTGTCCAGCACAAAAGACCTATTTTTCCAGTCTCTGCGCAGGAGATCACGGACCCTCAAATGATCGAGATCATTCTTTGCCATCTTCGCTGTCCTCGACCCGTTGAGCGTATTGTCATAGAAGTTTTCGTTGCTCCAATCAGACCTCTTGTACAGTCGAGAAGCAACAGAATGATCCGTCGGTGTTGTGATCCTGCTCTGAAGCCCGCCGCTGTCAATCGCAATGGCGGCGGATAAAGGTAGCTCGAGCAGCACGTGAGGCATGTGATGTTCGCCGCCGGGGAAGGCCTCAGCTCATCGAGCATCTGCCTTCCGACAAGTGTAGAGCAGCTGGCCACTCGATCAAAGACTCGAGGATTTCCATCGGTGAGGGACCTCGGTCCGTCTGATGGTCGAAGAGCCCCAGTCCTGTGGCGTTCTCCCATGCGGGTAGAGGCAAAGGGTGATCCACCAGTGCATTCCCTCTCACTTGAGGTACCGGCTCTTCATCGGGAAGCGGCAATCTCGATGATCAGGAGGTCCTGATGGCCCATGGTCATCTTGATGTTGCTCAAAGTCAATTGACGCGGGGCAGAGGAATAGTACTGCGTGGGTGAGTATACGACCGGCTGACTGGACTCGACCCTGCAGCGGGTTCACCTGGTTCTCTGGGCTGAGGTCGAGAGCATCAAAGGGCGTCTGCAGCAGCCCCATCGTCGGGCGGCTGGGATCAATCTGGCCAAGATGGTACGCGTAGCCGAACGCGGCGGTCAAGCTATCGAGATCTCCGGCCTCGTTGCCCACTATGGTCCAGATGCTGGCACGCCCTGCTTTGATATCGGATAGGAACGTTCCTCTACGCAGACGCACCATTTTGAAAAATGCCCCACTCCTTGCTCCAGCGTGGAGGGAGGGGGTACATCGTCTGGAGCAAGGATAAGCTGATGCGACGGCGCAGCTGAGACTGCAGCTGCGAAGCAGACGAGGAGGCGCCAGGCGCTAGATGTAAGCATGCCGGTATACAAGCGGTATCGTTGCGGCGAATGGCACAATCAATGAGTCAGGAGTCAGGACCCGGCAAGCCAAAGAAGGTTCCGAAGAGCTTTTGCCGCGCCAAGGCCAAGGAGGACACCGCCGTACGGACGCCTTGTTGTTCTTGGCACGGGGCATCCGCGCGAGGAAGCCGGTCCGCACCTCCACACGTAATTCAGGGCGCAGCGGATCCGAAATGCAGCTGGTAAATCTTCGGTCAGCAATGATCGTCAGGGCAGCAAGGAGAGTCGGAAGCATCTCGGTCATGGAGATAACTGTGAGCGTGTCTGGCCCGCCCGCGGAGAACATCTGAGGGTCTGAGCGACCGGGATTCACATAGATGAGGATAGTGCAGTCTCGAACTTATTGTGGTTGTAGGAGCTAAACACTCTTGCTTTGCTGGCGCGGAGGACAGGGAGGATGAAGAGCCGGCCCTTGCCGGAAAGGGTCCGGACAAGGATGAAATGCTCGGAGCTTGTACCGCCCCAACGACGTTGCTCCCTGGCGACCAATATACAGTACAGTACAGCACGGAGGACCATGTGGGACAGGATGCGTCTTCAGCTCTTGTCCTTCATTTCACTTGCTTGAATATTGCAAGAGCTGCTCCAGAGGTCCGTTGCAGCGTACTGTACATCTTAGCAAACATCGGGCGGTTGCTCGTCTTCAGGCCTTGCCTCCCAGCACGGTGCCGAAGTCTCAATGACATTTCACTGCATGAAGTACGAGTGCGGAAGTGTAAAGTGTCTCTCGTCACGCAAGAGCTCAACGTTGACGCGGCTGCTGGTATGAGGGTTCCATATGTGACATAGCTTGGTGTCGCCGATGTAGGAGCGTTTTCCGTTGCTCGGGAGTCAGATTGTAGACAGCTGCCAGCCTGAAAGGGACAAGCTAGGTACAAGGAGTGAGAACATTCTGCAGCACTTTCGAAGGCAAAGGCATGGGAGATTTGCCGCGGATTCATTCGAAGCCTGAGAGATGACCTCGAGCGTTGTGTTTTGACGGTAGAAGCTGCAGGAGAGGGACACTGACAGCGGTGTGATCAGATACTCTTGCAGCGCAAAGCGGCCGTTCCTGTTTCAGACTAAGTTTGCGCGATTCAGAGAGCGAAGCAGAAAGGGAGAGTTGTTTAAACGTATAGTCATCATGCCTTCGAGCTCGCCCAGAGCTGCCACCGTCAGCTCGTCTGGCCGCAATGTAAATGTGACTGGAAGGAACGAGTTTCACAGCACCTGTTTTCAGAGGGGAGCAAACGGCACGTCTAGAGGCAGGGAAGCGTACGACGGGCGCGAAGGAAGAATTAGCCAGAGGGATGAGAGGAACAACGGCCGTACCTATGGTGGTGAGTGCCGGCGAGGTCCAGAGTTAATGCCTTGGTCCGACTCGAAGGGTCCCCATTGTCTCAACTTCAGGAAAGATCTTTGGTTTTGAAGACTTCTTCTTCCTCCTCGAGTCTCGATTGGGAGAGCTACTCACCTTCCGAGCTTTGCAATAGATCTTTCTGGCGAGAGACGTTCCACACCCTCGCTACACAAAAGAGAGAGGCCAACCCCACAGGAAGACACCACTAGGCCTCAGTGTCACCGGAGGAGTAGGGGATATATGACGAGGGACTGAAGAGGCCGCGAGGTCCATCACAACGAGGGTCTTTAATAGACTGAACGTGATGTCGCCTGCTCAACGCGCCTGCACTGCTCTCGCAGCTACGGGCGCGGCACTGTCGGCCGAATCCTCGGCGCCATTGCAATGATGTACAGCGACGCAAAGAAATGGATTGACCTGAAATTACCTTCGCATCGTGAGGCATCCTTTTGCTCCCTGAGATGCAGCAGGACGCTCGAGTCATATCCGGGCCTAGGTGTGTGCTGAGGCATCCTCACGGTTACCATGCACATGCTCAAGGCGACCTGGAAGATCGCTGCTGCTGTGAGAATTTTTGTTCACGTTTCTCAGCGTGCAGAGCCTCCTGCAGCTGTGTCAATATGGATCCAGAGGCTCAGGACAAAGGTGGTGGGGATTCTGCAGATCGCATGGCGCATTCACCGAGCTGACGGTCCGAGCCCATTTGGTCTTCCTAAGTCCATCCGTTTTGGAATGTTCGCTTTGCAGCTCACATCACCAGAATGGTCCAATGCGTCGCACCAAGAGTCACATTCCGTGGGTCCTGCTTCAAGATGCAATCGCAGGCGAGTAGTCACACCGACGCGCCTGCAGAGATCTCGACGGCCACCAGCAGAGGAGTGAGTAGTGGTGCTGGAGCGGCAACCATGAGGGCTCCGACGCTGCATCAGCAGCAGCCTTGCCTGCGGAATGTTTGAGTTGCGTTGTTTCGGAGCCTCACCCGACAGGCTTGTTTCAAGCGAAAAGGGAAATACGTTGGCTGGCAGGCGACAGCTCACGGCTCCACTCCTCCCCACTTACTCTCACACCCATCCTCTCCTCTCCCCTGCTCTCGTATGAGCTTTTCTCGTATAGTACCTCAAAGCTCTTGCTCACTTGCATCCCCTCCATGGTAAAAGCCGGTGACTGCAATCTCTCGCCCACTCTGTTCAAAGGCACCAGGAGCACTACCGCCTCTTCGTCTGCACTCCTAGTCACTGCTAGAATCTCCTGTTCGACAACGCCAGAACATGCGTCTCCGCTGGTCCTCGCACCAGGGGAAAGAGTGATGGAGCTGAGAGCGGTGTCTGTGCCGGAAGAGATGAGCCAGAGCTTGGGTTCAATCACTGCCGAGCCACCGTCTGGCAGGAAGCTGGAGTACCGCACTTGACCATCCCTGCCTCTTGAGAGACAGCCGAAAGATCTGAGCCACCAAGTGAACTTTGATCAGCAGGGCCAGTGCCGCTCCAAAAGTGCCGCCTAGCTCGTTTGCGAAGAGAAGAGATGCAGGGATGCCAAACAGTGTGGGACAGGCAATGAGAGACCGGCTACGCTGTATTGGTCGTGACATTGAATGCTATACTGGACGCAACGGACGGCGGCCACCTCGAAGAAGATGACGGCAATGCTCTGGCCGGACATCGGTGAGACCTCGCATCGTGTGAAGCAAGGAGTCACGGTCGTGGTCTGGCAGGTTAAGCTAATATTGAGAAGTTCTTGCTTGAGCCCGCAACGGAATTGGAGATCGCAAAAGACTGCCCCTCCACCACAGCGGGAGGAGCGGGGCTAGAGCCGCTCGCGTACGGAGGAAATTAGCTCCTGGTGCGTTCCACATCCTTCGGCGCTGCTCGCCGGAAAGGCTTCGCTTCTACAGAGTATACAGTCCCGGAGTCAAATCTCCGTCCTTTCGTGGCACAGTGTGCGAAGGACGGCGCTGAAGGAGCAACACCCGCAAGAGAAGAAGAGCATGGTCCACATACCCTGAGGGGCTGCCGGAGTGGTGACTCTTCGAGCACAGCACGTGCGGGTTGAAAGAATGATGTACCTGTCTGTCGGGCGGCATCGGTAGGGCAATTGACGGGTAGTATCGCAGCGATACGTCTGTACTGGTCGAGTTCCGATTGGGTCGGGGCCACCCGACGCGATGAGTACAGTAATGGGATAGGGAGACCGTCGCGGTCAACGATCTGCAGACGAGACCAGGAGGCGACACCGAGCCCGCAAGAAAAACCTAGGCTTCGATCCGGCTACGATTTGGCAATCGGCAAATCAAGCCCAAAGCGCTCAGGGGCAGAGCCTGGCCACGATATGGCTGATTACAGAAAAAGACGTTGTTACACAGTGCGAGATGCCACTGTGAGGAAGAGGAAAGACAGAAGACCAATGCAATCATAACGACCAAGCCTCATAGCAGCATCAGTAGTACATTAGTGTAGCGTGTGGGAGTCGTATGGTCGCCTTCCTAAGTGTTCAGCTGACCAGTAGTGGAGCGGAGAAAGCGATGCGACTCTGATTTTCGAATTTGTGAGCGACATGCCTGAGCGTAACGGGACGGTAAACCATCAGCTGAGGCAAAGGTGTCGAGGAAAAGATTCCGTGTCGTTGCTATGACATCTTATCCGGCTACCGCTGGGTGACTCTTCCAGACCTTGTGTTCGCAGGACGAACCACGTTGCTCATCGTGACCTACGATGCCTACTGCGGCTGCAGGTGCCCGGACGTGCAGTCAGGCATTATAAGGAGGTCGTAGGACGAGTGTGGCGACGGAGAGGATAGGTAATGAGGACTTTTTGCAGGGCTGGAGCTTGGCACTTCTTGCTCGCTGATCCTTGTGAGACGATGTTCCTCGCAAAAGCTGTCGCCTGCATCATCTTCGTACGTTTCTTGTGTCACGTCTGATTCCTGACCAAGCGTGTCTGCTGTTGCAGGACAGTTACACCCGCTCAGACCCGGCTCGTAGCTCGACAGGCCTTTGATCCCCACTTCGCTTTTGCAGTAAGAGGATGCATCTGCTTCTCCTTCGCTTTTTCTGCGACTGAGAAGCGCCGCCTCTCTGGGTTCTCTTCTTGTCGAAAAGATACCAATGATGGGGCTCGGACCTGGCAAATTGAATCCCAGCGGTTCTCACATGCGCAGGCCTGGAACAAGTGACGTCATGTAATTCCAGCCGGCCCGAGGACTATTTCGGGATTGCCCGTCCCAGACTGCAACGAAGAAGGGTCTCCGGTCTACGATGTTCCCTCTGCAAATGTGATTCAGAGAATCGGCATCGTCTTCGCCCTTTGGATACCTGCTGAGGTCCTCCCTGCGTCCATGCCAGGCCAATGCAGCCAGGATGGCAACGAAGAGGCCAACCAGACCACCTGAAAGACCCGCCACGATGGAGACGATGTGATTTGGGCGGGATGATACGAGTGCGGGACGTACATGGGAAGAAGACGGGTTTGTGCCCTACTGTTGAGAGTCTGTCGCTACGGGAAGGCAAGAGGTACTGTTGAGAATGCCTGCAGTCACCTTGGATCGAGCTTGTGAGTGGGCCAATATGGTGTCGTCGGCGCCCTCTACATCTGCACTATCTCCGGTGATCGTCCTTCCTTGACTGCTGCTGCTCTCGCTGCTGTCGGCCCTGGTAGACGGACCGCCAATCATGGTGGCAAGAGAGGCCTTGAGGGTGGTCGCCTTCACGCGTCCCATGGTCCGATTCGCCATTGAGCTGACCACGAGGGTAAAGTCGGTTCCGGCGGGCAGGTCCACAGGAGCCCAGATCCAGCTGCTAGTGCCACTGGGCAGGTCGAGGTCGATGTGCGCCCACTTCTTGTTCGACACGCGGATGCGGACATTGAGCCATGGGGCGTTTTGGACTTTGTGGCTGGCGCTTCCTAGTGGAGAGGTAACTCTATGTCCAATGACGGAGTCAACACCAATGCTGGCTGAAACGCACTGAATAAAGGAGTCAGGAAGGCTCAATTTGAGAGATGAAGATGTAGAGATCTTTCCGCTCTCGCTTGTAGTGGCAGCGGGCTTGGTGAAGGAGGATTCCGTCTGGGCGGCCCTGCGCTCTCGCCCGGCGGCCAAAGATACGCGAGTCTGGGCATCGCGCTGAGCTGTTCCGTGGGCGGCATGATCAAGCGAGCCTGGTGGGTCTACAAGAGAGACGACTGGGGGTCAAAGGCCAGTTCGGAACCCTCAAACAAGAAGCCAAGAATCACCACAGAGGATTCGTCCTGAAGCTCGGCTTTCGCTACAATATTCTCAGGCCTTGCCTTTGGTCTTGCCGCATTTCGGTTCAAACCCTCTCTGTTTGCATTTGTCACGAGAGCATGATCAGTCGATCATTGTCACGCCCATCGGACTGCCTCTCTTAGGCTCATGGCTTGAGGCACCTCGTCTCGTATGGCTTTTATGTTCACTCCGTAATAATAACAGCTTGTCAAGCTGGTCAGAAAGTGCTCACGCGCATCTTTCTGGACCACACGAGCGTTGGAGACTGGACTATGAGATAGCGTTGATGACATTTGGGACTACAAACAACATTGGTGGAACGGGGACGTACGGCAAAGAGACTATGGAGAGGCTGACAGAAGTGGTGCTGTCTGGAGTGATTGCTTATTTGATCGCTAGTCGTGCGTTTAATACCTGTACTTGAAGTATGGGGAGCAGTCTCCCAGATCGGCACACTCTTGCTTGGTCAGACGCGCGGCTTCACCTGAGTCGATCTTCGCCTGCTTGCGCTTGTTGGCAAGGTACAAGCAAGAGAAGTTGACCAGAGCCGCACCAAAGGCAACGCAATTCAGGGCGATGTTGATCTTGTAAGCGTTGTCAAAGTGAGGAGCCTCGGCGGCTGGGAAGATGCCCGAGGAAATCATGCCTGCCAGGCCTCCAACGCCGACCTGGATGGCGATGGCAGTGGCCTTCTTGGTCTTGCCACCGACATTCTGCGACACAAGTGCGACGACAGAGGGGAAGCCAGCGTATGATCCGGCCGCGGCAACAAAGCAACCAGCGTATCGGACGGAAGGGTTGTAGGTCGCATGTCCGAAGCCCCAGCCAATGGCTGAAATGGCTGTGCCGAGGCAAAGAAAGAAGGTCCTGTTTTGGAAGCGGTCCGACAGGTACGCAAAGATGAGTACGCAAACCGCAGCGACCACGTAGACGGGAACCGTCATCAGCTGACTTCGAATCGCATCATATCCAAACGTCTTGAGGATGGTCGGCAGAGTCAGCGCAATGGAGTAAAGTGGGGCCAGAGATCCAATGTAGGAGACCAGGGAGGCCCATGTCTTCCAGTCAGTGAGTCCTGCTATGACAAAGCGACGCTGGAATGCGTCATTCATGGGAATGTCTGTTCCATCGTAAATGACACGCTCCCTCATGTAGGTCTTTTCGTCCTCAGATAGGAAGTGAGCGCCATCGATGTTGGAAATGAGCATAAAGTAGCCAAGGAAGGCGACGGCAATAGTGAGGATACCTTCGACGATGAAGATCCAAGACCAGCCAGCGTATCCTCCAGTCTCGACGTGAGCCAAGCCGTAGGCAAGCAGACCTCCGAAAGCGCCAGCGATGGTCGCAGCGGAGAAGAAGATTCCGATGCGTAGCTGGATGAACCGCCGTGGGTAGATGAAAGACAGGAGGGCAGTGACACCAGGGAAGAGACCAGCCTCAAAGATGCCCAAGACGAGACGCATGGAAAGTAGGCCGGCAAAGTTGGTGACAAAACCAGTGCACATCATGGTGACTCCCCAAAAGAATACAATAATAGCTGCGCGAGAAGCGGAGAAGAGTAGATGCTCGAATCAGCTTTCAACGCTCAAGTCGCACTGCGGGTCTACCAGGGTCAATACTCACGCAACCAAGTCTTGGCACCGTAGTGCTTCAGCATCAGGTTAGAGGGCACCTCGAAGAGTCCATAGGTGATGAAGAACAGGGCAAGGCACATGAAGTACTGAGTGGTGTCCAGTTTCAGATCGGCGACCATGCCGGCGATCTTGGCATTTCCGATGGCTGTGCGATCGAGGAAAGAGAAGAGGTAGAGGATAGAGCAGATGGGTAGCAACCTGAAGTCTATCTTTCGCATGATCCGCTTAGTGCGTTGAAGGTCCTCTACGGTGACGGCACCATCACCGTGAGGCGACTGCGAGCCGTACGTGACGGTGTGGGCGAGCACTGCGCCGCCTTCAAGCTTGGAAATGTCCTTCTCGTCATCGAAAGGGGGCGTGGAGGCCATTTTGAGCGTGAAGGAAGGGGAGTGTGGGATGCTGGTTTCGGAAGAAAGGACAGGAAGGAGGATAGAAGGCCGAAGAAGGGTTGTAGTTATCAAATCGTGTCGACAAGCGTGTGGGGAAAGAGGAGGGGACACGGCACCTGGCGCTGCTATTTGTAGGGCTCGATATCATTTGTTTCTCCTCTAGGCCTCATAGACTCGCGACCAAAGGCTGTGATGGTTGCCCCACGCCCCTTGTCCGTCTTGGGTATCGATGGGGTTGCGCTGCAAGGTGAGGCAAACGTTACTGTGCTAGTACGCTCGCGTGGCAACGTTTTCTAGCAGTCCCCGAAATGTGCTGAGGGGCACGAGAGCGCAGTAAGCCAAGTAGGACCATTACCGCGATCGGAAGGTTGGAGGCTTCTAGGGTGCAAGGGCAGGCAACAGGTGTGAGGCAACGGCAGTGTCCCTTTGAAGGGTGGCTGGTGGTTTGAGTCTCCTATCTGCGTGGCGCAAGTCTTGGGTGGGGCCCCACCCGTGAATTGTGCACCGTGCGGCTGTCGCTGCTGCTGCAAGGGCAACGCGACAGGGCGCCCAAGTCGGGAAGATGAGGCTTGGCAGACGGACCTCCAACGCAATTGCCTCAGGCTTAAGTCCAGCGGTGGAAGCATCGCGAGCTGGATGCCACGCTGAGCAGCTTGCCTTGAATTCCGGCTTCCTTATTCCGTATCCTAGACAGAGACTGACGCGATGCTCGCAATTCCACCTGCTGGCCCTGATCCTCGTGTCAGTACTCGTGCGAGGATTCGCCGTCGGCAAACGGAGCCCCCTTGGAAACGGCGCAGGCCCAGGTACAAGATGTCTCAGTTCTTCGGCCGGTAGCAGCACCTCCACCGACATCGATCACGAGAACGCGACATCGGTCTGCCTCGTTTGCGGAGTACATCTCGTAAGTTGTGGGGCCCCAACGATCGCGCCGCTTGCTGTGCAGTAAAGCATGACAGCTCTTTCGGGCGACTGAAGCAAATGCCGCTTCTTTGGAGCATACCGAAGTATTTGCAGACGCAGAGCTCGGGCATACCTCCCTATTTCACAGGCTGAGGTCACGCCGCTCTGCTCGGACCGGCAATGCGTAAAGGCGTTACGCCATCGTCGGCGTCTTCGGCATCTGACCTTCATGCCCTCTCTCGATCGACCATGCTACCTCTCGAGTTGCGCTCGTGCAGCTCCTTGTTCTGTGGGACATGAGGGTAAGACGTTGTAAGTGGAACACAGTGATGCGCCTCTGCATGCCCCTACTGGATGTTGTGGCGTTACAGCCTCGATATTGGTGGGATGATAGACATCCGCAGCCATCGAGCCTTGCAGCAATAATGAATGAGTGGCAAGCCATGACGATCTCGACGCCACAGTCCTTTGAACGGGTTGGCTGCCAAATTTGCTTCTCCCCGAGGGTACTGGCTATCACCATGCTTCTTGCTGACGCAGCCAACCTGACCTCTTGAAGATGTCGGCCACAAGAATGAGATTTGACAACACGATATGAATGTGAGAAAGGAGACGAAGAAGAAGCGAAGAAGAGGGAGCAGATGCATACACAGATGAGGTAGGTAAGGAGGGGCACGAGGGGACGACCACGGCCACTGCAACAGATTGTCTCTCAAGGGGTCGGCATCGCGAGTAGGAGGCGATCCAGGAGGAAAAGCCGTCGGGCCATATACCAAGAGTGCGGCGTAGGCCACTCGACAGCAAGTCAAGGAGCATCTCGTTACTGGCCCAGCTCATCTTCCGATCGCTAAACACTTCACCATCCCCTCCACAGAGAATGTGCTTCACTCTGCGCGGCTCCATTATCATTTGCGCCCGCTCCCCCTTGCTGGCCTGCCATTGTCGAGCTAATGATCCTGTGGACATGGCAGAGGTAATCTACCATGCTCATCGCACCATTGTTCTCGTCTTCAACGAGCATGTTCGCCGCTTCTACCTCGCTGGCATCGCGATTCTGTCGGGCAATCAGCACAGGCAGAGCGGGCTTGTTACGCTGGCTGGCGAAGGAGGCCACGAGGGCTCGGACTTGGCTGGACAATTTCGTTGGCAACTTGGGCAGCTTGGTCATGCGCGGGTCCAGCTCGTCGAGGGAATTAACCCCGTACAGGTCATCAAGGAATCGTGGGTTGACTTCCGCGCCAATCCACAGTAAGCAGTTGTCGCCATTTTCAATCAGATAGGCTCCGTGGGGCTCCATACGGTGGAAGCTGGGTCGAATCAGAGGTGGACACCTGATGCGTACACCAGTGATTTCTGTGCCGTCGTCCTGCTTAATCTTGATCGGTGAGCCGTCCTCTGGCGACATCTTATGCAGAGCGATCATGCGTGGGTACAGCATTGACATGGTTGCTCCAACGCCTAGCGAGCGGAACATTCTCATGTAGTACGCACGTACGTCAGAGGTGACGTTGCCACCCTTCACTGCCTTCGTCTTGTTAACGGCAAGAGTGTAGAGCGGCAAGAGCTTGAAGGACTCGGGCAGTATCAGCTGACCAGGAGTCGAGGATGCAGCGCAATTCTTCCTGTAGGCAAGCAGGATCTTGACGCAGCGGTCAGTCAGATAGTGACGCACGTCCTGAAGACTCTTGCTTTGCACAAGTGTGCAGACCTCCTTGTTGTAGTACGTGATCGTCGAATCCAGATCTGCATACCTGAAGACGTTGCCGAGAATGTTTGTCACGGGCACTGCCACATTGTGGACCCTGACCCTCCTCTCTCCATACGCCGTTGTGTACAGCAGAGCACACTGGAAGTGAGCCTCTTGCTTCTCGTTCAGGCTGCCCTCGTGCTTGACCAACACAGAGACACAGCTGTCAGCATCGATGTTGGCGAATTCAAGGTCGGTAGCGTTACGCTGGAAGAAGTTACCCAGATGCTGAGTTGTCCGTAGGCCGTTGGAGCATCGGAGTCGCATGGTCGCATTGTATCCCACCTCTCGCAGAACAGTCCGCTGCACTTGAGCCTGCAGCTTGACTGTATCACGCACAGGGTCGAAGCGAGGGTGGAAGAAGACTTCACCTCCCGTCGTTCCTGCAAGAGTGCTGATCGTGGCTACGTCAATGTACTGACTGGGGAAGAAGAATACGTTGACTCCGATACCGGCGTCGATGCACTCTTCTGCCACTCCGCGGTAGAAAGCATCGGCTGGGGCAAAGAGCTGCTTCTCCTTGTCGGTGCCATACAGCTTGGTGTCCTCGCGGTGCTTGAGGTGTCCAGGGCCAATGGTAGGAATGGTGCTCAGGAACAGGTTGACTTGACCACCGATGGTGCTCAAGCAGGCCTGGGCACCTCGCACAGCAGCTCCTAGAGCTGCTTCCGACGTCATGTTGTCAGCAAAGATGTTACCTAGATTGTCCAGCAGGCCTTCAACCACATGCTTGGATTCCCACGGATCGGCGAGAAGTCCATCGCTAATCGGTACGAAAGGCTCATCGATGTCTCCCACTACTAGCATCTGGGCAGAATCTAGCTCTGAGCTAAGGTTGTAGAAGTGCAGCACACGGTCAAAGGTCAAGATCGCGACGCGACTACCGTGCGGCAGCCCAAAGCCGGGTCCTTCTGCCTGAGCGCCGTCACTGGTCTCTCCATCCTTGGGTGCCTCCCTGGGACCATAGAGCGCTTCACGAATGCTCTCGGTTGCAGCCTTGAGACTGCCGCATCGGATGGCAGAGTAGCTGACGTCAATGGCGAAGAAGTAGGTCAATGGCCTGGGAGCTCGGATAGTGGTTTTGCCTGGTCCTGAGCTGAGATTGTTGAGTGCATCAGTAGCTGCTTTGCTAGCCGCCTTTGTGGCGGCTTTCGCAGCAGCTCCCGATTGGCCAGAAAGTCCCATCGTCGATCCGGCGAAGCCGTCCATGTCGGAGCCTGTGTCTGGCAATGGCGAAATTTTGGCCGTCTCCGTGTGCGTTAGGGCAGGAGCGACAGGCAGCAGAACGCTGGAGGGCGGTCTGGACTGAATTGCCCAGTACTCTCTCGGAACCGTGAAATCCACAGATCCTCTTTGCAGCTCCAGTCTCTGGTCAAAGTCTGCTCTGCGGCCGCTCATGTCCAAGTTGCAGAAGTAGTCAGCTGCCACCTCTGTCGCTGTGCCACACAGATTGCAAATCCACTTCTGACCGCCTTCCACGAAGATGGCCCACGGATTGACGTACGCTCGGCAGCGCTTGCAACGTGGAGGTCCGGATGGGCCACAGTCGATGGTTGGGACTGGTTGCTCATCTGGCCGAAGCTGAGCAAAGGGTTGGATGTTAACGGCTAGAGGTAATTGAGCAGTGGCAGCCAGTTCATCAGAGAAGGGTATGCTGTATGTGGTCAAACGCATGTGCTTGGGATTGCAGTTTCCTGAAAAGTCAAGACAGAGGCAGAGGATGAGCTTCGACAATCTCTCGCGATAATCTGAGTCCTCTCTGCTCACCTTGATCAGCAGCTGCGTAATCAGTTGTACTCAACGGTAGCCCTCCCCTGCCACAGGTGGTGAACCACTCCTTATCGAAGAACGCTTGATCGGCCTCTTGTGGTTCAATGGGAGCCGGAACCTGATCTGGATCAATGTTGGCTTTTGGGCCTCTCATCTTCTGACCAGCTTGGTGGGGCGGCTGAGATATGCCACCGGGGCCTTGACTCTGAGAGCCAAAGAATTGCGACCCAGCAGCCACAGCCGCTGGCGTGTGGGGGCCAGGTGCACCGGGCGTGATAGGTACATTGGCCTGGCGCTGCTGTGGATTTGTTTGACCCATGCGTTGTTGGTTGGCAGCAGCGTGGTGAGGATGCAATACGTTCCTCTGCCCGGGAATCTGATCCAGCGCATCATTTACATCGCCCTCAAAGTCGTGTGGCTGGTCACCATACTGGGCAAGGCGGTCGGCAGCAGCCTTCTGCCAAGCCATCTGTTGTACGGGATTGGGAGGTGCGTCATTCCAGCCGGCGTCTGTTCCAGCAGTAGGATCTATGGGCGCATCTTGGTGGTAAGCGCGAGCGCTACGCTTCGTCCTGGCTGGACCGGGTAGGTCTGCAACGCCCGGCGAAGGCGAGGCGCCCGGCTGCTGCTGGGGACCAATGTTCATAGACGCCATCTGAGACGCCAAGCCCGGCTGCTGCTGAGGATTCGGCTGCTGTTGGGGTGGCATACCTGGACGAGGCTGAAACTGCTGCTGCTGCTGCTGCTGCTGCATGGGTGGCATGCCTGGTCGAATGCTGCCGGCGCCTGGAGCTGGTGAGGCCCCATTACGCTGTGGCGGCATCATCGGCAGCACACCTGGAGCCATGCTCTGACCCGGCGTCAGGCCTTGAGGAGCTCCTTGTCCGGGGAAAGGTGGGCGTGCGCCAGGTGGGAAACCCTGCTGAGGTTGGCCCGGTCTCATGCCTTGTTGACCGGGAGGCCCTGGCGGCGGGCGAGCTGTGAGGGAAATGTAGAGGGAGGTCAGTGAATGGATCCTGGTCGAGTGATAAGCGTCTTGCTTCCTCTGTCTCACCTCCTGGATACCCGGGCTGCTGCCCACTGGGCATACCGGGTCGACCTGACATCATACCAGGCTGAGGAGGTCTTTGCTGACGCTGGTAACCCTGGAATGCAGAAGCTGCTTGTGCAGGCTGCCCTTGCGAGGGAGGCTGTGCCATGTCGTAAAGAGGTTGGGAGTTGGACTTGACGCCAGGGGAATATGAGTCTCGGGGCAGGGGTTCTTCCTCTCTGTGTGCCGCCGAGCAGCAAGTCTGACGAAGGGTATCAGAGTAGGAATGCTCAGCTCTACAAGGTATGCGGAAAGGAGTGTGTTCTGCTCGAGAGTGATGATGATGAAGAAGAAGCGGAGACGGGCAGCGGTGAGCAGGGCTGCCAAGGCGGTGATGGTGGTGGTATGCACTTGGAAGGATGAGTAGCGAGCGGTGGGGGAGCGCGTCTGTGTCTGTCCGGCGCTGATTCGTCCTCGCTGTGCTGTTGCTGTCTCCCTCCCTCCGTTCCGATCCTCGTGTTGTTCCGCTCCACGAGACGCATATCAAAGTGTCGGTCTCAGGTCTCAGCATCCTCCGCGGCCACCAGGCACAGTCTTCTCAATCGTATTACTCCACCAGCTTTCGCGATGGCCATCATCAGCAAGGCCATCCACTATTCCCTCGATGCTGTGCTCCTCTCCACTCTCCTCGCCGGCGTCAAGCGAACCACAGGCTACACGTGAGTGCTGAGCATAGGACTTCATTGGCACCCAGACCGAGGATCCAAGCTCAAGATCAACACTGACACTTCCTTCACTTACACTGTGATCCACCTGCCAGACCCAACCAATCGCAACTGCCACTGACAACAGACCCGACTGTGTCTTCTCTCTTCACAAAGTACTTGGCCGTTGGCGAAGAGGTCTTTGATTACACCGCAGGCTGGGCGCACACCAGCAAGTACTTCCAGCAGACCAACCCCACCTTGGGCATGGCTGATAACCTTGAGGAGGTGGCCAGAAGATTCGGAGAAGAGGCGCGCAAAGGCTTGGGAAAGCAAGGGAATGCAGCCAAGGAAGGAGGCGGAAGCTGGTGGGGGGGGCGCTAAATGAGCAGGAGTGGATTCTGCTGCGCTCAGACGAAGATACTGGCGAGATGCGGGGCAAGCAACCTCGGCAGCACCTGCTCTTCTGACTCAAGGGTAGCAACGCCTCGGAGTGAAACGAAGCCGAACTCTTGCTTCCCGATACTGCAGATCCATCAATCACCGCTCAGACTCCCTGGCTCGACCGTTTGTACTATCTTAGGCCTTGTGCAATGTATTATATAGCGATGATCGGGAGCAAGGCGCTCTGCATTGGCATGGATAGTAGCGTCTATGAACAGGGGGCACCCAAGCGACATACTCTACAAGAAGTGAGCTTTGCATTGCCCTGCCCCTCACCTCTTCTGCCTTTTCACCGACCCTCCGTCGTCCACCTCCAGAGCCCTCAATGGCTCCCTTGGTTCTGACAGTCCCTCGTTTCCGTTTCTTTTCGCTCCGCCTGCAAGACTGATCGCAGGAGAGTTCGCTCGATGTGCGCCCGCGGTCGAGAGGGACGTGACGCCGCCGATAGCCGCACCTGTACTTTCTTGTTCGAGACTCGGACTGACGAATCTCCCCGCGCTCGGAGCTCGACGAGGTACTGCCTGAGGCTGAGCTTGCCCATTGGCAGTCACTCGCGTTGCTTGTGCCCTATTGCCTTCAAGAGCCTCTGCAGCCGTACTCAGCGCCCGATCATCGATACCTTCCATCATCTGGGCGGTGTCCGGTCGTACCTGCAGTCCGCCGTTGCCAGAAGCAGCGGAACCAGTGGCAGCAGCACTACTGCGCGCCCATTTGGCTCCAGGCTCTTTGCCATATACTCGGCCGGCAGCAGACTCTGGCGCTGCTTTGGGCGGTAGAGGCTCGACAGGCACGGCGGGAGCACGCTTGAGTTGAGGTGGAGGGCGAGAACCATTGCTTGGACCAGACTGATCGGCTCCGGCTGGGCGAGATCCCTGTCCTGCTTTTTGTTCGCTTGCTTGAGCGGCTAGCAGCCTTTGCTCTTCTTGGCGTGCCCTGAAAGCTGCTTGTCTCTCTGCAGCTAATGCTTGGCGTTCTGCTCGAATTCTCTCTTGCTCTGCAGCTGATGGCCTACCATCGCCGTTGCTGCCATTAGTGCTGGGAGCAGCAGTAGTGGACCTCCTCAAAATATTGCCTTCTGCACTGGTGTTGCCGATGGAGTCCCCTTGGTGGCCGTTCGAGACGCCATGAGTACCAAGCGAGGTACGAGGTGCAACGCTGCTTGCCGCCCTGCTCAAAGCTGGAACGCTCGGAGCCGAAGGATCCGATCCTATCAGACTAGTGTCTTGCTCTTCCTTGACCATGGCAGGCGGAGGTGGCGCATTCGAGTCCGTTCGGCGATGGAGCTGGGTGACATCATACTTCTGAGCATCGGGCCGCATCTTGCTGACTGCTTCGAGGTACTTTTTGTCATACATGCAATTGCCGACCAGCCTTCCGAATGTCCTCAATGATCTCTTCAGCGCGTCAGTAACTGCCTCCTTCTTTGCCTTCTCGAGTGCAGCCGCTTTGCCTTTTGCATTTTCGATGTGACCATAGCCGATGTCCTCGTGGAAAGTGCCGTCTCGCAGAGTGACCCTCATAATTGCGCTGACACCGACATTACATCTGCTTCCGTCCGGACTGATGTCAATAAAGTCGGTATCGAGTCTCACTAGATTTGTAGACCAGCCATTGAAACCAAAGACGTCATTTGCAAGATCGATTGCTTTCCAACCTTCGAGATAGTGTAATTTGGGTCCCCCTCCTGGACCAGCTCTTGATGAGACGTACTCTGGGCCGAGCCTCTGATTGAGCTTGGCCTGCATGGTGGCAAGCTGCCGCATGCTTTCCTCCCCAGCTTCTTCTCCATACCACCCTAATAGAGGCTTGATGTCGGGTTGGTCAGCTCCAAAGGCGACGCTGGCTGCCCTGTTGGCCACAGACGGATGAGTGGCCCATGCAGCGTTTGTCCCTCCTCCCCCTCCATTATTGGTAGTCTGGCTCATAGTCCTATTCAAGCCGCGTCTCTGAAAGCCGCTGTTGGACGCCATCGAATGGTCTTGCTCCGAGTCGAGGGTCTCGAAGGACATCTCGCTGGGTTCGCCTCCGCCAAAGGGCTGATCATGGTGCAGTCTACCGCTCATGGGTTCGCGCTTGATGGCCGCTTGGGCGGCTGCGTGCGCCTCTCCCTCTTCGAAGGCTTGTAAGAGTTGCCCAGAGAGGTTAGCTGCTGCGTTCATGCGTGTGACGAGGTCGCAGACGAGGGACGAGGGAAGAAGGAGGAGATGGGAGCAGCGGACGACGTGGTGGATCGCGTATGGGAGGCGAGGCGGGCAAGGACTTGAGTAGTCTAGTGTTATTCCAAATGGACCGACGCGCTCCCTTTCCGTCGGACGCTTCGCTGCTCCGTTCCGATGAAACGGCTGGGATGAATCATGACTCCGCCCATTTCGTCATCCGCTGCTGCTCCTCGTGGCTCTGCCTCGTCTCACCTGCCATCCTGCCTACCAATCATCTCCACTCCCCTCCCCGCGACGCCGCCATGTCGAAGTCTGGCCAGCAGTCGCAGCTGCCCATATCACTCAGACGTCCCTCGGATGGCGCAGGCGAGGCACAGGAGGCAAGTCCTCGTAGGGCGTCTAGTACTTTGCCTGGTCTCAGCTCTACTGCTTCCTCGATCCGGGCAGCCAGAAAGGGCGCCGGGGCATCCTCTTCCAAGAGTCGCCTCGCCCAGCCCGGCTGGACTACCATAGAGGATGAGGGAGACTTCGAAGAAGGGCCAGGAGATACGCAGAGACAGCTCGATGAACTTCGGGGCGGTATCTTGATGCCTGGTATGGGCGCCAGAGGGGCTCCCGCCAAGCCTCCCACAGGTGCCGCAAGTAGCGCTACCTCTGCCGTTCCGGAGGGATCTGCTCCAGGTCAGAGCAGCGCCAATGCAAGCAGCTCCGCCAGCAGAAATAGGATACCAACCACGCTCAAGAGCGCTCTCAAGAAGCCTGCCCCATTGATCCGCAGAGCAACTGGAAGTACGAATGCCCCGCAAGCCGGATCTGCCTCGGGAGGAGCTGGTCAGGCAGCAGCTGGCAGCGGAGGAGATGCCGCTGCGCGAGCAAAATCTGCCGCTGCTCAGAACCGCTTCAAAGGTACCCCTCCCCGAGCCATCCGCTACTCACTGCCTGTGAGAACGGAGAAGCCCGTCCGAACCACCAAGATATCTGGCAAGCATATCGTATTGCCTAGTGAGAGTCAGCTGGCTCCCCTACCCGGACAGGAAGAAGACGACGATGACGATGACGACGATGACGACGATGAAAGCAGTAGCTCTAGCGACGCCGATGAAGCCGACGATGAAGACCTCTCCCGGGCTAATCTAGACGAGGAAGAAGCTGAAAGGCAGAAACAATTGCGCAAAGACCAACGAGAAGCCGCTGCCAAAGCTCAGGAGGAGCGACGGCAAAGAAAAGCAGATGAGAAGGCAGCCCGCAAGCCCGATACGGCTGCTGGGCACGCCTCTCGAAAGACACCCACAGCAGGTGTGCCTGGTGGACTCTCGCCAGCATTTACGAGGGGACCAGCCCACGCTAGGGCACCACCTCGCATCCCGAAAGCGTCTGGACCCGCATACCATACTTTCGAGAGGCTGGCGCCCTCTTCTCGCGTGAGGACTCCTCTCCCTCGCCTTACATCGTACGCTATCGGGACGGACCTCCACATTCCGACCCTCAACGGCTTCCTGCGTCGTGAGCACAGCGTACGTCCTCGCCTCTACGACGAATGTGCTTACGTCGTCTATTTCAAGCCTCTCTTGCCAGGTTTCGGTCGGGCCAACATTCGAAGTAGCCCAGAGGCCAAAGTTGGTAGTCCAGGTGCAGAAAGCCGACGCGAGCGAGAGATGGAAGAACGCGAAGAACGTGGTTACGTAGGGTCTTACTTTGCGCCCAGCAAGGACGACAATGAGGAGTCGATGGACCCGGAAGGATACATCCAGGGCTTTGAAGGCTCTGGCAGTGGAGAGGGAGAGCAGAGGAGGGGCGGCAGCAACAACAATAATCGGCAGGAGCAACGGCGTGAAAGGCAGGACTATGGGGGAGAGACCACTGAAAACGAGACCGAGACCGAAGCTGAGCGCGGTGGCAGCCACGATCTGGACTTAGTATCCAGCCCCGAGGGAGCTAGTCACGTCAGGCCGGGGAACATGACCATTGAAGATTCAGAGCCAGACGAGCTCGATTCGATGCCTACGCCTCGAGCTCTAAAGCCCCGCGACAACGAGGTTCCTGGGGATGACATTGACGCGCTGGAGCAGCTCGACGATGTCATTCGAGAAGAGAGTACCTCAAGTCCTATAGAAGGTGAAGCACTTCCCGCTGATGCGGCCGGAGCTCTCGATATGCTCACCTATCAGCAAACCGAGAGTCCTTCTCAGAAGGGCCTTGACCCAACAAGTGAGACCGATGAGGTGGCTCTGAATGCACTGGAAGGCGGTGATGAGGTCTCTAAGCCAGATCGCAGGAATTCCTCCCCGACACGCATTGCCGACGGCGTAGGCCATGCCTCCAGCGATAGCGCACCCTATCAAGTCTCGACTGATGACCAGCCCCAGCCGTCTGCACCCCAGCAACGTCGACGTCGCAACAAGACAAAATCCCGCAAATACTCTGGCCCCAATCAGTCTTCTCACAATCACGACATCACGCAGAACATGCTTGCCCCTCGTAATATCCTCGAGGCTCTGCAGGTAGCTGAGCTGGTCATTTTGCCGTATGGCGTCATCGTCTTCTACAACTTCACCGCCAGCGAGGAGCGCGACATCATTGACGATGTCATTTCCTCTGGCTGCGTACGAGGTCCTCTTCCTCAGGACGATGTCGAACAGGAGGCCTTCCACTTTTGCTACGATCCCACGGTTCCCGCCCCACGAATCTTCAACGACTTTTTCACCTTCCGCGCACCCAATCATCTCCTTAAGCTTTCCCTTGCTCATGCTATCGCACAGAGTACCAAGCTGTCGGTGTTTGAAGAGTCGATGCAGAAGACGCTCGAGCTCACTTCACACATCCCCAAAGAGCTCGCCTCCTCTGGCGAACTCAAGCTCAAGCGAAGAGAAGCCCTGAGATTGACGGGTAGATTATTCAAGCTGCGTGTGGATGTGAACCTTACCTCGAATGTGTTGGATACTCCAGAACTCTTCTGGTCCGAAGCAACCCTCCAGGCTCTCTACGATGCGATTCGCGAGTATCTCGAAATCGACCAGAGGGTAGGCAATCTCAACGATCGACTCAAAGTCGCCAATGATTTGCTGGAGATCATTCATGGACATGTCGCCGAAGAGGCCATGAGCAAGATCACAGTGGTCATCATTGCGCTCATCGTAGTGGCATGCATTGTGGCCTGCGGTGAAATTTCAGCAAGGCTGATCCTGCATGCTCGCAGTCGCTCAAACGAGGAGCAAGTGATGATGGCATACATGGCCAAACTGGCCATTGCTGGAGGTGAAGGAAGCAGTCGCTTCTTCGACAGCGCGGGACAACTCGCACTTGGTGCCTGAGGGCGTCACTCTGTTCAGCTCATACTACTTGAACATTCTTTACTTTGTACAATTTGATTCCTCTCCTCGAATGTTACGCATCTTTGTTCGTCCTCTACACCTCCTGCCTGCCTGCTGTGACGCAGCATCACACCTCGACCCCAAGCAGCATCCTCACCTCTTCTTTGCTCCTCTTTAGCACCGTCCCGCTCCACTCGAACCGATTCCTCTCATCCTTGATCGCATCAAACACCCGTTCGTACGCATCAGCCAGCCGATGCAGAGCCTGGTTATGCACGGAGGAGCGTATGGAGGGGGAAGAGAGGTGGGTGAAAAGGGTTGGGGAGAGAAGAGAGGGGGAGGAAAGGAAGGTACTGAAGGTGCTGAGGTAGCTCTGGATCTGCGGTGGTGTCGTTGTTGGATGATGGGAGAGAGGAGTCTGAAAGGGGAAAGGCAACGGTAAGGAACAGATGCAGGAGGCAGTCCTCGACCCAGGCTGGCACTCACTGCTTCATTCTTGGTATTGATCGCCTCAATGATGGGGGCGAGGCCGCTCTCGATGAGTAGCTCAGCGTACTGAATAGAGCGTGAGGGGCAGGGAGGATCTCAGTTGTAAGCAAAGGTCCTCAGAGATCGGCATCAGCAGCGGCAACTCACGTCAACTTCTGCCAGCTCGACAGCAGTGTCGTCGATGACTGTCTGCAGCCTCTGCGTTGTGAGAGGGACGAACTCGTGCCTCGACAATGCGCTCTGGAGCGATACGTCAATGAGATTTGCCGAAGTCAGTTTGAGCCCACTACAAAAGGTGTCGCCACTATCGTCCACTCACCAGAATGCCTTCAACACAATTGACTTTCAATACCAAGCCCTGCTTCTTGGCTTTCTTGACCTCCTCCACTCCTTTGACTGTTGAGCCTTCGCTCATCGTATCCTCCATCCTCTTCACGAGCTCGAGCATAGGATCCACCAATTGCGCGACGACAGCATCGAAGTCTGCAATGGAAGAGGATACTTCCTCATTTGCGCCTGTGTGTCCCTTCTTCCCATTTATCGGCAACTCTGATATAGATGCCTGATGGACAGAGAGGATCTCGCGGAGAGAGTCGACGGCGCCGACCAAGGAAGCAGGTGGGGAGAGGCTGGAGTCGGGAGGCTGCCGATGAAGGCAATGCGGAAGATACGCCTTCAACGAGTCTTCTCCAACGATACTGAACCGACATGCTACCGTCCAATGCTCACCTGAATGAATCTCAAGAGACTCCTTCCCTGCCTCTCCAGCGTGCCAAAGAAGGCCTGATAGCTGGATACGCTGATCTCCTCCAGGGTCTTGGTCAATGAGACTTTTGACCCAATGGTGCTTTGCATTGTCACCTTGTAGAACTGCACCAAATTCGCAAGCTTGAAGGGTACGATGCATCCTTCCTGAGACCGCGTCGTCTGCTCGATGCGAACTTGCAGTGGCCTGCAACACCCCTCTAGGCACCTGTCCAGCAGCTCTCGCATGTAGATGGCCTTCTTACCTTGAGGAAGACCCTTCTCCCCCGAAGACCAGTCGATGCTGCCTTCGATACCTCTTCTCCTCTCGCCTGTCTTCCTTCCTCCCTCACCTTCCGCCTCGCCCAGTAGCTGACCCAGAAATTCTCGCTCTGAAGCCACAGCTTGGTGTACCCAGGCTAACATGTCGCCGACGTATCTAAGAGGATCATGGGCGTGTAGCTCAATTGGGCGAGAGTTGAAGTCCGGGGAGCCACGGGTCAGAGCCTGCTGAAAGGCAGAAGACAAGTGCGAAGAGCGAATCGAGACGAGTGTCTGAAGTGCAGCCCTAAGAGAGAAGGGTAAAGTATAAAGCAAGGCTGTCAGTAGTCACTCTCACGCCGCTTCCACCCCAATCACGATCTTACCTCAACAGGTCCTCTCGCTCGTTCATGGTTCTTTTCACTGCCTCTCTGAGCGTATCGCTGACGTCTAGTCCCTCTTTGGGCGTCTGTCTGAATTGGAAGCTGAGGTACCGCCCAATCTTGTCGTATGCAGCGTCCAACTGGCTACTGGTGCTGGCCATGACGTCGGTACCAGCTCTGGTTCCACCACCGACTTCACCTCCTCCTTCCAGGAGAGCTCTGCAGTCGGTACGTATTTGGTTGAGGCGGTCCATTGCCTTGAAAAGAGACTTCGACACTGGCAAATCTCTGTTGCTTATCGTCTCCGCCTCTGCCGGCTCCAGTGTGAAGCGAGCCAGGAACAAGTCCAGTAGTAGGGCTTGCTGAGACGTGGTGGCTCGTTGCCTTTGCAGCCCCTCTGCCTGCTCCAAGAGCCATCTGGTAGCGTCATTTGTGCTGGAGAGACGAGCGTCAACGTCGTCGCATGCTCTGCCCATCTGACGAACATTGTCCGAGACTGCCTCGATGGCCTCGTCCACTTCTTCAAGGATCTTCAAGAAGTCGTCTCCGGATTGTATCAGTGCCAGCTGGGCGTCCTTTTCCAGATTGGCCTTTGCTTTTCGGATGTCTACCTCGACCACCTCTGCCTTGTCTGCAGAGGTATCGGCGCTGCTGCGCTTGACGGTCCGTCGCCTCGGCCGTGACTTGTGCTGCGCTGGCCCCTCGCTGGCCTTCTGCTTGCCTCTCGAGGTCTCAGAGGCAGGGTAGAGCTCTTCGAGTGCCTTGAGAGCTTTCCTTGCAACTTCGTCGTCGTAGCTCGAGGCTGGCTTGGTGAGGATGGACCGGAGCTTGAGTGAAATGGGATGCGACGATGGCAGTAGGGGCCGACTGCTGGAGGATGCAGCGTCTGCGGGAGGGGTATCGCTGTAAGGCTGTGTGGCTGCCACGATTTGAGCATCAGACGGCGGTGTGAGGTCCGTGGATGGGACGTCGCTCATGGCCATGGTCATCTGCGGCCAAGTGCTTCGCCTGCACCAATCAGCGCTGCAGTGGGTATCTATCTGATCTCGGGTGGTAGTTGGTTTGCCTGGTATGGTGGTGTGGCCTGGTGGTGGTGGTGCTTCCGTCGGGTGGCTGGGTGCCGCGGGTAAATGTGCCGAGGTGGAGCGACGAGGGCAGATATCATTTCTCGACTGCTTCTTCTCGCCTCTGCCCTTGATCCTGTCCCCAGTCATCCATACCCAACCTCACCTTCACAGCCTGTCGATGATGACTGCGGATCTCTCATCGACGGCAGTATCTTCCTCTCAGGAGTCCGCCACGCAGGCAGTGACTGCCTACGTCACTGCCCAGGCCTTTCCGCCTGGCTCCCTGCCTCCCCCACTCGCAGCCGCCTTTCGCTCTCGCAGTCTGACACTACTGCAGCTGATAAGAATCCTGGGCGAGTATCTCACATCAGAAGACGAGCTGATCAGGTCAAGAGGGGTAGAGCTCTTGGCGCAGACTGTCTTGGACCTAGCGCCAGGAGGGACAGACGAGAATGGTGCTTCCGCAGAAGCGGACGCATTGCCCTCCCTCTTTGATCGTCAGGCGGTAAAGACATTGGCAGGCTTCTTCGCCGACAAGCTCGAAGATGGTTCCAATGTATCTGCTTCCATCGCCAAATCGACGAACTCGGCAGACAAGGTCGTCCCCGGATCTGCTCCCAGCTACAGGTTCAAAGCCATCCCAGAAGGGACCGAGATGCTGGCATGTACTCTCAAAGCTCTGACAAGACTGGCCAAGCTTCCAGGCTTTGGCAGTCAAGAGACCAGAGCAGTTGCCGAAAGGTGGGTAAGGCCAAGAACTTTGAGCCAGTAGCGATGGCATGCTGACTCTCGACACTTCTGCCTCAAGCCTCGTTTCCCATGTGACACCTCGAGACCACCCCCAGGCCGTACGCTTCCTCGTATACGCACTCCTCGATGCTCTACTTTCGACACATAGATCAGCGCTCAAGTCGATGGGCAAGCCTTTCCTCAAGGGCTATGTGGGATTGGCAGAAGGAGAAAAAGACCCTAGAAACTTGATGTACCTCTTCACCATGAATCGAGTCATCCTCATCGAATGGGAATTGGATGAGGAGCTGGCAGAGGTCAGTCGGTCGCGCCAGAGATGACCTGCAACGCCTCAATGTCATCTGACTGACGAAATTACGTACTTCACACTGACCACAGGACTTCTTCGACATCACATATTGTTACTTCCCCATCACATTCAAACCCCCGCCGGATGACCCATATGGGATCACTACAGAAGACCTCAAAGGCTCTCTCCGGTCATGTCTCATCGCCAACCCACTATTGGCCCCACATGCGATGCCGCTACTATTGGAGAAGTTGGCAGCAAGCGGCGGAAATACTAAGCGCGATACCCTCCACACTCTGGAATTGGCAATGCCCGTTTTCGGAAAGGCGGCGATCATGGCGAACGAGAAGAAGTTATGGGAAGGATTCAAGGTCGAGGTGAGTTGCCCATTATCGATGCTCTGGTCAATATTCTCTACTGATCTCAGTATCGCCTTCGACGTCACAGATAATGGCTGCCACAGATGACGAGACTGCTGTATTCGCTCAGCGGGCATTGTCCAGCTTCCTTCGCACCCTCTACCACGACGTAGATCCCGCCGCAGGCATCGCAGCTCGCATTGTAGCAGACGCGCAGTCTGAGTTAGAAGAGCCAGAGAAGTCGCTAGCCAAGCCCGCATGCGACTTGCTCGTCTCGATGGTCAAGGCCTGCCCCTCGACGGCAGCGCTCGCCGTATACGCCCTCCTGGACCAGATGCTGACAATGTTCAAGGATCCAGAAGTGATCAGCATCCGTGCGCCGATACTTGGTCATATTGCTACCATTCTCAAGGCCTTGAGAGATGTTTATACTACCGAAGAGGCCGAGGAAGAGGCCTCAAAGGGCACCACCAATTACAAGTTTGCCGCCCCCTCTTCCGCTACCACCACCGAGTCAGCTGCTGATGCTGCAAACCAGGCAGCAGACGGCGGACCTTCGGCATCTCAAGATGTGGACATGTCGCCCGCACGTACATACGACGGAGATGGACGGCCTCTTGACAGTATGCGCGATGAGCTACTTGCAGCTCTTTCAAATGGCCTGCGATCGCACTCGTACCGCTCAAGCGCTCTGCTCGCCTTCGTGCATCTGACTCATATCCCGACCTTTCTTAGTGCGGCGGAGACCAACTACATGGCAGAAGCAGTCAACGACCTCATCCTCTCGCCCTCTGCTGAGGACATCCGAGGAGCCGCTCTAGATGGACTAAGAGATATTGCTAGGGTGAATCCCAAGGTTCTGGAGGAGACTACCCTACCTATCCTCTTCTCGCGCTTGCCCGATCGGATACCGCCGGCGCCCACAGCGGGCCCGCCTGGTTCCGGCGACGTGAGAGGAGTCATTCGAAGGGCCCTAGGAGCTCTGGCTCGGCTGTGTGCTCAGCCGGATCTGTTCGACATGCTGATTGTCAAGCTCTTCACAAAGCTGGACTTGACATGCGCGACTAGCTTCACAGCTACAGAAGAGAGGGAGTCGAACATCGGATACGCGAGAGGGATCCTGGTGACGGTCTTAACAGTCCTAGAGGAGAAGGTCGCGAAGGGCCACGGAGATGTGCCCCGCTACGGCGTTACACTCTGCCCGAGGCTCTTTGCCCTGGTCTTGGCTGCTGCAAGTGGCGAGGGTGAAGGAGAGCGCATCGCTCCCGTAGCAGCGGATGATCGAGTGTTGAGAGACATTGGCAGATTGATGACTGTCCTCGTGAGGAGTCTGGCAGCCGACAAGCAAGCTAAGCTGGCCAAGTGGATGTGCTCTGCCTTTCTGGACGGCAGCAACTCCTCCACTGGGCAGAGCACCTTTGCCTCTCGCACTGCAGACGGCTCTTCACTCCCCATGCAGCCGCTCAACCCTTCGTCGCCGAAGGGTCAGCGGGACGCAATGTCTGTGTTTGCAGCTGCTTTCGTCACTCTCAAGAAGGAAGTCGGCCTGCCGACCTCTGTGGACATTGGTACCTGGCTGCAGCAGCTACTTGCCTTCACCGTCAACGCTTCGAGTACACTCCAGGCTGAAGCCGGGTATACTTTACTGGCTGCAAGTGTCAACAAGTACGTTACCGAGCCGCTTGCAAGTGAAGTGAAGGATTTGCTCGAGACATTCTGGGAAGAGGAAGTGGCAGGAAGCAGCACAGAAGGCGCTACAAGCCCGGCAAGAAGCTCTCGAGCTATCCGAGCGTGGTTCTGGGTTGCAAAAGCACTCGTGGTACGCAACAGCCCTCAAGGGCAAATCATGATTGAGAAGGCACGATCAAGTCTGTTCTCGTCACCCCGCACAGGTAAAGAGGCCGCTCGGGCAATTGGCCTGGTGGCTCAGGCAGAGGATGGCATTCTTTCAAAGGACAATGGCGCTACCATCCGACTGCTCTACCGCCAGAAGTTCTTTGCCTACCTTTTGCCCCGCATCATCGAAGGGTACAGGTCTGCGTCGCCTCCAGGCGGACAGGCGGACGAAGAGGGTCAGTCAATCTACCTCATTGCCCTCGCATCGATCCTACCTTCGATGCCACGGCAAATCACCACTGAGCGTCTAGATGAGATTTTCCCCCTGTTGATCCGAGCTCTCGATTTGCCCGACTCGCAGGCAAGATGGAGCGCGGCTACGACTTTGACTTTGGCTGCTGCTCTCGGGAAGAAGGAGAGGGACGAAGAGATCCGAAGTGGCTCTACTCGTTCAGATGGTCAAGGGAAGAGGGGTGGCTCATCACTCGACTTGGTGCAAGACCACCTCTCTACCCTCGTGAGCCGTCTTCTCTCCATCTCTCAACCAAGCAAAGACTCTCCTGCAGAGGTGAGGATCGCCTCGCTGCGCTGCCTCAGCACCATCGGTCGTTGTGTAGCGGAGAGTCTGCTGCAAAATCAGGCTGGCAAGGTGCTCAAGGGGCTGAATGGACCTGGATGGGGCGTGGATGACCCAAAGAGAGCGGTGAGGATGGAAGGCGTAGATTGTAAAGCGGTGTGGCACGCAATCAGCTGAATAGATGGAAGGGAAATGGCGTAGTGTGAGCAAGACAATAGATAGCAATGCGTATTTCCTTGACCTCGACCTGCGACTCTGTGTGCTTCCGTTCCGAGATGCAGTGCGGAAGTGGCCCGTACGGCCGTCTTGAAATTTTGGTTGAGCGTATGCTTGGTATGCTTCCTACGCACAGGAGCAGCATAGCTCTGCTTGCATCCTCCCTCTCGAGCTCATCCTCTGCCTGACTCGTCGTCATGGCTCCTCCAAAGAAGAAGAAGACGACTTCGTCTTCGGCTCTGGCATCCCATTCGGACTTCACAAAGGCGAAATCGTCTCTCAAGGCCAAGCAGCGCGCCGTGCCCAACAATGCAACCAATACCGCCTTCAAGGCTCGCTCCATTGTTCTTCCCAACCAAGGGTCGATCACTCAGCTCGAGCAGAGGCGATCTACCAAGCTCACAGACGATCGAGGCAGAGGTGTAGAGGAGCTGGTAACACTACTCAGGGGTGTAGGCCAAGGAGGCGGCAAGAGCGAAGCCCTTGACTCCCTCGCTTCTCTCCTCCTCCGTCTACCCGATGGTACCACCACCGGCCTTGGCCTGCTTCCCGTTCTCCTCCCGTTGATCACCTCGAGCTCAGCCCAGGTACGTACATCTCTCTATCGTCTGCTGGACCACTTCCTCCGAGCAGTACCCAAAGATGCCCTCGCGCCATATATCACCACGATCACCCTCTGGCTCACCAGTGGGATGAACCACATTTGGAAAGAGGTGCGAGAGGATGCAGCCAGGATTGCAGAAGTGGTGATTGATATCACATCGCACGATCTGGTGAGAGGCTGGAGTTGGACCTCATCTACGGTTATCGGGGCTGGACAGGCGCAGGAGGAGGTTAGCAGTAATGGGGAGAGATTCTTCAGGACACTTCTTACCGCTCTGGGTGTCTCATTTGAGATTCAGGGAGGACGGGGATCGACTCAAGCGGGAGGCAGTAGCAATTCAGTATCCACCTCGACCACCTCGACGATGAACGTACAGTCGGATCTCTCTGCTTCGCCAACGACAAAACTCAGGCTGCTTCTTTGCCTTGAGAAGCTCATGCGATACGAGAGCGGCCTTGGCGCCTCGGACGACGGTGGAGAGCAAGAGCAGAACGACAGTACTTCTGCAAAGATATTCCCTTTGTGGATTTTCAGGTCAGTCTTTGCGAATCCTACCGATTGGGAAGGCTTTGCTGCAAAGTGGGAAGGTAGCAGGGCAGAGGTGGATGTGGACTTGCGCGGGTCACGGCCCGGCAGGAAGGAGATTGCGCCCTTCACCTCGAGCTTGGCTCTGCTGGAGCGCCAAGATGGCGTTGACTTCACAGATGTGTCGTCCTCGGCCGGTCTGGTCTTGTCCGAGTCAGACCTGAGCAAGACACTGTCTAGTGCCTCGAGCCTGCTCCTGGGCAACTCGCTGGTGGAGGGGTATCAGCACTCCTCCGCCCGTCCTACTACCGCCACATCAAGTCGCAGCGCCTCTACGCAGCCTTATCTGCAGCTTTACCATGCTCTCCATCCTTTACTGCTGCACACTTTCTTGGATCACGCCCCGAGCTCACTCGGACCCGGAGCTGCCATGCCCAATCGGAATCAGGAGATCCCCCTCGGTCTCAAGCTGATCGACAGCGTTCTCACCCTTGCGCGGACACTGTTCCGAGCCACTCTACGTTCCAACGACGAGGCCTCTGCGGGCGCTCCGACACAAGGTCTCAGAGGAGTAGAGAAGGAGGCGCTGAACAGACTTGGTGTGTTGCTCGGACACACGGCCATCTATTTTCCCTTTGAAGGCAGTCTGAACGGAGAAGAGGGCACAAAGAAGGCGGCTGTCCTCAAGAGAATCAGTGCTGGCTGGTGCGAACTTGTGGGACTACAGCAGATGTTGAGTGGAGATGGAGGTGGCAGCGCAGCCAAGGCTACGAAGAGCAAGAAAGGCAAAGAGATCGGAGGGGGCGCCCTGCACTTGGAAACGGTCGAGAGCTATCTAGTGGACCTGCTGCATTCGAATAGTCAGCAGGCAAGCAGCCTGCACGAGATTTCTGTGGTTGCCTCAAGCGTGAGCTCGGGCACTCGACTCTCCGAAGGCGAGTACCTCTCCTTGCTGCCCACCATCTGGCATCTCCTCACTTCCTCCCAGCCTGCGCCGACCACGACTACATCGAACGCATCCTCTGCCGCATCCTCAGAGCACCTCCCGCTCCTCTCCGCTCTTCTATCGCACTGGTCCTCTCTCAAGTCCTCCAACCCACTCAAAGCACACGGCTTCACATTCCTCGCCTCTCTCTGCTCCCTCCCCAACTACCCCTCTTTACGCGCAGACCTGAAGCGAATTCTCACGCGCCCTTCTTCCCCACTCGCACGACTGCTTCGCTCTGGACTCCTGGCGAGTGGCAATCAACTAGGGAAATACCTCTATGAGCTCGCCTCTTCCCTTCCTGGCGGCGGCGGTGGCGGAGGAAGGAACTCAGCTCTACCGGGGCCATCGGCACTGCAAGCAGCCCAAGTAGCTCTGAGGCAGCTACGCGCAGCCTTCTCCCTGCTGCTGCTCGATGGGCTGCGCTGCGATTCACCATACCTCCTTGAATCCGCTCACCTCTACACGCACCTCCTACCCACCCTCGCGCCCCTCTTTTGGATTCAACATCCCAGTCGCGGGGAAGTGCCGGGTCCTTGGAGACGGGTAGAGGCACTGGCTGGCGCTGCATCTGATTCTGGACTTGCGGCCAGTGTGCGGGAAGCGCAGCAGGTACGGAGAGCGGTCGAGGCTCTTGTCGAATTCGTGACGGAGGACACGAGGGGTGAAGGAGAGAGGACCGAAGGCGTGGTCAAGTTCTTGGGGGCTGCAAGGAAGGCTGGAGTGAGAACAAGGGTTTGAACGGGCACATTTTGATTGAAAGGGTATCACATTTGTACAAGTATCTCAGTCTACGCAATTTGTTACAGCTCATAAGTCCAGTCACATCTCAAGCGGTGTACCGCCTATCACTTGCTTGAGTCCTTCGCCACTAATGATGCATCTCGGAATAGCTTCCAGTCGATCGCGCGCCTTCGCCTTCGATCTGCGACTGCTAGGGTGACTGCACTTTCTCCGCCTAGCACATCCACCTCTCCGCCAGCTGTACTTGGAACGCTTCTCTTGACTCCCCTTCCAGGCAAAGAGCAAAGCGGAACCAAGCCCTGCCTACCATGTGCACACTGGAAGGGAAAGGTAGTCCGTGCCAGTTGATGTACGAGGCGGCGGCATTGTTCTGGCTTGAGCGGATCGTTGAACATGATTGCGCCACGGCAGGCTTTGGATCGGAAAAGATCCAGCAGGCGCGGAGGTAGGTGTCGGAGGGCGAGCATCCATTGGTGCTCTTCCATCTTGGCTGCTTCCAGGAAGGTAGAAGATGGGAGAGGAAGCGGCGTGTCATCATCGAAGAAGGATCGCAATACAGCCTCAAGAGTGGCTTTCTCCATTCGCAAACGCTCGGCGAGGGGCGCAGGAACGTGCGTCACCACTACCTTGAGTTCACGCGCTTTGTTCTCGCTGTCCTTGGCACCCCCAATGCCGTCAGTAGACGCTGCAGCCGATGCCACGCCGAACCCCCAGAAGCTGAGGGCCTGCGACCGAGTACTGGGAGGCTGGGCGATCAGCTCTTCTGGGATATTGCTCGGCAGCCAGATCTCAACCGGCTTCTTGAGAGTATGTGAAGCATCCGATGAGTGGGCTTGGCAGGAGGTGACGTACGCTTCCAGTATGGACTCGAAGCGCACTCGCTCTGCCGTTGACGAGAAGGAGAAACATTGATAGTCAGTATTGGTCCACAGTCTTGTAGTGTGTGATGCCACTTACCGTCGGCTGCATGCTGGTCGATGCAGAGCAAGACGTCTCTTCCTATACCATCGGGAACCCCTCGACCATCAGGGACAACAGTGAGTATGAACTTCGTCGCCACCTGGGCAATGACGTGAGCAGACTGCAGGGACAACTTCGATACATCCGCGCCCAGCAGGCTACCTTCCTGGTCAACGGTAGACGTAATGGGCCCGTCATGGCAGGCATGCGTAGCTTGCCCAAAAGCGCTTGCAGGCGAAGTCGAGGCAAAGAAAGTGCTTGTTTGTCTTGGGATCTGGGTTGGCAGTTCTGGGCGCTTTCGTATCCGGCTCCCATAGCGCAGATTATCATCAGCCGTCTCGCCGCCATCTGCTTCCCTGAGCGAGCGCAACAGGTCGACGCTCGGTATCGCGGCTTCAGCTTGAGTTGGCAGGGCTGGATTGTCCCACTTCTGTAGGACCTGCGACAACCAGGCTGGGGTTTGCGCGGATGCTACTTTGGAGTTCATTTCATCATTTCCCGCCAACATCTTGCGAAGACGCTTGCGAGGTTGGGCACTACCTCGGTCATCCGCGAATTCGTCTGTCTCGACGTCACCCGAAATTGAAGCCAGGCGGGAATTACCCGTCCGCTGATCGACAAAGTAGGTCTTGTGGCTGCTCGGGTCAAGGTATCGGATATGGCCCTCCGGTGTACCTTCTCTTGAGCGTGAGCTTCCCATCGACTTTGTGCTTGGGGTTTGAGATGACTCCGCCGCGCCCTGCTTTGGCTTCAATGACGCCGGAAAGATCAATGGTAAGGGCTTGGGTTGAACGGACGTAGAGGAAGCTGTTGTGCGGGGCCGAGAAGCAACGGTCCCGCGAGTACTGCTGCGCTGACTTTGTAGACTACTCGAGGTAGCTGGGCGTCGTTCTGGAATGGTGTTCTTAGCTGATGTCCCGACGATACCCTTCCCCCGACGACCGGATGACATCAGGCCCTTCTCTTGCAGAACTCCTTCGATCTCCTCTTCGATAATGCGATTCACAGCGTCCTCATCGACAATGGTCTTGTCACTGGGCCCCTTCGACTCAAGCCAAAGATCAAAGAGGAAGCTTGGGTGTCCAGTGCGGCCCAACTTACGCTCGAAACGCTTGGGGCCGTCAGGTCGAACAAGGTTGGACACTTCGCCAGAGCCGAAGCCTTTGGCAACTGCAGCCGCGATCGTCTGACCCACTGTACGCCTCTCCTTGGCCGTTGCCGATTGGGGCCTTCTTGAAGCGTGTACCTTGATTCTCGCAGTGGAGTGGAGGCACCCGTCTTCTTCATTATTCTGTAGGAGACTCGGCTTGTTTGAACCGAAGCGAAACTCTGCACTGATGCTGCTGAGGAACTCTCCCAGTCCAGCATCGATTTGACAGCGGCGACCTTGCAAGTAGATGTACTGATGCGCCTTGGACGTTTGCGGAACCAGTAGGAACATGCCACGGCCACGAAGAATTGTGGAAGCGGTCTCTGACTGATCTGAAGTAGAGCAGAGGACATGTGTGAAGCTTATGCTCTCGTAGTCGTCGTTGCCAAAAGGGATCGTGGTAGCGCGGAACCTGTCCGCTAGGGCTGTCGCCCTGGGGCAGAACAGTAACGTGCGATCTGCCGAACCTTGGAACATGCCATTAGTCGATGCGGGGGAAGCTTTCAGTGTAAAGCTTATGCCAGGCTCTCTGAGTGCCACCTCCAGCATTACCTTGCGACATGCTTCCAATGAGGCCCGACGTCCGGCTTCATCCAATCGTGAGGGACGCCGGAGAGGCACGGACCGGTATAGGTCCCGAACGGCTACTTCGGTACCCGGCAGAGAAGCATGGGCGGAGCGTCCCGTGGCAGAGGAGATAACAGCGACGTTTGCATCGCATCTTGTACGGCCAGAGTTGATATCGTCTCGCCACTTGGAGGTGAGTCCCGAGAAGATGGCCTGCTCCCCCCTCTGTATCAGCGTCCACCTCTGCCCACCCATCGGTGGAGGACCTTGGAGGCTGGTTTCGACGGAGAGTAGACCCACCGCGGCCATACTGGCTAGCGCTTCGCCTCTCAGGCCATATTGTGCTTGTCCTCGGCTGTCCCTGCAGTCCTTGTCATTGGTTGTGACGTAGCGCTCGACTCCCTTTGGCGGGTATTCTCCCCGCGAGTAGGAACCCCCTACAAGCAGCGCGGCGTGAAATCCATTGCCATCATCGCGGCAACTGATGGAGTTGGTTGAAAGGTCAACGATGACTTCGACGTTGCGTGCGCCTGCATCGAGAGCATTGTAAGCTAGCTCCACGAGGAGGGATGGCAGCGAGGGGAGGTGGGCGGTGGAGCGGAGGAGGGAGCGTACGGAGCGAGACAGGCGCAGGATGGGCGGATGCGAGTCAGAGGACGAGGATGAACCACCGACTCCTTGTGAGTCTTTCAGCGTAGAGGCCATGTTGTGCTCAATATCAACGCCGCCATGCTGGGGCTGCAAGGGATTGAGGAAGGAGGAAGACAGAGACAGACCAGGATGAGATCGACGGCGGTTGGCCAGGATTTTGGTATCACGGAAAGGGAGCAAGGGGAGATTCAGACACGCCTCGCGGGGGGAGAGAGTCTATAATGTACTTCAGACCAAAATGGCACAGCAGACGTAATGATTGCAATGATGGTGACATAAAAGGTGACGCCGCTTAGAGCGTGCAATGATGACAAGGGTATAATACAAGGTGGGACTGGTCATCGTCGTCGTCTAGGACCGAGGCAGTACAAGCGCCAATGCAGAAGACGGTCTCGAGGCACGCCGCCCAGAAGCTGCCATCTGGCTGCGTACTCTTATCCCACGCTAGGCCTCCTGCTCTCTTCGGGCCTGGGCTTGATGTGTCGCTTCCATATCCGCTCACAAGTGTTTCTGAACCATACGCTCGCAGGCTGAGATTGGAAATGGGGCCGATTATCTTGCTCACCCGAAGCCCTGGCCCTCTTCCTCTTCATCCTCCTGCGGAATTGTGCCTCGATGACCTTGAAGATGATACAGTCCAGAATGCCCTGGGCAAAGACCAGCCAGCGCGACGCCACACGCAGAGGGTCGGTCGGCTTGAGGGAGTACTCAGGATGGGCCATATCTCTGCAGATGCGGATGACGGACACGGAAAAGAGGATGACGTATGCCGCTGGGTAGAGCAATAGCAGAGCACTGGCCTGGCGATTGAGCGTACTGCCGGAAGTCTCCACTGCATTGACATCCGAACTTCTTGCTGAGGTGGTATGGTCGTTTCGCCCGCCCTTGGCAGCGCCTCCTGCTGCTAGTAAGCTTCCTCGACGGCTGCCGGCACCAGCAGCGGTCACATTCTGACCCCAAGCGAAGTTGTCGTCCAAGTCCGCATTGTACGGCCGTTTGGCACCGTGGCGTCCATCGCCATAGCCGCCGTCTCCTTCGTCCTGGCTCCCAAGCATGGCAGCTGCCTTGCCACGAGCAGGTGGGCCACTCCGGAGGGCCTCGATGACAGAAGTGGTGTTGGCTGACACCCACATCGGTGCAAGAGGCCCCTCGGCCCGTTCTGCGGGCGCAGACGCCATGTTGAAGTCCTTCGCTCTTCTCTGCGGCTGCGCTGGCTTTAAACCAGCCCAGCTGTGGTAGTCGGGGATTTCGTCATCATCGTCGTCGTCGTCCTCCTCGTCCTCCTCGTCATCGTCCGAGTCTCCTGCATCGCCGTTACTTGCTCCTTTTCTACCTGCCGATGATGACTCGCCACTAGACAGACCCGAGTGGAGTTTGTCCCCCTCCAAGAAAGAGTCCCCACTTGCTTGGCCGGTAGACGCGGCAGTGCCCGAGGGGAGATAGACTGGCATAGACGACAGAAGAGACGGACTGGAACGGCCATCCTTGTCTGCACTGGGCGAGTCGGCAGGAAGACTACTGCTCTTCTCTCCTGTTGAGTAGTCTGTATCAGACAGGTAGCTGGAGCGCTTGGCATCAAAGCTGGGTACGGTAGCACCTGGCGCAGTGAGGGGCGCAGCAGCGACCGGCCGCGTTGGTGAAGGCGGCAGCTCACGGGCGGCCATGTTTGGCGTAGCAGCAGCAGAGCTCAAGAAACCATAATCCTGTAGCTCCATCTGGCCAAATCTATCGGCACCTTCATGGTCACCGCTCATGAATTGCGCAGCTGGACGACTGTTGCGCGTAAGGGAGAGCTGTGACTTCCGTTGCCTCTGCTCCAAGGTGTGGCTCTGACTCCTCTGCGCCTTCTCGGGGTCTCGAGTGTTCATTGCCGAGTCGGTCGAGCTCTCAGTCCGCGTTCTGCGGCCGTACTTCTTCCAGAAATTTGTACGACGGAGGAAGAAGAAGAGACGCGTGTAGAGGACGAGGATAATGAGGACGACCGCAGATCTGCACAGATGTATGAGAGGATGGCTCATCAGCGGGCTAATCTAACACACCAAGATCGGCGACGTGCACGTTCGAGATGAAGCGGCAACTTACCTGGGAAGCACTTGCCAGAGACCGGCGAAGATGGGACTCCCTCTGCGCCCAATATAGCAGTACCCATTGCTGTATCCAAAGCCCGAAATCACCCAAGGCGCAGCGTTAAGCGCCAGTGCAATGGTCCAGATGATGGGCCAAAGCCACATGACTTTCCTCTCGAGCAAGAGTGTGGTGTAGGCTAGGGGGTGTACAAGGATCATGTAGGTAACTGCTAGGATGGCCAGGTTCCACATGTGCTGAGCGTAAAGGCCGGCCGAAAGCGCGTAACCCAGAAAGGTGCAAGCACGAACAGCCGCTCCGGTTGTGAAGTCGCCTCCGCTCACGAGATAGGCTGTAGAGGCAATGACAGTGGAACTAAGAAGGGCAGTGTGCGAGCGGCAATGTCAGCCGTGTGTCAAAGACCTCATCTCGTCCTCCCCCGCCTGTACGTACTTTGAGATCAAGTCTGCAGTGGCTAGACCGAGAATCAGCGAATGACGCAGCTTACGATTGTGCTTGCTGAGGAGATATGGCACGATGATGATCAGGGCTCCAACACCGGAGCAGACACAGATGACGAGGTCTACGATGTCTCCCGTACGGCCAATGGGAGCAGTGTCCGCGTCTGTCGTTGTCGACGCCGCGGGCGCCGATGACGACGACGACATCGTTATAGAGTACGGCCGGAGAGAGGCGCAGAGGAGGTAGATGAGAATGCCCTCACTCTCCTGAGGGAAGACTCTTTGACAGCAGGTTCAGATGTGTCTGTCGGTCAAGGAGGGTATCTGGTCTTGCCACCAGGACAAGATTAAGGTTTGTGAGGATAGCAAGATGACCAGGATGAGGACGTCTTTCGCAGCGTAATGAGGGCGACTTCGTCTTCAAAGACAGAAGGGGCAGATGCTATGGAAGATGGGTAAGCTGAACAGCCTGTTTGACGCGATTGTGTTGTGAGAGTCCGAGTAAGAGGGGAGGAGAGATGCAGAGATGGCGATGGGAGGGCAAAGGTGGAGAGGAGGAGGAATTGAGAGGTCGAAGGGAGATGCGAACAGCGAAGCGAACTGTCTCTATTCGTCGTATGAGATGTGAAGAGGATGATGGAGAAAAGGAGAAACGAAGCAACGGTAGGACAATCGATGAACGGTAGGCAGAGATCGGGGGGACCGAGATCAACCACTTGTCGCAGCGAATGGGGGACGGGGATGGGATCAGCGGCGTTTGAACCCGGACGGCCAGAGAGAAGCGAGGCAAGGGGCGGTGGGAACAAGCGGGAAGGCAGGGAGCAGCAGTGCTTGGCCAGTCGGACTTCCCCTTACCAGCGACGAATTTCACATTCATGGTCCAGTGCTATGCCAGAGCCCCCGCATCCTTGCCATCACTTCTCCCCTGACATTGCATTCTGTACGTAGCTACACGTCCTTTGCGTGGTATGCACCTGAGACCCTCGAGTGCAACTGGTAGTGTCACTGAACTAGCATGTCCTGGCCTGGTGGTGATGCTAGCGGGCTCTTCTGCTGCAGACTGGCGCACAGCCCAACCTCCGCTCGTACCGACGAAAGCCCGCCCGCCACGCGTTGAAGCTAAGGTTTCATGCGGCCTCTGACTTGCCGCGGCGCAGATGCCTGGTCTCGCGGCAGCGGAGCTTATACTCTACTTTGATCTCCCTCACTCCGCAAGCCATGGCCTAGCCATTGTTGCTCTACAGAGAGGTTGGGCGATGGAAAGCTTCGTGTCATGTTGGTGACACAGGGCAGAAAACCACGGGCAAGGACATTGAGACTTCTAGCCGACAGAGTGGATGCGGCCCATTCCTGCTCCTGTCAACTCGCCCTGAGCAGGCACTCCGCAATCCTTCGGCCAATGACGCCTGGGTGCTCAGGTACCCGAGCTGCAGCAACAAACATGACTCTGGGCTTGGAGACTTGCTTGCCCATCGGCATAGCTCAAGGCTAAACTTGCCTCTATCGGGCATGTCAAAGTCAGGCACTGTATTGCTCTATGTTATGGTTATGGGGTGCGCAAGGACCGCGTGACCCAGGCAGGACCTTGGCAGTTCCCTTGTCGCGCCCTTCGATGTCAACGCGGAGGGCAAGGCGGGGGCTGATACGGCGCGATAAGTCCTCCGTTCAATCTTTCGACACACGCGTTTCAGTCGGCACATCCGCTATGTCAGGGGTTGTGACCTACACTTTGATCGTAAGCAGGCGTAAATGGGCGTAAGACTGTGCTGCCCTGCTCTCCGTATCCGGGCTCCGGACCGGAAGTTCAAACGGAGAGCGTTGCTGCGCTTTCCCCAAATTCCGACGCGCTCGTCGACGACCACCGGCTCAGTGCCCAGACGCGCTCTCCATGCCGCGGCCTTTCTACGAGCAACTTCAGTGCTTAGCCTCGTGGTTGATATCGGTCGATCAGCGGAGATGAAGCCCCATGTTAGCCAGATGGATCGCTCACTCCCTACTCCGCATGGCGAGCTCTCTTGCCGCCGAGCCGCCGCCTAGCGAGGACAGCACAAGTAGGAGATCAAATCGGGGGTTGTATACTTCAGGGTCCACGGCTACAGCATCGAATCAAGACCTAGCCCTTGGAGGATAGAAGCTGTCGCCTGCCCTCGAGATGCCCTCCGATGGAATGTTCTATCGAATGCGACGACGCTTTTTTGAACCCATCTCCGAAGCCGCACCATGGCCAGGCTTCCAATACTACGGTAGCGAAGCGCCTCTTAAACGTCTAGGGTCCCAGGTGCAATGGTTCGATGCACCGTCAGCAGGCGGACTGTCAAGCTTGCTGCCTTACTTTGCTCCCAACTCGGGGAGGTGTCGTCTCAGAGGACGCTGACGCATTCATATACACTGCAAAGGTCGAGCAAAGATCTTCGCCTGACTTTCGGTATGGACTTACTGCAACCAGTGACTGTGCGCCTTCGCGTGACCCGTAAAGGTCACCATCTCACAGGCCGTTGAACCTTTGCAGCCAGTTCTTTTACCCTCAACGCTTGGGCAATCGTGCCAATTGACGATCCGATGATTGAATCGGGGCTATCTTTACCCAACAATTGCTAGCTGAGTGCACAGAAGCAAGTCCCGCCGGGACTACCTCCCGATATTCGACAAGGCAGTGATACATCTCCTCAGCTCCCCAATTATCCGATCCGGATGCCTGCTAGAGGACTACTGACACTGACAATCTCTCCGAAAGAGTGCCGCTCTGCACATGGCATGAGCCCTTTTTCTCTGTAGACTGACGATGGCCGACCGTGGCCCTGCAAGTGGCTCACAAAGTGGCTTTCTCGAGTCGGCTGCATGAATGTTTCGGCATCGTTGGATCTTGAAGGGCATTCGAGTATTCTCCGCGACGTCGGCTCATCGTCCATCGCATGTCCCATTGCGGATGTCAAATGAACACCTATGACCTTCCCAATCCACGGATCGGAGTCCGAGATGCAGTATCAGACTGATGATTCCCTTTGTATAGCTCCGCCGACTTCTTGAGTTCATGGACCCTCATGGTCGGAGGATGACGCTGTAAGGTCCGCAAGAGACTCCTATCGAACTTTGAATGTCAGGGGGCAGAGAAGTATACGCCAGGGTCCTTCACACCTTTGCGAATCCGGCTCACCGAGTTTCAGATTTCTCAGACCGTGGCACACAACAGCAAGCTGCTATTGGATCTGGTTCTACGAAAACGCTCTGGGATGCGGTGCAAAGCGGTGACATCCATTTCTCCTTGTTCACAACCCTGTGCCGATGGCAAGACTCATGGTCCACGACAGCACAAGCGTAGAGTGTGCCGTAGGTATGTCAGTGGTGCATCTTGTTGTGACTCACTAGACAGTGATGTCGAGTTGCACACGAGCTGCATATTGTGTCAATTTGGGCGACAAAAGGAGGTCTTGGTGGGCTGAGTGGTACTACGCTGTCACGCGCGTCGCACGGGTCCAAGCCAAGTGAGCGAGTATAGCGTCGCTTGGCATCCGATCTCCCAAGATATGAACCAAATTGTGCTAGTATCACAAACAGCCTGTGTCCCGAAACATGTGTATACTTGACTTGTGGTACGTCCCGTGACAGAACGACGCCTATCGCCCCATGCTTGCGCTTTGAAGTCCACCCACCCGTCGTGCTTCCGCCTTGCGCCGGCAGTGGATGTCACGTGATGCGCCTTGCGGTCATTGGTCGACGGCAGCTGCCGCTTCTCCGCCCTCACAGAAATAATTGCGGGCCACCAGCGCTTCCTGCCCGTCACCCACCCATCCCCACTCCTCCCCTCATCAATACTTCAAAGTAAGTTTCATCAGACTCGGACATCATCATCGTCGCATTCGCACATTCCTTCCGCCTTCTGCTCTCGTTGCGGCTGTCAGAGGCTGGCAGCCCGCAGACGTAGTGAGAGATTGGAAAGAGGCCAGGTCGGATGGAGAGAGGGAGACTCGTGTCAGTGAAACTGCAGCTGGGGAGGGACCACCTTCTCCTTCACATTGAAAGCACCGCATCTTGAAAAGTTCATCTCTGGCTACACAAAGGTCTTGGGGGATTGCGATATGCTAGCAAATTGTGAAAGGGAAGGTGCAAGGCGGACCCTCCGAGGTGGCTAGCAGTGATATTCACATCTCGTATGATTGAGGAGCTGGTCAAGCTATTGCTCTCCGTCCTGGATTGTTGGATTGGACACATATCGGCACGCCTTTAGCGAGAGACAAAGAGACTGACTAGACTTTCGCTTCCCTTCTCGCCTTCCTGTAGATGGCACCTAAGATCGACCCCAACGAGGTGAAGATCATCTACCTCCGAGCCGTCGGTGGTGAGGTTGGTGCTTCCTCGGCACTTGCCCCCAAGATTGGTCCTCTCGGTCTCGTGAGTATCAAGTGAGAGCGGCGCTGGTTCATATATGGTATTGGATTGAGGGACCGATAGGCAAATGGGGGATCTGTAGCTGGCTTAGGCGTTATCTCCCTGTCGAAGTGGCAGGGAGATTAGGGGCCACTTGCTTCATCAGTCATCAGCCCTGGACATGGCAGACGCAGCTCGTTCGTTTAGGCGATCAGCACTGGGACCTGCGGGGCTGCGTAGAGCTTGCTCCGGACAGCTCTAACAGGGCCGTCGGCGTATCCCGATCTTGCACGGCTCGTCTCGGTGGGCAGCCCATGCTCGTGGCTACTGGCTGCGTCGAAGGACCGAGTCGCACCATGGACATGGTACGATCTCCGTATACTTGAACTGCTACTGACCGAAGCAACATCCTCTTTACTCTTTGCAACGCCACAGTCTCCCAAGAAGGTCGGAGAAGACATTGCCAAGGCTTCGGGTGACTGGAAGGGTCTGCGTGTGACTGTCCAGCTCACTGTCCAGAACCGACAGGCTGCCGTCGCTATCGTGCCCTCTGCCTCTGCCCTGGTCATCAAGGCCCTCAAGGAGCCTCCTCGTGACCGCAAGAAGCAGAAGAACATTGCCCACAGCGGAAACATCCCCTTCGACGAGATCATCGAGATCGGCAGGAAGATGCGCCACAAGTCGTTTGCCAAGAACCTCGCCGGAACTGTCAAGGAGATCCTGGGTACCGCTCAGTCCGTCGGCTGCACCGTCGATGGCCAGCCGCCGCACGACATCATCGAGGGCATCGACTCTGGAGAGGTCGAGGTGCCAGATGAATAGTGGTATCGCGAGTAGTCTGAATTCAAACAACTGCCGCGCCTCTGCTTTCACTCTCTCTCACCCTATCCGTGTAGATCTAGCCTAGCTCTTCTTTCTCATCTCTCTTTTTTCCGATCGTCTGTCACATTACCACAAAACACAGTTCATCAGCACAACTCTGGAGAGTGAGGTTACGAGTGGTCATCAGTAACAGAAAGGGGGTATCATTGGCAAGAGTAGAGTAGTACAGATAGGGAGGCAGGTACGCTGCCGAGACCTTCTGGCAGATGTGGACTTGGATCCAATGGCAGAGTAGCAGAGGTCTTGTCGAGTATGTGTCTGTCTGTGCTTGCTTGGAGTTACAAGAGGCCCTCCGCCTTGCTAGAATCCGAGCAGTGCAGCCTCTCGAGAGAGATCTCATGGCGCACGAGAATGTGCGGCCGAGCGGAAGAGGCTTGCTGGTGGTAGAGTTGAGGCGCTGATCCAGTGGCGAAATGCCCTGCTCCTCGCGGCTACGATGCGATTGCTTTCTTCCATCTTGTGAGCATGTTGAGGTTCTTGCTGCCATTGACTACGGGCCCAACAGGCTGCTGGTGCTGCTGCTGCTGCTGCCTATCCTCTTGCCCCGCCACCTTGGTTTCCTGCGACGCCCTTCCCTCTGGATCCTCCAATTCTGCTGAACTGCTTCTCTGAGCTCCTCCATTGTCTCGGCTACTGCCTTTACTACCCTTGCTACTGCTGACTTGCGTAGTGTCGGTGGTGGCGGCGAGCAAACTCTGCCCCCTCCACTGACGATCCTGCCGATCCAGCTCCTGCCTAGAGACCCTGAGCGCCGGGTCGAGGAAGCGTGGTCCTCCTGGTTCTAGCAGAGAGCGGGGTGTGCAGGGACAGGGCGACATCGCTGGAGTTCCTGCTAGCAGGTGGGAGTATTGAGATGCTCTCCTTGCTGAAGCTCTGAAAGTTGGAGGATCTTGGTGGGATGTGGAAGGCGGAAGGGCTCAATACTCTGGGGGAGGTGCCCACCCGTCAGCCAGAGTCTTGCGTGTGCCCTGCATGAGCCTGACTCCGACGCGGGGGGGATGAAGCTTCGCTTGGCTGCGAGATCGGGACCGCCGTCTTGGGCTCGTCTCCATCCGACGAAAGCCAGAATGATTGGGGAAAGAATGAAAGGGGTTCCAGGCCTAGCAAACACTCAAGGTGACAGACATCGAAGAATTCTGATACCGCAAGCATGCCATACGGACGGCACTTGTATCCTTCCGGTCGGACCGCGCCGGGAGCTTACTCCTTCGCGTGCACATGGGCGCAGTTGCCGTCTGATCGATGGGCGCCACGCTTGCGGACAATGATGGCCTGAGACTGCCAAGATCGATGTTAACAATGTTCACTGGGTGCGGCTCCACAGCTTTCCCTGAACCGCAACGACGATGTACTTGCGAGGCGCACCGCCAAGGCTTTCAGGGGGACAAGCTTCTACTTGTACCCCTGTACGCCCCTCTACGGCAGCACAAGGTCCGGGCGGACAAGGAGGCGGGCGGGAATAGATTGATGGATGTTGCTCCTGATGCAATGCGCATTGCAGTCAACGAGGGACAATCATATAAGAATCAAGAAATTGAGAGAACTTTGCCAACTGCCCCCGTCGTCCTTCACTCCCTCCCTCCCCTCACCGCTCCTACCTTCCTCTGTGGCGTCCATCTACAGGCCCCTTCGACCCCAGTCTAGGCAAACAGCCGACACACAATATCACAATGGCCTCCTCCGCCACCTCTTCCCCTAGAGGCAGCCGCTATGTCTCCTCCCTATACCTCCTCGTCACCCTCGCGCTCCTCCTCGCAGGCGTCTGCCATGCCCAAGTAGGCCAGGAACCAGCACTAGCCCGCGCTGCTGCTCAGGTGGATGCTGCCGTACCTCCAGAGATGCGAGCCACTCGTCAAGTCTTTGAACTCGACCCCGAGACGCTGCACGCCACCGAAGAGGACCACCAAGCTCGATTGAAGGCGAGTCAGATGAGGAGCGAAGGGGCTCTCGACAAGAGGAATCAAGAGGGCACTCCCAGTGAGGCTTCCAACCTCAAGCTCACCCATGCAGAAAAGATGCCCACTGTCAGCGGCGAACCTCAGTCTCTCGACGATCCCCTCGGACTAGGCAAGCTACAGAAGATCGTCGCACGCGCTGTCCAAGATCTCAAGCCTTCCAACCGTCAGACTCACTTCCACGCCCGCAGAGCCAAGAGTCCAAACAGGGTCGCTGTCAATGAGCAGATCCTGCACCAGGATCTCGAGGAGGGCCTCGATGAGCTGTCCAAGTCAAAGGGAACATCCAGAGACGAGCAGGATCGGGATCTGGCAAAGCTGGTCAACGCATTCATCGGTACAGAGGCCAACAGCAACCCTGGAAACGTCTGCCCCGGTGCCTCGACCCCGTATGGCATGGTCAAGTTCAATGTAGACGTCGACCAGTACGCTCCTGCCGGGTACGTCACTGATCTCACCGGCGACATCCGAGGTCTCTCTCCCCTGCACGACTCGGGCACAGGCTCATCCGCTGGGTCCTTTGGCAACTTTGAGTCTATGCCCATCGTCTGCCCCGATAATGACTTCAAGAAGTGCCCCACTCGCCTAGACGACCGAAAGCGCAAGCGTCTTGCTGGCAAGGACGAGGCTTCGCCTGGATACTTTACCCTCACGCTCGACAACTCGATCAAGATGGAGGCTACAGCCACTCGACGCGCTGGTCTCATCCGCTACACTTTCCCAAAATCGGCTCTCGACGGCGGTAAGCTGGACCCACATGTTGTTCAGGACTGGACCAACGATCTGCCTGGTACATTCCGAGGAGGTGACATCCAGCTCGACGCAGAGAAGGGTCAGATGCGGATGAATGGAAGTTGGGCCAGCTCTTTTGGCGTAGGTCAGTACACCTACCGAGCCTTTAGCTGTGTCGATCTGCTCAACAACGGCAAGCAGAGCATCAAGAAGGCCGGTCTTTGGCAAGGAGATCGATTCGGACAAGACACCAAGCTGGAGATTGAGGGAGACCACAAGCAACTGCATGCCAATCTCACCAAGAACTCTATCGGAGGCCAGCCTGTGCAAGCTGGTGCCCTTGTCTCTTTTGGCAGCTTTCCCACGACGAGCGATGGATCTGCTGAGATCACCCTGCGAATGGGAATCAGTTTCAACTCTGCTGAGCAGGCTTGCGCCAACGCTGCTGAGGAGATCGGTGACGCATGGGACTTTGATGCTATCGTCAAGCAGACTCGTGAAGCATGGAACGTCAAGCTGAATCGCTTCCAGATCGACCCCAAGACTGACAAGACGATTGCTGAGCTGTTCTACTCGTCTCTCTACTACGCTTTCCTCACCCCAAACAATGCCACCCTTGAGGCTGGCAATCTATACCCAGGTGCTGAAGACTACGATGGCAATTACTACAACTCACTCTACTGCACATGGGACACCTACCGTACCTTCCACCCCTTCCTGTCGCTCAGCTCTCCCAACGATATGGCGGAGATTGTCGACAATTACATTGACGGCTGGAGAAAGAACGGCTGGATCCCTGAGTGCAGAGCGAACAATGTTCCCGGACTGACACAGGGAGGCTCCCACGGAGTCATGGTCATCGCCGACTTCCTGGCCAAATACCACAAATTCGCCAAAGAGGGAAAAGTACCTGTCAGTATTGACGATGCCTACGAAGCCGTCTTCAAGGACTCGTACGTCACTCCAGAGGATTGGAACTCCTACGGTCGACAGATCTCCGTGTACGAACAGTACGGCTATATTCCCTTTGCCGTCTTCGACACCTACTCTACTGGTCGCCAGACCCGTGAAGCCTCTCGTGGACTCGAGTATGCTCACAACGACTTTGGCGCCAGGACCGTGGCCCTCATCGCTGGACATGAAGATGTGGCTAAGGATCTCGGTGAACGATCTCTGACGTACAAGAACAACTTTGACCCTTCGGTCACCTCGATGGGGTTCTCCAACTTTGTGCAGAAGAGGTACCCGGATGGATCATTCCACTATGACGACCCTACCATCTGCTCGCCGATCGACCACGGCAAGGATCGCCAGTGTTCGCTTCCTCAAGAGAACGTATGGGGCGTCTACGAGACCTCGTCCTGGGAGTACAGTCTGTACTGCCCCTGGGACGAAGCCGGCCTCATCACACTCATCTCCAACGACAGTGTTCAAAACTTCCACGATCGTCTGGACACATTCTTCGAAAAGGGCCTCTACTACTCTGGCAACGAGCCCTCTTTTTCGACTCCTGTCAGCTACCACTACATCTCCCGCCCCGTCTCTTCGGTGAAGCGTGTCCGCCAAGTAGTCTACGACAACTTTAACACTACCACCAGCGGTCTTCCAGGCAACTCGGATCAGGGAGCAATGCAAACCCTGCTTCTCTTCCATCTGCTAGGCCTCTATCCCGTCCCAGCAACCAAGGAGTTCCTCATCCTCTCCCCCTTCATGCCTTCCTACACGATCCGCAATGAGCTACTGGGAGATCTCCACGTGACCGTGACCAACTTCGATGCTCGCTCCCTCGCCCGCTCTATCCCCTCTGGCGTACCAGCCTACGTGGAAAAGGTACTGATCAATGGAGTCGAGAGGAGTGGAAGGTGTAAAGTGGAGATGCAGGACTTGTTCCCTGGTCAAATCGGGCAGGTCAATGAGATGGAAATTGTTCTCACGGCCGAGGAGGGGAAAGTGGACAATTGTGGGAAGAGCAAGGAGGACCTGCCTAGCTCGCTCTCCACTGGTGGATTTGCCAGCTTTTGATCAGCAGAGAGGTGCTTGACTGCTGCGTAGTAGCGCAGTGTACTGTACTCAGCAGGATGGTGACCCGAGCGACAGACGCGAATTTGACTTTTCTTTCCAACTTGTTCAACTCCCTTTGGCCAGCGAGCCTCATCTGAAATGACAGTCACTTTTCCTTTCTCAGCCTGTCTGAGCACCTCACGTCTGCATCGACACAGTATTCGTGGCATCAGCGGATATAGTATTGCGTGCACGGACACCGCCAGCACATTCTGATCGCCATTGCCATCGCCGCCGCCACGACAAGCTCCCCCACTAGCCAGCCTGCCTGCCGGTCTGCCTGCCTGCTCAAGCACGAAATGCCAGCCCCTTCGTATTGCGATTCACCGGTGGCGGGGGAGGACGTCGCCTCTGTCCACTCCCACCCCCGCTCCCACTCCCACTGGCACTGGCACTGGTACTTCGGGATTCACTCCCGCCTGCACTACCACCACCTACCTCATCGCCAGAAGAGGAAGGAGCATCCTCTCCCCCTCCCCTCGCACTAGTAGCACTAGTGCTCGCACCGCTCAATACCCTGACGCGGTGATGAAGTCCACTTCCCACTCCTACTCTGGCCGCACCTTCCCTACCCTCACCCTCACTCTGCGCTCCCTCTTCTCCTGGCAGACCGACTACGGCTGCGAGTGGTGTACGACCTACATCGGACGAGACGCGGGAGCGCGTGTAGAGGCGACGATGACGAGGAGGTTCCTGGCCCGACAGCACTGGCGTTGCAGCTGGGGCAGTCGAGTACTCGCCGCCGTCGCTACCGCCACCGCCACCGCCACCGCCACCGTCTATCGAGCCGTGCAGCTGCTGTTCCTCACTGTCGGTGCGCTGTGGCCATTTGTAGTGTGAGGCAGAAGTGGAGGAAGAGGCAGTGGAGGAGCGTCGCTCGTACGGTCCGGATCCGGATCCGTAGCCATACCCGTATCCGTACCCATCGTCTGCTGCTCCTGCTGCCGTCGCTGCCGCCAAAGAAGTCGGAGCGACCGCGTTAGCCAGGGCTGAACTGCTTGCCGGAGGTGGAGCGGGGGGTGCTCGTCTTCTCGATGTGCCCGTGCCCGTGCCTGTGCCTGTGCTGCGGGAGGTCGAGGCGGGCGTACTGCTCCGAGTCAGCGAATCCCCTTCGCTGGTGAGTCCCTGGCCGTATCCATTACCGCTTCCGTGACCATTGGCATAGACAGGGCTGGCGGTTACGTGTAAGCTATGGTTGAGGTTGTGAGCTAAATTGTTGGAATCTTCCTCGGCTGGCTCAGCGCCTCGGGCGGAGAGGGGCGAAGAGATGGAGGGGAGATACCCGTCCCCGGTTTCGAGGTGAGGGAGATACCTGCCTTCGCTCCCAGTATGGTGCTGGTGTAGGTAGTGTTGCGCGTACTCGTCCTCCTGATCATTCAACCCATCAGTCTCTTCCCGACCAGCTGTCCGTGTGGATGACTCGTACGAGGAGGCTCTGTCTGGGATGACCAATCTGGACGAGTGCACTTCGGGGGAGGAACCTGCGCGATCCTGGACCATCGAGACGTGCCTTCTGCTGCTCTCGCTGACACTGTGCGGTGGTGCAGACATGTTCTGTGCTGCTCCCCAAGAGACTGCATCGTTCCCAGCGGAAAGGTACTGCAGCGTCGAGCCGTGCTCCTGATCAGAGCTGCTGGAGGGTAGGCCTTCTCGTCTTTTTGCGCTCAACGTAGGTGGAGCAGGCGGAGCTCGCCTGACTCCCGCCGAAGAGGACGTAGAGGAGCAAAAGTCGCGGCTGCTGCTGTCACGGGAAGGTCTCATCTCGCCGTGTGAGGCCCGTCTTGCAAAGGTTCGCGAGGGCGGCGGAGCCAGTAGGCTGTTGCTCTGTATGGGGGAAGTACTCGGTATAGTCAAGACTTCTGACTCCTTCTCAGCATCTTCCCGGCCCTCTTCTTCGACCGGCGCTTCCTGCCCCTTGTTCCACTCCGCAATCTGACTCTGCCAGCTCGGCTCGAGGGTGGACTGTCTTCTTGTCTGGGCATCTGCAAATGCCATTGCTTCGGCTTCCTCTCCGGCCTCGGACAGAGGTGTGAAGACGCGTTCCTGTGCTTCTCCATCGAAGCGGGGTGGAGGACTGCTAGGGGCACTCCTTGCTGTGAAGGTGTTCCGGAACCGAGGTGCATCGAGTACGCTGGGAGGCGAAAGAGTCGGCGCAGGAGCCGAGACGGGCACTTGACTTGCCGCCTGAGCATGCAGGTCATTGGAATACTGTGACTGTGAAGCATTTCCAGCCTCGTCCACCGGCTCCTCACTGACCAGCTGACTCTGCAGCCCTTCCAGTGTAGTCTCTGTGTCCACATGTTGCACCTTTGCCGGCTCTCTGCCACCGATGCTCTGCACCAATGCAATACTCGACCCATCGCTATTCTCACGGCCATTAGAGCGCTGTACGCTCGCCTTGTATTCCGGGTCTAGCCTGTCGAGCTCGATGCACCACTCTGCTTCCAAGCACCTCTGCACCAGCCTGCGAGTGGTCACCGAGACGGCTCCCCTGTAGAGCGAGTCCTTGACCATGGCTTTGAGCAGTCGTCGAATTTGAGGCCTCTTGTACGGCCAGCTACACAGCTGTGTGTGAGTCAGAAGCGGGTGCAGCACCCGCAAGTATGTGTGTCTCAACGATTCGCTCTCCTCTGGTAGATCAGAGAGCTCGCGGATGAAGACGTCGACAAGTACACGAAGGTCGTTCGTGTAGAAGTAGTGAGCCGTCTCCTTTGTGGTAAAGAGGAGGTAGAGCAGCTTGAGAACGAGGAGCTGCATGCAGAAGTCTTCTGCGCTGGATGAAGAAGCTCGGTTGAGCATGAAGATGAGATTCTCGCCGAACGTCTTGGTGACGTGCAGGCGTGTCTTCAGAATGCCAAGGACGATGTTACCTCCGGACGTCCCTGGTGCTCCCTTGAGTGCAATGGCATTGACCATGAACTGCTCATTGAGTGCAACGATGAGCTTGATGAGCAGGTAATTGAATGCCTCGTCTTCGTGGAGACGCGTCTCTTCCACGAGGTCAAAGAGATGACTGACAAAGTTCTCGTCTACGGCTCGCATATTCGAAGGCTCTAGCCTCTGAACTCGACAGACTTCGTACAGGATCTGTATCGCCTTGTCTCGCAGTCGAATCTGGTGTATCCGAGTCCGAGCAGCATTAGACGTCTCTGCTACCTGACTGAGGAGTCGATGAAGAACTGGATGGTCACCAGTGGTCTGCGCAGAAGAGTCATCGTCTGCTGCAGCCTGAGCTTCGGCGCTCCAGTCATGGAAGTCTCCTGCGTGCATCACGGTGCTCTCCCTCCTGCCATTGGTCCTGGCATACCAATGCTTGGTATTATTGGAAGCCACTCCTCCGCCAAGGCGCGCATCTGCCACAGCTGCATAATGTCCTGCCCAGATCTGATGTACGAGCCGTGTGATCTTATCTCTGGCCAGACCGCCGACGCCATTGTGGACTGTCCTGTACACAGAAGGCTCTTTCAAGCCCCAAGCAAGGAGGAGGTCATAGGTGACGAGTAACACCGGCAGAGAGGTGGCCTGAAAGAGAGAGAGAGGGAGTAGGGGAAGAGCGAGGAGGGAAGAAAGGTCAGCGATGAGAGCAATGCAGTGAGCGGTACCTCGCAGCACCTCACCCTTCCCAGAAGATCCAAGATGCAAGTGGAGACCTCATCATGGTGTGACCTGACAAAGGCAGAGTCTAGCAGTCGAGCAATGCAGTAATCGAGGCTATACTGCTGGTCCAAGAACTTGTCTAAGTGGTCCCACAGAATGCGAGGGAGATATCAGTGATGTGTCAGCTCATCCACCCAATCCACACGCCCACTACAAGGCTCCTCTGGAAAATTTGCTGCTCACCATAGCACTCCTCGAGCAGGGCTAAGAAGTTCTGAAACTTGTCAAATACAGCCGCATGTTCCTTTGTCTCATCATCGATGGTCGGATCATCTCTGAATGCCTCTGGTACCTCCAGTGGAGCCTCCAGCATCCGATCCACCTCATGATAGAAGTCGGCGACAGTCTCCAGGTCCGCATGTGATTGGTGCACGGGCGCGGGGAGAGAGAGGGACATGGCCCCTTGGCCGTTTGGCCTGCGCGACTCTCAGAGGGAGACTCGTAGCCCGAAGGCTGGTCAGGAAGAGTGTGGGGTAATGATGATGGTGTTGGTGGTGGAGGAGGAGAGGAAGAGGATGCGAGTCGTCTGAGCCAAGGGGGCGTCGTGGGTTGAAGGTGGAATGGTGATAAAGTCAAATTGGACAGATGCAGCCAAAGGCACGAGGAAGCTGGGCGGCTCGAGCGTCGACTGCAGCAGTGAGACGAGGCTGCAGGCGCCAGGCGCAGGCACATCACACTCACACGATGCGCTACAATGTACAATATGAATGAATACAAGGAGACGATCTATACATGGTACAGGTATTACTACGCCACTGACATCGTCACCTTCTCTCCCTTGGCTGCCTCTAGATCCCTCGCGTCCTGGCCCACCTCTCCCTCTGCCTCCCTCTTCTGCGTCCTCCACCCCATCATCCCGCTAGCGATCAGCGCCATGCACGAGAACCACTCGGGCAGCGTAGCCAGCAGTGTCTCCTCTATCACGTAACTCGAGCGAAACCCGCGCTGGTCGTAGATTTCAGCATTGTAGTAGTTGAGCTTCCATACCACCCCTTGAGCTACACCGAAGCCGCCGCGGATGGTCAGGAGAAAGGAGATGCCGAGGAAGAGGAAGAGGATGGGACGATGTACGTCCTTCTTGCTACTGCTGATGGTGGTACTGGTGGTGGAGGAGGAGGAAGATCCCAGAGCAGAGCACAGAGTGGAAGTGGCCGACCGTTCTCCAGTAGGAGAAGCAGTCCCGCTGTTCTCCATCTCATTCGAGCTCAGACTCTCGCTCCTCCTACGTTTCCTCAAAGTCCAGACCAAGCATCCCATGATGGCCAAGTTGCACAGCAGAAAGATCGCCTGACCTGTCCCTCGCATGCCCTTGGCTCTACGAAGGGGACCTGGACTGACGACGGGCTTGCCGTCTGGTCCGGTTGGGGTGGAAGAGGCGAGGAGACTGGACCCAGTGACGATGAGGATATTGGCGATCAGGAGTGCCTAGAGGGGAGGAGGTGGACGTGGTGGAGTAGCAGCAACTCAGGTCAGCTCGCTGAATCATCAGTCCTTTAAAGCACATTCTCCAGGCGTACCCATACTCACATGTTGTCCTGCATCAATGGGCCTCTTTCGTACCTCCCTAGGGTCAAAGTGCTTCTTCAATCCCGCCTTCCATCCTTTTCCCACAAGGGGCAAATCGTCCCTGGCCAGCCAAGAAGCTCCCTCTGCTCTCCTCTGCCAATGGATAAAGAAGAGGATCAGAGAGAGGACCAGGGTGAAGTATCCCTCGGTGGAGGTGACTAGATAGGCAATGAGGAGTGGACGGGCATTGAAGGAAAGGACACCAAAGGCGATGCCCACGCATTGTGCTGCGAGGCGGATGCAGACGTGGAAGAGGAGGAGTGACCAGCTGGACATCGTGGACATGGCAAAGTAGACGGAGGTGGGGGGGATCCTATCAGCACCTCGTACTTGGCCAGGCTACGCTTCTCGGGACTCACCGACTCTTGATGGAGATGCGCCTCGTGGCCAGTCCAGCCAGGAGAATGATCAATGCAGCAAAGTACAAGATCAGGAAGACAATCGAGGCAATCGTAAGCGGTGCAAGTGAAGTAGCCATGGTTGTCTGCTGGCTTGTAGGGAAGTCGCTAGCTCAGGGAGAGGGCGAGGGCGTGGGCGAGGGCAAGGGCGAGGCAGAGGGGCAATGCTGGGTGCTTGCTGGAGCATGGCTCCTGGAATGCAAGAGATATAGCCTCCTCTATATACCCCCTCTCCTCTGTCCAACGTCCTTGACGTAACACTCATCATTGCATCACAATCCATTCTCATAGTCCCCATCCAGCTCTGCCCTCTGCTCTGCTTTGCTTTCTGAAGCGTGCGTCTGACACATCCCTCTCCCCCTCCGGTACTCATCTCGGTACTCGCTACTCGGTACCTAAGCCCCAATCCTTCGGAAGTCACTTCGGAACTCGCATCGGCACTCCAGGCCAGGCCAGCCGAGCCGAGGGGAGTGGAGGCGCGGACCGGGGCAGGAGGGCGCGTGGGGCGCGGGCCAGGTGAGGAGTGAGCGTAGGCGTAGGCGTAGGCGTAGGCGTGGGAGTGGGAGTGGGGAGATCAGCGTCTTACCTCGCACTCATTTGCTCATTACGGGCCCTCAGCCGATATCAATCAAGAGCTGTCAATCAGGATTATCAATACTCTGAACTTCGGATGTCATCAAAAATGTTGGCATGGCATTGGAGCAGAAGCGAGGAAGGGAAAAGTGCGCACGAGGAACAGTGATACAGAATTAGGGTCATGGAGACGGACATGGACATAGACAGGAGAGACAGGAAGATGCGGGACAGGGTGCAGAATTGCGTGACAGTGAGCGGCGGACATGAGAAAAGCGGTATCATAAAAGGAGCGAAGAGCAGACGGCGAGTGGCAAGAAGAGGAGACGAGGCGTAATGGGTCAGGATCCCTCTCTCTCTCCCACCTCTCTACACGCCCGTCCTGGTGACGACCTTTCTCTGATTCGAGAAGCGTAGCACATCCCTCTTCTCCAAGATGTACAGCGTACGCTCGAGGGCGTGCGTCGTGTACCCTTGTCCCTCGCAGAATTCGCTCCGCAGCCTACCCGCAGCGACCGTCCATCCAATGGGCAGTCGTCTCCTAATCTCCCGCTCAAGCTTCACCACCTCTTCCTGCAGCTCGCCCTTTGTCATTCCTTCCACCGAACCAGCCTGTACGGCATCCATAGTCGAGTACTTGAAGAGACGCATGGCTTCATCTACGTGCTCCTCTCCAACTGTAGGGCTAAGGGTCATCTTGGCCAGACTCTCGCTCATGCGGATAATCGCCTCGAGCTGACGCACGGTAATGGGGATACTGCTGCGCTCGTCATTGTCCCTTTCAACCTGCGCGACTTGCCGACGCAGAGCGACAAAGTGACTCGAGAGCTTCTCAGAGGCCTCGGGTGACAGCCTGGGTGCGCATCGAGCCTTGGCAAAGGCAACATACCTCTTCATCAGGTCAATGTCAATCTCGCCAGCAGCGGCATTGCGGCTCTCCTCGTCTTGACGGTTCATGTGAATGTTCATGACGTGCTTGGCAATAGTCCTGTCACGACCTTCGTCGTGCTCGTCCTTGACAATGAAGATCATGTCGAACCTGGACAGAATCGTCGTCTGGAAATCGATGTTCTCTCCAGGCGACTTCATGTCGTCGTATCGACCAAATACTGGGTTGGCCGCTGCAAGAACGGAGGTCCTCGAATTGAGAATGGTAGTGATACCAGCCTTGGCAATAGAGATGGTCTGCTGCTCCATGGCTTCGTGGATGGCCACTCGGTCCTCGTCTCGCATCTTGTCAAACTCGTCAATGCACACCACACCACCATCAGCAAGCACCATGGCTCCTCCCTCGAGGTAGAATTCGCGCGTTTGGTTGTCCCGTTGGACAGAGGCTGTCAGACCGGCAGCACTACTGCCCTTGCCGGATGTGTACACGGCAATGGGCGAGGCCTTTTCGACGAACTTGAGCAGCTGCGACTTGGCTGTTCCGGGGTCACCCAGCAAGAGGACATTGATATCTCCTCTCAGCCTCATACCATCGGGCAGGATCTTCTTACTGCCACCGAACAGCAGACATGCCACTGCCTTCTTGATGTCTTGGTTGCCGTAGATGCTAGGCGCAATGCTGCTCGCCAGCTTCTCATACAGTCCAGGAATCCTTGCCAGGCGAGCAAATTCTTCTTCGTCCTGAGCAGAGAACATACGGGCCATACCCCTACCTCCAGCTCCTTCTGCGTCGATCTCCAGTCCAACCACCTTGAGGTACGGTGTGCGGAGAGCTACGGCTCCCCCACCTCCAGTCTTGCCTCCCTTTGAAGAAGAAAACGTAGAGTAGATGCCAGTAGCGATAATCCTCGAACCGGGTACAACTCGTCCGCAAAGAGATCGATCGGCAGAAAGGAGCATGTGGCGTGGAAGCTCTCCGACGGGAACCATATCAGGTGCCTCTTGCAACTTGATCGTCTGACTGTCTACGAAACTGCACTTGTCGTGGAGAATGACAAAGGGATCGGTTGCACAGCTGCCTCCATCGACCTTTTGAGCATCACAGTAGCGTGGCAGGGCAAAGCCACCGAAACCACCAGTGATGGGGATGGACTTGGTCGATCGGCAGGAGCGGCACATGATCGAGAGGTGGGTGCCTCGCGATGCAAGGGTGGAAGCGCCAATGACGATACCTGGAATGCGCACGAGCTGGGCAACTGAGTCGGCGTGAAGGTCTCGCATCGAGAAGAGGTTGGCAGAAGAGCGCAGAGTGACTTGGCAGTCGGGTGCTTCGGGCCTTTGGCCATCTGTAGAGACTGGGTATAAAATGGCTCGAGCAGCTCGCTTCACTGCTTTCTCAAACTGACAAACAAAGCACAGGGACGATGAGGAAGTCTCGGATCAGTTTGTGTTGCGTCTGCAGCCCTCAATAGTCTTCTGACTTACCAACGGCAGGATCTCTCCCGGCGTCTCCGTTAGACTCTGCGCCAGCGTTGGGTTCCAAAGTGCCACATGTTCCACAGCCACTTCGAGTACATTGAGCTTGGCCAACAAGTTCGCCCTAAGTCGATCTCGATAGAGGTAGTCGTTTCCCTGTCTAAAGCGCTGCACAAAATCAAAGAGGTTCTGCTCTGTTTGTGCTGGTGCATCGGGAGCACGAGAGGCTTCTGAGCCAGCGAGGACTTGCGCCGAGTAGACGCGGCCGGTGTCGAAGCCGGACATTGTGAAGGTATGAGGTGAAGGAGAAAGGGGACTTGGTAGGGATGTTGCGAGGGTGAAGGGAGCAGAGTACCGAGTACGGACTCTAAGGGTACGGCTTGAAGAGAAGTTACTGCTTGTAGGTCTTGCCTGTAAAAAGAGTGTTGTGTCTCTGTACGGCTCTCTCTTCCTTGGTGAGGCAGCTTGGTATCTAAGCAAGGCGATATGGTATGGCAAAGCAGTCGAAGTAGACAAGACAAGCGTCTCTCTATCCCGCTCGCCTTCCCTTCTGGCCCTCGACTTGCCTCTCCTCTCCTCGACTCGCCCGTCGCGGCGCGGCGGACTTTCAAGACGCGACACTGCAAGGTAATTAACGCGTCTCGCGCGTAGAAGGGGGGTTTAGCTAGGGCGCGATCATTACTCGAGCGTAGGTTGATGGGAGGCGCGTAGGCTGGAGTTGAGGCAGGCAGCGTGTCTGAGCTAACCAGCAACATTGTCTGGACGCACGATTGAAAGTTTGATGGAAGGATTGTGATAAAAGATGAAGTAAAGGTCGCATGACAGTTGGATATGACGGTGACAAAAGGAACGCACGCACGCACGCACGCACGCACGCACGCACGCACGCAAACACGACAATGGAGCACTCCTAAACGACCCCTTTGAGTATTCCCCTTCGCTTTGCTGAATCACAAGTCGGCCGCGGCTCCCGTAAAGAAGCCAGCAAAGGCGACCTGCTCAAAGTCTGAGATGACGGCAGAAGTCTTGGTGAGGGAACCATCCGTCTTGTTTCGAGCGAGGATGGTGACGCTTCCAGAATCCTGGTGAGCAGCTGCAAGGTACAGAGCGTCAGCGTCGGGGGAGAGAGAAAACTGTGGGGTGCGAGGGAGGGGAGAAGGCTGAAATATTCAGCTGCCTGCGTCAAACCGTACCATTCCCGTATACCGACGCAACTCACGTGTCTCAAATTCTTGCCTCCAGAGTGATACCACTGCTTGAATACAACGCTCCCGTCACTGCTGTTCCTCTTGAAGACTGCAACGTGATCTTCCTTGGGATCGCCCCTAGTGCCAACATACACGAAGTTGCCATCGGGCGAGACGGCAACCTCACTGGTGGTTCTAGTGTTGCCATTCTCCTTGTTTGCGCCTGGATCAGTACCGGCAGGCAGAGCGAATACGGGCTTCCCAATGATTTGAAGATCGCCATCGCTTTCGTGCACACGAAAGGCAGTGAGCGTCGTGCTGAGCTCCGAAGCAAGGTAGGCATAGATGTGATCGCCTGCTTTCTTGCGATAGAAGCTAAGGAGGGCAGTGTAGGCAGAGCTTGCAATTGTCAGCGTCCAGCAGAGTGATGGTTGTTCCTCTCCACTTTTCAGATGGCGATACTCACGCGATATGTCTTGGCCCACTACCAGCAGCGACCTTTGTACTCCCTACGACATCGACCTCACAGGCAGACCCCGACTCGGGGATGCTTAATCGGTGAATCATGTCCGCACCAAGATCAGGCACATAAACCCATCTCTCCGAAGGGTCAGCAGCGACCTGATGAGCATAAGAGTGATCCTGGCGCGAGGCAACAGGGCCAATGGATCCCTCGGGCACACGAGTGAAGTTGAAGAGTGCGCTCGGTGCATCGTCGTCGACGATACTGCCGTCCTCGTCGAGCTGCAGAGCCGAAGCAGAGCCTGAGCCGTAGTTTGCAATGAACAGGATACCACGGGCAATGCAGCTTGCAACGGGGCCGTCGCCCCCAGTCACAGCGCCTCCATCCGATCCTCCACCACCGAGCACCTTGAGGGAAAGCGTCTTGGCCGAGCCTTCCTTCTTGGGTGTGACCTTGGTGATATTCACCGCATATACTCTCCCAGGCTCATTTTCTCCAGTAATGTAAGCCATGGACTGGTTGCTGTAGAAGCTGGCCCACGAAGGCTGGTCACCTGCCATCTCGTGCTGGAGCGTATTGCCAGCAACGACCAGACTCGAGGGAGGAGTGAATGTGTAGGGAGTTGCAGCACCATTGTAGCCAGCGACCATGATATGGAACGACTTGGTAGTGGTCTTGGCTAAGCTCTTTGCCTTCTTGGTCGAGCTCTCCTCACCGTTCGTAGTGTCTGCATCAGAGGTCTTGGCGCTGTGGGTCACAGCTTCTTCCTCTTGCCCGTGGGTCTTGCCATCGGTGGAGGTGAGGTTGACCATTCCGAATCTAGGAGGTGCGGATCGAATGCTCAAGGCGTTGACGCTGAGGCTCCCAGTGATGCTACTGCCCGTTGCGAGCAGTAAAGCGGCGACGAGGAAGAAGAGGAGCACGGGGGATTTAGTAGCTCGCGGAGAGAGCCAGGCGCCAGTCATTGTTGCGTGTGGCTTTTTTTGGGTGCTTTGACGTCAGTCCAGTGGTGGCGGGCGCTGGCTCAGTGTTGGTCTCGCGTCCTGCGTCGAGATCAACACGTCAGCTGAATATAAGAAGGGGGGGAGAGATGAACAAGAAAGGGGGTTCTCAGCTCCAGGCTGAGGATTGGATACGGGGCAGTGTGGACGACGAAGAAGAAACAGGAACCAAGGTGAGATTAAGGGCCGTCGAATGAAGAAGACGTCGTTGGGTGGCTCCACCCCTAAGTTGCTCCTCCTCGGCGGTCCGGGGCGGATGGGAGGTAGAAGTGGTGCCTTGCAAGTCCGCGTCTGCAGACGGAGTTCCGATCAGCGGGCCCTGGAGGACAAGGACGACGAAGGACATTCGATCAACACTTTTCTGTCTGAGATTGCCGGCGCAACCAACGCCCAACGACTGACACTGGAAACAGGTCGACTGCTCAGATCTACCCGCCCCGCTACACTTCACACTCCACCTTGGAGGACAGCCCTTACGCAACCAAGAGGATTCAGGGATCGAGGGATCTTTTGACAACTGAACACCTTCATGCCGATGGTCGTTTCTTTGGCCCGATTTAGATACACAGCGTGTCCAGACCCGCCAAGAGAGGGACCATGGCAGACGCACACGGCTCACTCGCCAGACTTGCAACGCTCAAATAAGAGTTCGTAAATTAGGACATCACATACGGGAAAGACAGCTACAAGGTGAGACACCCGCCTTAAAGGCGCTCATAGGGCTCTCGCGGCCATTACATCTTGGCCTGCCTCATCTCCATCTGGCCTCGTCTCACTTGTCCCTCGTCCGTCTCAATGCCCAACTCCCGGGCAATGTTCCTGCTGATCCCCCAGGCCGTGGCCATGGTAGTCACCATTGGGTTCACACCCGAAGACTCAGGGATACTCGATGCATCAGCCACCCACAGATTCTTGGTTCCCCAGACGTGCCCTTCGGGGTCGCAAGCTCCCAGCGCCGGTGTGGCCGCACGACGGCACGAGGCCATCTGATGGGCCGAACCAAAGGTGCAGTGGTAGGGACGAGCTCCCACCTTTCTCACCTGGCCGATCCATTCCTTGTATGCCGGGTCATTGAGGTCGTTTGGAACAGAGTCTACGGGAATGGACGTCGAGGGCAGACTGGTGCTCTCTGGGTACGTCTGGGCGTGGTGAGCGCTGGGAGGCGCCTTGAGCTTGGCCTTGAACGGCGGCACGCCCACTTGCACCGTCGAGATCTGGCTAGCTCCAGCCATCATGTGAATGTCGCAGGCCTTGACCATTGCCTCCAGAGCTGACTTCTGGTCGTGCTTAGAGACAGAGTAGTTCATACGAGCGTTGCCATCCTGGTCGAGGACGACCTGACCAGGGTCACGGTCACGGGTGAGAATGATCATGGTGTAGGAGTGGGCGTAGCGTAGCATGTTCTTCTTGTGCTCTTCGGCGGATACGAAGCTGGAGAAGGCGGCGGTGATACCGGGAGAGGAGGCGATGACTTCGATCTTCGCGCCCCATCCCTCCGGGTCTACGAGCTCGGAACCGTTGACGACGATGGTCAACAATGAGCCTTCCCAGGGCTTGACCGGGAAGTCGTAGTAACCCGTGATGACCGTCGTTGGGTGCAGGTGGAGGGTCTTGCCGATCATCTTGTTGTACCTGAGTTCGGGTGACCGCAATAGAATGGCAGGCGTCTGGATGGAACCAGCGCTGACTACCACTCCGCGCTCGGCCTTGATGGTCACCTGACGACCATCAACAGTGGCAATAGCTCCAATGGCCTTCCTTCCGGTCTTCTTGTCGAAGAGAATTCGCTGGATGAAAGTGTTGGTGAGGAAAGCACCGCCATTTTCTGCAGCGTCTCGCAGCCAAGTAACCGTGGCGCCCTGCTTGTGGCCTGAGATGCAGCCGAATTGACACTTGCCACAGTAGTGGGTGTGGCCGCCAGAATTCTGCGGCACGGCTTCTACCGGGTGACCGGCGCGTTGAGCACCAATGGCCAAGAGGGAGTTGCTGACATTGTGCTTGATGGGCTTGATAGCGACACCCATCCTGTCACAGACTGCGTTGAGGTCATCGGTGAAGAGTGGAGAAGTGTAGTAGGGCAGTCCGTACTTGTCGGCCCACGTTTTCCGAGCGTAGTGGCGCGGCTTGAGGGAAGCAGACCAGTTGATCGTAGTTCCTCCACCAAATGTGGAACCAGCCAAGACATTGACTGAACCGTCCTCGGTGGGCAGAATGCCCTCGGCCTCGTAAAGTGTTGTGAAGCCTTCGTCCTCGCTACCGCGCATGTCATTGGGCTGCATGTAGATGCCCTTGTCCGCCACTAGTGTCTTGACACCGCGCTTGGAAAGGTAATGCGCCACCACGCCACCACCAGAGCCGCTTCCGATGATGAGAACGTCGGTATCGATGACAATCTCTGCGTCCGGGGGCATGTCGGCGATGCGCTCATTCTCGAACTTGTACTGGTAAGGCTGCAGTGCTTGTTCCTCTTGGGCTGCCTCTGACCAGTCTGTTGCTGCGCCATCGAAGTAGCCAATGGCCTTCCATGCCGTGGGGTTGCTCTTGTAGTAAGTCAGGAGCGTCAGGCCCTTGATGCCAGATGCAGCCTTGTTCAAGAGAGAAATGGGAGACTTGGCCCAGGTGAAGATGGCTCCCTCACGCTGCTTCCGGTCGAGGTCGTAGTAGGGTCCGATGTGGCCAGTGAGGGCCAGACATCCGAGACGGGTGCCCAAGACGGTGAGAAGGAGGTTGATGTCGTTGAGGGTCGCCTTGCTGAGAGAGACAGAAGCTTGGCGAGCCCACTTGTCCAGGAGGTATCGGTGCGTGGCGAAGCCTTCGTGAGCGAATTGAGATACGAGCTCACGCTGCACGTCAGAGGCAGTGGCTGGGAGAGAGGCGATGCAGTCCGCCGCCGCCGGACCTTCCAATGCCGGGACGATGGCATCGGTGATGGCAGACATGACCTGAGGAGAGGGATAGAAGCGGAGCGGGAGACGAGAGTGGTCAGTGAGCGTTCGCAGCTCCCAATGCTGGAAAGGGTAAGCTCACCTTGATCTGAGTCTCTGACCAGATATCGGTGGCCTTGCGCACCGGCGGCGGAGCGAGCTTGGGAGTGGCAGACATCGTGGCCGGTGTCAAGGCAGGAAATAGTGGGGACGGAGCAGGAGAAGGTGAGGGGGGGGTAGGATGCAAAGGGATGGGAAGGGATGGGATGGGATGGGATGGGAAGGGAAAGTGTAGAGGTGGGAATCAGGAAGGCGATAGTCGGCGGTAGTGAGGGGAATGAAGGAGTAGGAAGTCTGCCGCGTTGCACACGGACCTCATGCCACTCTGAATGTGGGGAACAGGAGGCGAAAGCCAAGCTGCCAGGGCAGATAGACGAGGGTAAAGTGGATGTGCGATGCTGCTGCCGCCCGGCCGTCGGGTGTAAGTCGGATTAGAATAAGCAGAGGGCCTCGCCTGCAGCTGCAGCACACCAGCCGGCCTTGCCCCGCATTTCCAAGTCCAGAGGGCAAAGCGTGAAAGGCGGGGGCCCATTCACACACGCGCAAAGGGACAGAAGCGAGGCAGCGAGCGAGCAACCAGGCTGCACCACGGCTACCACCCATCAGCCCCAGAGCCCAGGCAGGGAGATGGAATTACAGACGCACAAAGCACTTCCACGGCGTCTGGAGGAATTCCATTTCAATCAAGTCATTACCTGATCAAAGCTCCTTGCCAAGGCGGCTGAAAGGCGCCACGGACAGACGTGTCCGCCCTGGCTGCATCATGTTCCTCGCACAGCCTTCGTCTGGAACAGGGCTGCTTGTCCCACTCACACCAATGATCGGGACGATTAGCGATGGGGAAATGAGTACACGAACATTAAAACTACAGCTACTGCCGCTGCTGTTCATTGACAAAGTGACTCATCGACCGAGCAAGATGCTCTTCTCCCGTCTTGACTCTCTGAAGTTTTGGCCGGCGCTCACGCGTCTCTTATCCAAAGGCAAAAGCTACGGGTAATAGTGTTCACCCAGCGTCAGATCGAATCAGATGAATTTAGAGTAACAGTCAGGTGGAACAGTCTTTCACTGACAGGCACTTACTTGCAGTATCGCTGAGATGCGGCGGTAGTCCTATGTGCTGTGTGACAAGCCTCGAACTGCAGCCGGCTGCTTCAGAGATTACGTAAGCGCGACTCCGGCAGCGCGTCGGGCTGCGAATTCTCGAGGGCGTTCGCTTCCTTCCAGCCATACTGCAGATTTCTGGCCCACGCTCATTCCTACCTCACATCTCCCTCCATCACCATAACACATCATGTCGGACTCTCTCATCTACCGAGGCTCTCTCGCCGCCCACAAGGGCTGGGTCACCTGCATCGCCACCTCGTCTGAGAACCCAGACATGCTCGTCAGTGGTTCTCGTGACAAGACCCTGATCGTCTGGTCGCTCACCCGTGAGGACGGACAGTACGGATACCCCAAGAAGATCCTCACTGGTCACTCCCACTTCGTCTCCGACGTCGCCCTCTCCTCCGACGGACAGTTCGCTCTGTCTTCGTCCTGGGACAAGACCCTCCGACTGCACGACCTCAACACCGGTACCACCACCCGTCGCTTCGTCGGCCACACCGGTGACGTCCTCTCGGTCTCCTTCTCTGCCGACAACAGGCAGATTGTCTCCTCTTCTCGTGACCGCACCATCAAGCTGTGGAACACCCTCGGAGAGTGCAAGTTCAACATCACCGAGGACGGCCACTCCGAGTGGGTCAGCTGTGTCCGATTCAGCCCCAACCCCTCCAACCCCGTCATCGTCTCTGCCGGATGGGACAAGGTCGTTAAGGTGAGTTTTTGCTGGCAAAGGAGAGAAGAGGAGAAGGCGCAGTCCGTATTGCAGAAACGGAGTCGGTCGGAGGCGTTTTGAGAGTCGGCCGACCGATCAATAGTGCCATCGCGTTCGAGGCAAGATGCCTTGGTCGCGCTCGTCTACCTCGCACCATTGCTATGATTAGTGTCATTTTACTCTATATATTTGCTACTATAGAGAGGGCAGCCCCCTCGATGAGAACAAACTGGCCACCAAGATCTCTGAGCTTTGGTCGCAGGAGTAGGCAGACGATGGAGTGGGACATCAGGCTTTGAACTTCATGTTCTTCTGCAGATGAGCTGACCCGTGCCTCCCCTGCTCTCTCCTCCATGCGCTTCATAGGTCTGGGAGCTGTCCAAGTGCAAGCTGAAGACCAACCACTACGGTCACACCGGCTACATCAACACCGTCACCGTCTCCCCCGATGGATCTCTCTGCGCCTCTGGTGGCAAGGACGGTGTCACCATGCTCTGGGAGTTGTCCGACGGCAAGCACCTCTACTCTCTCGAGGCCGGTGACACAGTCAACGCCCTGGTCTTCTCGCCCAACCGATACTGGCTGTGCGCTGCCACTGCCTCGTGCATCAAGATCTTCGACCTGGAGTCCAAGTCGATTGTCGATGAGCTGCGCCCCGAGTTTGTCGGCGTCGGCAAGAACTCGCCCGACCCAGAGTGCCTTTCGCTCGCCTGGTCTGCCGATGGATCTACCCTGTTCGCTGGTTTCAGCGACAACCAGATCAGGATCTGGTCCGTCTAAATGCTCAGCGACTGTGCTCGTTTGAGCCGCATGATCTACGTCTAGAGCGTGGCTCCATGTCTGCTCTCGCGGCTGGTCTGCGGCTCATGAGCTCTTCATGTCTCTGTCATCTTTTCCCCCTCTCGCATCCCCTTATGGCCCTGGAAAATGGTTGGTGGTGGTTTGCCGACTTCGCCGCGTGCGATGCATTCTGTAACTCAAAATCAATTTTTGCCATGCGCAACTCCCTGTGTGTATGTGTGTCCAGCACTGAGGTCGTCCCTGATACGAAGTGTGTTACTCTACTGCCGTGTTAGATGGTCGTGATGATCATTGTGCGTCGCCAAGCCTTTCGTACCTTCGGCCCCGAAGTCGACTTGGCTTGGCTGTGAGCAGAGGGGTGAGTGGAACACAGCCAGCAGAGTCGGGGTCGGCTCCTTCGGCCCAGCGGGTGGCGGAGCTCCGGCGGGCTATGCTCCTCTCCCGCGGGAGGTGAGTGCATGAATGAAATGAAATGATGCAGCCGCACGTCGCGCACGGGGCCATGGCCTTCACCTCGCTGGGAGGGCGCCAACTCTAAAAGGGCTCAGTGAAACGCAGTGGAGGCTGCAACATCCTGTGTCCCTTCCTTCCTGTTCTTCACTTCTACTCATACATACACACACGAAGTATACACACGATCAGCATGTCTTTCCCCAATCCCAACGCATACAATAATGGTGGTGGAGGTGGTGGCTACGGTGGATACCAGCAGGGCGGCTACCCTGGTGGACCACAGGGCGGAGGAGGGTACGGTGGTCCCCCTCCACCTCAAGCTGGTGGATACGGCGGCGGTGACTACCAACAATCACAATACCCCCAGGGAGGTGGAGGTGGCTACGGTGGTCCGCCTGGTGGTGGTAGCAATTACGGTGGCTCCCCAGCTCCCTACGGTGCCGGACCTCAGGCACACCAGCAGCCCTCGTATGGCGCTGGACCGCCACAGAGCCAGGGCAGTGCTGGAGAGTTTTACGGCGGACAGCAGGGAGGGGCTGCTGGTGGTGCGAGTGGTCAAGCACAGGCATACGATGAGAATGGCAACTTCATCCCCGAGGGAGAGAGGGGAATTGGGACAATGGCTATGGGTGAGTATCGTACAGAGTAGAGTGGAGGGAACGCACAGTCATCTGTGTCTGACGGACCGGCACTAGGACTTCCAAACATCTCACTGACGATCCCCTTCTCTTCTTCCTCCGTGTTCCCACTTTCGCAGGTGGCATGGCCGGCTTCGCAGCAAACAAGCTATCCGGCGGCGGCCACGGCAACATGGCTTCGATCGGTACGGGTGCTCTGCTAGCTCAGGGAGGCAAGATGGCCTACGAGTGGTTCAATGAGCAGCACAAGAACAAGCAGTCTCACCATGGAGGTGGTGGATATGGAGGTCCGCCCGGAGGTGGTTACGGAGGCCCACCTGGAGGAGGTTATGGAGGACCCGGTGGCCCGCCTGGTGGTGGGTATGGAGGCGGCGGCGGTGGAGGAGGAGGAGGCTTCTTTGGAAAGAGGGACATCTAGACCGGGCATCAGACTGCGTCTGGTATCGCTCTCCTCTCGTCTGCGTAGTCCCGCCTCTGTATCCTCGACTTTCGTTCCCCCACCCTCTCGTTCCTTGCTCGTTTGTGCATACCCTACATACTCAACCAACGTCGAATGACTTCTTGTACACGACCTCCTCTGAAGTAATGAACCAATGAATGAAATGATTCTTTAGTCCTCACTGTAGTTTCTGGTGCTCTCTCTCGCTGTGTCAGTACAGGCGCTCCACCTGAGGACCGTGTCCGGCATCACTGCCCTCATGCAACATGCAGGGTCTTGCGTGAATGCGCCCGGCTTGCCTAGCGTCCTTACTCCTTTATCTACCCCTCAAGATCGGCCAAGTGTGTAGCTTCCGCAAGACCTCAAGTAGGATCAAACAACGGACCAAGGAAATTGTGTGTGACCCAGACAGCGCTGAAAAAGCACAAAGTCAGGAAGTGCAAAGACTTGCTAGCTCCTCGCACGAAGCAGCACGCTCCAGGCGCGTCTCGGTACCCGATCTCCACATTGCACGGTCGGCGAAAGCATCGCGAGAATCTCGCCATGGCGGCATCTCCACCCGATGGTCCGACGCAGCCTAGACTCAAGTATCCCGATCGGCAGTCCTTGCCCGGATCAGCGCAGCGCAACGTCCCTGTGCTGGTAGAGGCTATCCTGCCTGTGCTACTGCCCTTGCTTCGGACGCACGAGGATGAGGGCGAGAAGGCTGCAGCCTCGCATGAAGAGCATCAGAAAGTCCCGCATGGCCCGTCTGCCCCGGTAAGAGTTCTGGAGATTGCCGCTGGGCATGGAAGCCTGACGCTCGCACTGAGAAGGGCGGTGTTGGCTCAGCCGCAGGACTCCAGGGAGAGGCACGGACTCGAGCTCCCGGGAGCCCGACAGAAGCGGAGAGTTCAGTGGACGTGCACAGAAGCCGACGAGGCCCTTTTGCAGTCCATCCGCTCTACCAACTCGCAAGAGGAGGCGCAGGGTGCGGCAGACAAGATTGCGGTAGCCCGCCTCGAGATCGACGATGAGTCAGACTGGTCTGCCCTCACAGGCGCCGAGCAGGGGTCTCCTTCTGCTCCTGCTCCTGCCGCTGCCTCTGTCCACTCAAAGTTCGACTTGGTGCTCATCGCCAACCTGCTGCACATTGTGCCTTTCGAGACGGTGCGCAGCCTCTTCTTCAGATTGCGTCGAGTGTTGAGCACACGTAGTGGGGCGAGAGTGTGCATCTACGGGGCTTTCAATGAAGAGGGACAGTTCACGAGCGAGGGCAATCAAAAGGTGAGTAGTATCGTCTGCTCGCTTCTCTTCACTTCACTTCAGCTGCGCAGCGCCATTTCCCACGTTCAAGAAGTCTGACGAGGTCTTGCGCTGGACGTCCATCTCTACAGTTCGACCAGGATCTTCGCTCACGCAACCCGCTCTATGGCTTGAGGGATCTGCAAGGGGAGATACTGCCTCTGGCTGAAGAGCATGCCTTGCAGCTGGAGGAGGTCATGAGACTTGCGCGGGGCAATGTGGGTACAGGCGAGTACAGTCTGTCAGATTGGAGGAGCAGCACAGCTGAACCAAAGTCTTTCGCACACCTTCAAACGGATCCAACGTACAGCTGATGTTGATATTTGGTCATCGACATCAATGACAGAACGACATGAATACGTAATACCCCGCACAATGGCCGCGCTCTAGCAGGTACTGGCTTCTACTCCTCCAGTCCAATACGCAAGCCCCTCTTGGCCTCGGGATCTCTGCGGAGGGCATCAGCCCAGAAGGAGCCAAAGGTCTGCCGGAGTGCGTCCCCACTCAGCCCATCTGCAGCTGCTCCTCCAAGATTCTCCGATGAGCTCGATATGTCGCGCAAGGTTTCCTAGAGTCGAAATACGCGTCAGGACGTTCAAGATGTCAGTACGAAGATCCGGTGCCATCCTTTCCCCAACAGCACGGACTCACCCTCAGTGCAGCCACCACCTCGTCGACTTCCTTTTTGCCCACCTTGCCTTCCTTTCGCCTACTATCCAGCCACTCGCCAAGTGAGCGCAACTTGGAGCCCCAAGGTGCCATGGCCTCTTCACCCTCTCCCACGCCTTCGTCCATCCCATCATGCCTGTTGTTCGAGGCGGAGCGTGCGCGTACGATGGCTCGCGCCATGCCGCCCTTGCAGGCCTTGAGCGCGAGGATGGCTCCCAGCTTCGTGCCGACGGCATCAGGTTGCTGTCCGCCCTCTGCTCCATCAGCAGTAGCAGTAGTCGCTGCCGACGACGAAGCCTCCGTCCCTCGGAAAGCGGCCTCGAGCAAGATGCGCGTCACGCGAGGCTTAAGGCTCGGGTAGCTTCCGGAGTACTTGCCCAGCAGGCTCGCCAGCAGCTCGGAGCTCTTTCTCCTGGTCGATGTCGGGTACTCGCTCGAGGGGAGAGAGATGAGGATGGTGGAGAGGAGCGGTGGGAGGAAGAGGTGGATATAGCCTTCGATGCCCAGGTAGGGATTGGCGAGCATGGCCTCGATGGAGGAGACCATTCGGCCCACGACGAGGCTGCGCTTTGACGCAGATGGGCCGGGGGTGGAGGAGAGGGAGAGGGCAGCGGTAATGTTCGTCGAGATCCACTGTGCAAGATATGGCACCAGCTGATGCAGACCAGGATCAGAAGAGAGCGAGGCGAGAGCTGCCAGAGATGTTGGGTCCACTTGTTGCTGCTCGTCTGGCAGGTCGTCTGCCATGGAGACATCGTGTTGCGCATCGGTCGCACTGCCATTCTTGAGCGAATTGATACCATGCAGGATGGCTTCTGTAAGACGACGGTAGTAAACTTGCAGTTCCCTACTGAGGATATGCTTGACCAAGGGCTGCGTAGTAGCATTGATAGTGTCGCTGGATCCACTCGGCGCGGCAGAGGCAGCGCCAGCAGCAGACGCGGTAGCGATAACCCCGGAGGTGTTTGCACCTGCAAAGGTTGGCTCGGCAGCGCCCGTGCCTCTCTCACTCTCATCTATACTGCTCATCTCTGCCGGTGTTGGGTTCTCAGGTATGAGCGGCTGTACTCCTTCGATAGCAAGCCAGTGAGCCTTCCACCCTACTCCTCCCTTTCTCCGAGTCGCGGCCGAGCTGTTCCTCGACGAGATCAACTTCGCTACCTGTTCCAGATCAATCTCCTCTTCCTCGACTTGGTATACCACTCCGGACGACGTCATGACCTTTCTGAATTGAGGCTGCTTCATCTTCCCCTGCGCCGTGGACGAATTGGTATAGGGAGCAGGGAGGAAGCCATAGATTGGTTCCATGCCCTTTACCTCTAGGGCGCGCTTGACGTCTTCGCAGGTGAGCTTGGAACGACGGGAGTGTCGCATGAACTTTTCAGCATCTTGAAGGATGAGGCGGAGGCGATGCTCAGTGTCGGAGGCGAGGGAGGTGGCTACATTCTCTCGTAGCGGGGGAAGGGAGAGGGAGGTGGATGCGACATGTTGTACCGTCGATGAGGGGAAGAGGGAGGGTGGAGGCGCCGACGGCGGAGCCATGGCTCAAGGTGAGAGAGAGAGAGGCTCAGCAGGAGGTAGACAGCCTTCTGTGGAACAAAGAGGATGAGATGAAAGACAAGAAGATCTCGAGAGCGGACCAATGGCGATGATGGAAGTAGTGATCGATGGTAGAATACAGCGCTTCCGCACGGAACCACGCAGGCAGCCGCTCCGCTTCCGTTTTGCCAAGTTGCACAGCTTCCCGCTCGGTAGAAAGGCCTCTACTGGGATACCAGAGAAGTCGCTGCACAACCTAACGTCTCTGTCCAGGTCTGACTGGCCAGCTTCCTCATAGCACGACAGAGGAAAGTCTCGAATCTGATCACTTCAAGTCTCCTTCGGCTCCACCTCGGTCTCGTGCCATGCCCACCGCTACGCCCATTCCTTCCTCTTCCTCCTCCTCTCCTCGCAAACGCACCCCTGCAAGGCACGGCTACTACAGCGATGCACAAGACACACAGCAACAACAGCAGCAGCAGTCGTCTTCAACGTCTACCCACATCACAAGCCCCTCTCGAGCTACTAGCAAGGACGAGGCCAGCTACGCCTCGAGCTCTGCAACAGGTCAAGGCGGGGTCGAGGCAGGAGAAGGGGCTGAAGATGAAGATGAGGACTGGCTGATGTCCGACGAGGAAGATGACGTTTTTGACAGGAACCGAATCGCAAATGGTCAAGGAGATGAAGATAGAGGCGAAGTCGGGACAGAAGAATTCATTGCTGGCCTAGGCCGGGATATGGCCAGCAGAGAGTCGGCCAAGGTGCAGAGGACCTTCTATGACGTGAGTACGGGCCATGAGATTAAGGCTGCGGAACATTGACTGGCTCACTCCTGGCCTCTGACGTTGCCGACCACATGCCTCGACGTCTGCTTGCTGACTACACAGACTGGGTACAGAGAAGGCATCACCTCTGGCAAGCTCTCGACATTACAGCAAGGCTTTGACGAAGGCTTCAACCTTTCAGCGCCAGTCGGCCGGACAAGAGGGGAACTCAGAGGGCAAGCTAATGCAGCGAGCTACTACCTGACCCACTACAAGGCCAGGTCGGGCCTCACCTCCTCTACGCCGGTAGGATCCGGCGGTATGAGAAGATTCAAGGATCGAGCTGCCAATCACGGCACCTCAGGCGGTGGAGCTGCAGATGCAACGGAAGAGGACAAGGAGAATGCAAAAGAGATTCTGAGAAGCTTGTACAGCGAGCTGAATAGTTTGGGCGTAGAAGAGCTACTGGAGCCGGACTGGGACGCCAAGAAACACGAGGATGAGCATGCTGGACGAGCGACAGACCCAGCCAGTATGGTGGAAAGTGAAGAAGTCAAAACTCGGCGGGAGGGAAGGTTACCTGCCATTAGCAGCAGGTTGGAAAGTGTCCTTGGGACAGTAGTGAGATGACGAGGACAGGCTGCCAGACAGCATGAGCAATCTCCTATACCCGCTTTTGCTGGCCGATACGAAATGCATGACGCGTGGAGTCGGGAACGCCGCTGGCGCTCGCTAAAAGAACACATTATTGCAAACTTCGATTGCCCCCTGACTTTGCCCTGTCCAGAGTCTGAGAGTCTCATGTGCTGATACTGACCATATCCACGTCCGGGGCAAATCGCGATACTCAGCCCGCCCAAGGCAAATCTTCCGATCCGAAGCGGAACTAGACTAGAGCATAGATTGAGAGCCGAGATGCCGGCGGGGCCTCCTCCTCCACTTGCGGGAGACCCTGATGGGGATTGGAACCTTCTTGCCACTCATAGGCCGGCCAGCCTTAACCACTTCCTCCTCCTACGAAACACAATTGTACAACCCACCAATCACATCAACATCAACATGGCACCACACATTCTCGACTTTAAGTGCGTCATCATCACCGGTGGTGGTGGAGGTCTGGGCTTCAAGATGGCCGAGTACTTCCAGGGCAAGGGCAAGAAGGTCATCCTTGTAGGTCGAACCGAGTCCAACTTGAAGGAGGCCTCGGAGAAGCTCAAAGGCGCACCTTACTATGTGCTTGACACTGGAAAGGTCGAGGATGTTCCTGCTTTCAAGGACAAGGTGATCAAGGAGCATCCGGAGGTGGACGCTTTGATCAACAACGCCGGTGTGCAGAGGCCATTGGAGATCACCGATCTGGACCTGAAGAAGCTCGACCAGGAGATCGACATTGTGAGTCTGTCCGAGGCGTGACCAGCATCGAGACAAGCGAGGTCGATGGAAGACTGAACGCTCCCCCCTCCCTTCTCGTTCGTCCTTCTGCAGAACATCCGAGGTCCCGTCTACCTCGCTGACGCCTTCCTGAAGCACTTTGCCTCCAAGCCCCACGCCGTCATCTTCAACGTCACCTCCGTGCTAGGCTATATTCCCTTCTCCATTATCAACCCTTCCTACAATGGCACCAAGGCCTTCATGCACTTCTACACCATGGCTCAACGTACCCAACTCAAGAACACCTCGGTGCGAGTAGTAGAGATCGCTCCCCCTTCTGTGCATACTGCTCTGCACCGTGAGCGAGAAGACCCGGATGATAACAATCCAGCCAAGTCGAAGATGAGCATCACACCGGATGACTTTATGAAGCAGGTGGCAGAGCAGCTCGAAGAGGACAAGGAGACTATTTCGGCTGGAATGGGCAAGGATATGGTGCAGAAGTGGTATGATAACTTTGGAGAGCAGTACAATGGAGCTGCCGAGGCATGGGAGGGCAAGAAGATCTAGGCGTAGAACACTTCAGAGACTTCAGGGTACCACAATAGTAGCATCGTGTAACACAGTGATAGTGTGCAAAATCAATTTATCTAGTGCTAGACTGCGGGCTCTTACTCCTTCCGAGGCTTTCCCCGAGGTAGTCTGCATTATCACGGAGCGGTGGCCCCGGCCTGGGGGGCCAGTCCGCCCAGCTTCTCAATGTAGGCGAGCCCTTGTCTACGTCTGGGCTCCCACTCAGACTGATTTGGAACGGAAGAGGAAAGAGAGATCAGGGCAGTTGAATCTGTTAGTGGCTTATGACTGGTCACACACAAGAAAGATCAGGCTCACTCACCAGACTCCAGTACCCCCTATCGCACCAGCTTGCCACGACACCTTCCCCCTTTGCCTCTCCGCTTTCACCTCTCTCCTTGTCCACACGAGGATCAAAGGCATTCAGCATCCCCTCCCAAGGCTGCAGCTTCTTTGTCGCTCCGCCCTTCTTTACGAAAGATCCCTTTGCAGAGCGCACCCGCACCTCTTCCGCCTTGTCCCAATTATTCCTCGTGCTAGCCCATGTCCCGAATCCGCTCGTGGCAATGACAAACCAAGGCGGGATCGTCTTTCTGCCATACTTGAAGCAGTACCGGCTCACCGTAGTGCAGTACACCTTTGTCTCATCAAGCTTTTCCCCTTGGGCGCCTGCAGGAAAGTACGAGGGCGAAGCGGCGGCAGTGTCGTTTTCTGATGCAAGCTCTGAGGCTACAGTGCGGGACCTGCGTCTTTGCTCGGCAGCCTGAGCTTCATGTTCTGGTTTGCTGATGTCTGAGAGAAGTCCACGTAGATTGGAAGCGGAGCGGGAGAGGGAGATACGAGGAGTGCGACTCGAGGTGCCTGGTGTGCTGGTGGGCACTGGCTCCGCCGGCTCACGACTTGTAGGATCTGTGGGCGATGTGAATGTGCCGACCAAATCTGCAGGAAGATGGTGGAGACCCGTCAGCACAGCAGCTTGTCTGTGTGAGGTGCCGTCAGATTACTCACAGACCCACTTGTCATCCCAACTAGCCAACCGCATTTGCACCTCGTACTTTGCCATGATGGGAATCTCCTTGTGAAAGTGAAAGTTGGACCCCCCTAGGAACAAGCGGCCGCCCTCGGACAGGAAGCGATAGAAGTGAGAGAAGTGTAGAGCACCGCGCGAGTAGTCGAGGGTCTTGGCGTAGCTGGAGTTGGAGAGGTGAAATAGGTAGCTGTAGGGGGAGCAAGGAAGGGCAATTGACTATCAGGCTCACGTGTATTCTAAGAATCTCTCCTCGAAGATCTATGGATACTTACTCGCAATCTGCTGGCCAAGCTCTCCCTGACCTGTAGGTCTTCGTCTCAAAGATGTCTTTGCCGAGGGGCAAGACCTCGTGTCTAATCTGCCTGCCTGTGCGAGGATCAGTCGCGTCCCCACCACCTCGTGAGCCCACAAGGGCGGCCGTGGCGGCTCTGGCGCGCAGAATCCGAGTCAGGAGCGGTCGGAAGAGCGTGATGTGCCATGTACCTGGGAAGGAAGTGATGTTAGCTGCCAGTAGAAGGTATATGAAGAGTTGAAGCCACCGTGGAGGTAGAGGTAAGAGCGAGGGTAGGATCTGTACCAGGAGCGAGGGCGAGGTGACGAGTGTAGAGAGGGCTCGACGTACAGGATACGAAGGCAGCACCTTTGGCTCTCGCACCCGGCGGGGGGACGTGGTAGCTGCAGCGGCAAGGTCAGACATCTTCCGGGGTGATGGTATGGTGAGGAGTCGCGAGAAGACAGGGGGGGAAGGTGGTGATTAGAATTCCCCGCAATCTCGCCGTCTGAAAGCTCGGCCCTGCCCCGCAATCCGCCCGGCAATCAGGGCGCCACTTCCGATCAGGGACAAGGCGAGGGGGGCGGCAGAAGCAATGTCCCTTCGCCGCATATTGCCTCCTTCGTACAGATCATCTCGGCTTTGTAGCAACCTCCATGGTGCCACTCATACTTCTCTTTCTGCTCCTACCCGTAGTCGGCTATCTCTCTTCTCCGCTACTCTTCCTCCTCTTCTCGCGCCCAGCCCCTTCCCCGGTGCCAGTTGACTTCACCCTCACATCCTCTGGCCACCTCAAAGCTCACGTCTCTCTAGACCTCATTCGCTACCTCCTGCCGACCCTCGTGCAGGTCGTAGCACTCTTTGTGCTCCCGGTCCTCTCTCTCTACCTCGGTAATGAGCTGCTCAACAATCGCATCTCAAGTGGACGATGGATCACACGAGGCTGGCTCAACCTGGGAAGGATGAGCAAGGCAGAGTGGGAGAAGCAGGTCATCCTCGTCACTGGAGGCGCTGGCGGCTTGGGCCGGGAGATCGTCCGGCTTGCTCTGGCAAAGGGGGCTACAGTCGTCACATTGGATGTGGTCGACCCACCTGCCGAGGGGCCCGAGAGCTCTGGACGGTGCTTCCACTACCAGTGTGATGTGAGCAAGAGCCAGCAAGTGGAAGCAATAAGCAAGACGATCAGAGGCGACCTACAGAAGCGCAAGAAGGAAGCTGGAGAAGCCGGTCTGTATCTGCCGACCGAAGTCACAGTGCTGGTGAATAATGCAGGGATCACCTCCCTGGCTGCACCATCGTCGTACATCATCGCCCTCCCCCCGAGCGAAGTGTCGAAAGTGCTCGAGGTCAATCTCCTCTCCCATTTTCACACTCTGCGGACCTTTCTGCCGCCTATGCTGCGTCGAGGACAAGGAGGACATGTGGTCAGTGTCGCCTCCAGCATGGGCCACGTTGGAGCGATTGGGATGGCAGACTACGTTAGCAGCAAATTTGGCGTCATCGGCCTGCACGAAACTCTCTGTAGGGAACTCAAGGCATGGCGGTCGGGCAATGTAGATGAGGCAATGATGCAGGTGGTACAAGAGGCAGGCGCAGGGCTGGACGATGAGCTAATCTCAAAGGGGAGTGACGCAGAGGATGACTCGTCCTACCTGCCCTCCAACGTACGAGTACAGACGAGTCTCATACTTCCATCGCACATCGCTACCCCACTCTTCAAGGACTGGACCTACCCATGGCCGTTCGACTTCCTCACGCCCACCCTCACGCCAACGCACGTAGCCGAAAGGATCATCGAAGAGATCGGCGAAAGGCGAAGCGGGTGGATGTACCTGCCCAGGCTGACTTGGCCGACTGCATGGATGGGAGTTTTGCCTGACTGGATGAGAGCATTGATGTTCTGGATGAGTGGCTCTGACACTGCCGTGGAATGCATGAGGGCTTCAGCGCGTCGGCAAGACTACGAGAGTGAGGAGCGCACACCTGCGCCTTCGCAGATACGCACGCGGGCTCAAAGGGCAGCCAGTGTGGGCGCAGAGAAGCAAAGCTGACCGTCAATGTATCATCCACTCGTCATGTCGCTTTTCCTGTTGTCTGCCCACTTTGTAGCTATCGTAGCCCCCGCCGTCTAAACCCGTGTAGGGGTGGCCCGGGCGAGGGGGGCGGAAAGGAGCTGTGCGGGGTGAGATCTCGGCTCCGTTCGCAGGGCAGGGGCGGGCAGTGGAGGCAGCGTTGTCCGCATCCAGGGTTCCTGTGCCCAGGGGCCCACCGCCAAGGCACCGGGACACCTGGCCTCTGCTGATTACATCCTTATCCCCCCCCCTCGCCCCCTTTGCATCTCTCCGTACATACCTCACCACCAACCTCTCTCCCTCACCACCCCCGCGCCCTACTCTTCCTCACAATGAGGCTCACATCATCCTTTGTGCCTCTTCTGGCGCTACTCACCGCCACCGCATCCGCCTCGGTGCTCCCCTCGCACGCACCCGCCGCAGAGGAGATCCACACCGACTCAGCCGGTAATCTCATCTGGGCCGACGATGAGCCCCAACTCGCCTCGCTTGGTCGCCCAGACTTCTCTGGCTACTCTGCTTCCATCAACCAGGTAGAGTCGTCTGCTGACCACCTCCTCCAGGAGCTCCAGGGAGATCTGGCAAAGTTCCTGTCTGGCGTTCACGACAAGGTCGACTCCGTCGTTGACTCTGCCAAGAAGACCACATCCGGATGGTTGCGACAAGCCGAGGTCATCGTCGACGGCATGAAGTACCAGCGGCTTACTCACCAAGACTACCCAGAGTACGCCCTGCGACTGAGCACCTCGACCAACTCGTCCATCTGCGACCCCAACGTCAAGCAGTACTCTGGTTACCTGGACATCAGCGAGACCAAGCATCTGTGGTTCGTCTTCTTCGAGGCCAGGCACAAGCCAGAGAAGGCCCCTCTTACCATGTGGCTCAATGGTGGACCGGGATGCTCCTCTTCCACCGGTCTCTTGTTCGAGCTGGGCCCCTGCACAATCGCCGACGAGGGCAACAGCGTGGTCAACAACCCCTACAGCTGGACCAACAAGGCCAACATGATCTTCCTCGACCAGCCCGTCAACGTCGGCTACTCCTACTCGGAGGACCAGAACATCAACAACTCTCCTGCCGCCGCAGAGGACGTGTACGCCTTCCTGCAGCTGTTCCTGCAAAAGTTCCCCGAGTACAGTGAGAAGCCTTTCACCATTGCTGGAGAGTCATACGCTGGTCGATACATCCCCACCGACGCTGCCTACATCTTCAACAAGAACAAGGAGCTGGCTGCCAAGGGCAGTCATGGAGGCGCCGTGCACATCAACCTCGAGTCCCTCGCCATTGGCAACGGTCTGACTGAGCCCCTGACTCAATTCGCCTCTACCGTCGAGTACGCTTGCTCCCCTGACAATGAGTACGCTCTTTTCAAGAACGACTCGAGCACTTGTGCCTCGCTGGCCCAAAAGGCCAAGACGTGCTCGAGCCTGATCGAGTCGTGCTACAAGTACGACAACCGTCTTACCTGCCTTCCCGCCTCCATCTACTGCTGGTCCAACCTGTACAGTCCCCTGCAGGACACTGGTAAGAACTTGTACGATGTCCGCAAGGACTGCGACCGTTCCAAGGACGGCAACCTCTGCTACAAGGAGATGGAGTGGATGGAGGTATATATGAACAAGCCCGAGGTGATGAAGGCTTGGGGAGCACACAAGGGCGCCAAGTTCCAGTCGTGCAACATGCAAGTCAACCAGGCCTTCCTCTTCCAGGGCGATGGAGTCCGCGATAGCTCTCTTTCCCTCATCCCCCTCATCGAGGATGGCGTCCGCGTGCTCATCTACAATGGAATCGCCGATGCCATGTGCAACCACTATGGCAACGAAGCCTGGGTAGCCAAGCTGCAGACTTCCTTCCTGGAGGAGTACACCGAGGCAAAGAAGCAAGATTGGGTATTGGAAGATGGACACAAGGCTGGATGGATCAAGAGGGCTGGAAAGGGTGCGGGAAGTATTGCCTATTTGCACATCTTTGAGGCGGGTCATATGGTACCCCACGACCAGCCCGTGGCGGCATTGGAGATGTGGGAGAAGTGGATCGCAAATGAGAAGTTGGCTTGAAGTGAGAGAGAGAGAGAGGGGTGAAAGGGGCAGGGGCAGGGGAGCGCGTGAGAGGCGAGTGGTTGTAGAATCGAGAGATAGATACAGAAAGATACATTCCCACTGCCCCCTTGGCTGTTCCCATCCGTCGCATTGTCTTCCCTTTTTATACATTCCACAATCACTTGTCCATTCTACTCCAATTCATACTCCACTCTTCCATGTTCCGTGCTCCATGTTCTACAATGCCCAGATGCAGAATCTCATTATTATTCGACATTATGTCTTTCCCCTCCTTTCCTATCAATCAAATCAAGATAAATCGAGAACAGATCGGATCAGATCACTCCTCTACACTCCATTTTGGATTGGATAGTGGTGGAATGAGCAAAAATGGAACGGAATGGAATGGAATGGATATAGGGTTGGAAAAAAAGGGTATTCGAAGCCCGTCTGTCCGTCTGTCTGTCTGTGGATAATGAATGAATGAATGACGGGAGTGGATGAATGGAGATGATGAGAAGAAGAAGATGATGATGATACATGTATAGATATAGATGGATAGAGATAGATAAGGTACAAGGATGACTGGACTGAATACTGAATGCGTAAAAGTAGCGAATGTGCGTGGTAGGACGGACGGGTGGGACGTACGTGCATAGGGTGCTACGAGGATCAAGACTCAAGGGCAGAAGTAGATGCACTGTTCTTCTCTCTCCCTGTGTCTCTAAGCTCCGTCTCCTCTCACACCTCCCAACTCACACCTCTACCGCCCGCACTGGTGCTCCCTCCCCCAGCACTCCGCCCTCTGCCTCTCGTCCCTCTTCCTCCTCACCCTCACCCTCACCAGCAGCAGTCAAGACCGGCCTCTGGCAAATGGGACATCGACCACTGACCGTGGTGAGCCACTGGTCAACACAGCTTTCATGGAGCACGTGTTGACAGGGTAGGAGTCGGAGGGGCTCGGGCTCTTCTCCTGCTCCTTGTTCCGCAATGGTGGTGACTACCGCTGGAGTGGCACTTGATGAGGAGCTGACGCTCTGCTGGTGCACTTGGATCGCCTGCGGGGACTGGAGTGGCGATTCGAAATCGCAGAGACAGATGGGACAGACGGAGCGGTGCGAGGGCAGTGGGTGGAGAGGGTACCGGAGTCGACGATCGGCATCTGCGACGATGGCGGCAGGGGCTGGAACGTTGGTATCAAAATTTCCACTTGCATCCAGACTTGTCTCTGCGCCTGCATCGGCCACTCTTGGCGTGATTGCTTGCATCGACACACTGGCAGGACTGGACGATGTCGCCATCGTCTTGTCTGCTGCTGCCGTTCTCGTTCGTGCGCGACGTCGACCAAAAGAGAGCATCTGGCCCAGCCTAACGCGAGAGCGGTGTGGTTTAGCGGCGCCAGCTTTGGCTGATGAGCGATTGGCGTCGGCGCCCGGCGTCGGCGAGGTATCAGAGTCATTCTTGTCAGTGCTGGTGCTGACAGTCGTGCCAGGCAGTGCGTGTACGAGGAAGACTGGCTCCTTCTCCTCCGCAATGGGCTGGAGCGACGGCGACGCAGGCAATGCAATGCTGCTCGCTACGTAGGTGTTGAGCCGAGCGATAAATGACAGCTCGCTCGTCCATGCGCTAAAAGGCATAACTTGCTCCAAAGAGGACCTCTCCTGCCTGCTGTTCCTGACCATCCTGAGCCACTCGTCCTCATCGACATAATAGACCAGCTTGGTGACCTTGTCCACTTCGTCCTTTGCCATCTTGGCAGTATCTGGCTTGATGTCCGCCTGAGGCAGTCTTCGAGTGATTCCCAGCACCCGTAAGATGACGAGGAAGAGGGGAAGAAAGAAGACGATGAGAATCGTGATGACAAGGACGACGAGGATGTAGAGGTACGTCAAGCACAGCATGGAGAGGGCCGTGTAGAAGAGAGGCAACGAATCGGCTGGTCGATGAGAACTGTCAAGGCGGGAGGGAGCAGGGAGAATTAGAAAGCACTGCTGTCGAGCGCCAACGTCCACCTCGACTTGACTCACCATTCGGTCCTAGTCCAGACTGCCCAATTGCCTACGACAAAGAGGACGCAGTATCCCAGGCTTAGCAGATCTACAAATTTTGCGACTTTGCGATCCCTCTCCAGAGTTCCAAATGTCCTGTTCCGCTCCCTCTGGGCAAAGTTTCTAGCTCCAGGTCTACGTTGCCGAGCATTGCCATGAGGGCTGAGCGTAAGATAGACGTCCAAGGGGAACAAGACCACCAGACGGGTAGCATATAGGACGAGGTAGATGAAGATGGGTTCGGGGTCACACTGACTTCCTGGAGCTGGGGGAGTGCCATCAATGTCTCCGCCAGCTGCCGAGTTGCCCAGGGAGGAAGGGAGGGCGAGTACGACCAAGCATGCCACGAGCTGTAGGATGCTCAGAGCCATGCGCAGAAGGAACATGATGAGGCGAGGCTTCCAGAGGCGAGTGAGAGACTGCCACATGCCTCGTAGGATATTGGACCGCACTCGTAGCGCCTCATCCTGCGCATTCCCATCGACTGCAGGCCGTGGCATGAAGGCATGTACGTTGCGGCCGGCTTGAGGCCGCCGCGGGGGTTGAGGGGCCGCTGCATACGGAAGTCGAGTCAAGGTAGTTGCAATGGCTAGGCCCGACGATCTAGTGGCGCTCGAGCCAGAGGGTATGCCAGTGTTGGAGGTTGCACTGGTGCCAGGAGATTGGCTGACCTCTATCTCATCTGCTGAACACTTATCGTCGTTGCCAGACAGTAGCAGAGGAGGAGCGGGCTCTAGCTGCTGAGATGAAGTCTCCAGCTGCTGGGCAGCAGCCACATACAGGCCGTAGGGTTCGTCCTCGACGACCAAGGGATGAGTGGTCGTGGGAGTAGTGTTGGACAGAGAGGCGCCTCGGGGGGTAGAGGGTGAGGAGGATGAGCCCTCTCCCTTGTCGAGATTGAGATCCATGGCTGGCTGAAATTGGGTAGCTGTATGCTCAAGCTTGAGTCGGGGACTCTATCGGACTCGTGGTGACCTCAGTAGCGTCCTAGACGTCTAGCGCTAGTGCTGAGCTCTGCTGAGCGGAAGGGGGGGCCAAGGTGGGGCTTACTTCACTCCTATGAAGGTGTTGATTGGTCTTGGGTCTTGTCGTTGTCTCATAGCCGCAGGTGCACCATGATGAGAGGAGAAGTGAGGCACAAAGGGAGAAGCAAGCACTGCGCCAAGGGTGGCATCGATTGCTCTGACGAAGCAAGGGCAGCGGCTTCCCCTGTGCCTGTGTTCGTCGTGGTAGGGGAGGGAGTGGCGCGTCGCTCAGCCAAGCACCGCCCCTCCACTCCCGCTGCACCACACTCCGCCAACGCCAAGACCGGCAGCAGCATTGGGCGGCGAAAGGCCAGCCTCAGCACACGACTCGTATCACGACAGAAGCACTAGACAGAGCTCATCAAAGATGATAATCGCTTTCCCAACCTACCATCACTGAAGCCCTTTCAGGCTCAAAGCCCGACACTCTGAAGATGTGCGCCCACTGATACTTCAGGCGCCTCACTTCGGCAAGAGATTGGGCATCGACAAGGTACTTCACTACTGCTCTTGTATTTCCACGTCGAGCCAGTCTCACTACGCACGCCTTGCAGCTGTCTAGTCGGTCTGCAAAGCTGATCAATTCCTTCGTTCTGCCTAGCCACTTCGCAGGCAGAGCTCTTCAACGGGCGCGTCTACACCGACGCTCATTCAACGTGATCGAGGGAAAGCGACCGCTGCTGTTGCTGCTGCTGCTGCCTGTCAGACAGCAAAAGGTTCCAGAAAGAGCTCTTATAGGCGCTCACATCCGCACTGCTACCATCTGGCTTGATGCATTCCCAGATCGATCGTGACAAATGAAGTGCATTGAGCCCACGCCCCTCGTCTGCATGTACGACTACGATGCCTTGACAAAGTTCTTCCCCTTGATCGCCTCCCGATTTGCCTTTCTCAATGCCGTCTTCTTCTCCTTTTCCTCCTCTGCAACACTTGCCTCTACCCTACCCATCTCCTCTGATGTAGTAGGCGGTGCAGTCCCCTGAGCGGCCCTATTGCTTCCCTTTCCCTTGAGTGCGCCTGCATTTCGAGCAGCTCGAGCAGCAGCAGCGTTCGCTGCCCTCTTTTCTCTGAATTCTCGCTTTTGCTGTACCCGCAATTGACCCTTTGTCAGGACACCACCGCTAGGAGCTCCCCCTCCGCCAGAGGAAGGACCGGCATCACTTGCCTCTGTAGAAGCAGAAGTCGTCTTGAGTGCAGGAGTGGCCAGGAGAGACCAGAGCCAGGGAGGATACTCTTCATCTGGTAGAGCAATGGGCTCCGGACGGTCTTTGAGAATGGCCAGACCTGGAAGAGGGGTACCGGCGGGACACGACGAAGGGGGAAGGGCTGGCAAGGGAGAAGGAGATTGGTGACCGCGTCAGCTTTGTCGGGCCAGGTCCTCAAGATTTTGCTCTACCTCGACCGCCTTGAGGTACTCACTGGAAGCTGACTTTGATGGACCAGCTGACGAAGAAGGGTTAGGGGCCGAAGCAGAAGCAGGAGCAGATGGACTGGGAGCTGCGAGCCTAGATGAGCTTGCAAAGGACCTGGCGCCCACCGTAGCGATGGCAGAGTATGACCGTGCTGCGGCACGAGAGGTGGAAGAGGCGAAGAGGGACATGACGTATGAGGGGCGAGTATCAGGAGATTGGCAGAGATACAAGGAGGATGGATGTAAGGATGACCTCTGAGTGCTGCCCCGGGAAGATCTCACTGTCCGCCCTCCGCCGATGGATTTTCTGACGCGCGGAAAGGCGGAAGTGGCGCCTTGCAGTCATCCAGACATCATGGTCCACTACCCTCGCCTTGGTCCGCTTGCACACCAGAAAAGTCTCCGCAACGCTACCAGCTCATCCATCAAGAGTCTCTACGATGCCATTGGGCCTTGTGTCAGGATACGATTCTGATTCCAGCTCAGGATCAGAGTCAGGATCCGAAGCCGGCCCGTCCAGAGCAGCAGCTACGGTAGCCCCACCTGCCTCTAAGCCCTTGCTCTCGAATGGCAGCTCCTTCGCTTCCAAGCTCGGTCTGCCGCCTCCGTCGGCATCCTCGAGTTCGTCATCGAAGACAACCAGCAATGGCCTAGCTTCAGCCCTTCCACCACCAAAAGCATCACTAGCCTCGTCGCTACCTGCCGTCAAGTCAGATGTCCCAGCTACGAACGGCTCCACCTCGAGCAAGCGCAAGAATCAGATCCGCATCGAGTCGCTTGCAGACCTCCACGACGACAAAGACGATGCAGGTCAAGGCAGCAGCACAGCCTCTGCTGCCTCGTCTAGCAAGAAGGCCAAGATGGAAGGCAAACCCTCGATGAGCGCTGCCAGCTCGCACGGGCTATTCGGTATGCTGCCCGCCCCCAGTCGCAAGGGACCTCCTACACCTCCACGCAAGCGGCAGGAGGAGGAGGATGAAGGAGTAGGAGTCGGCGAGGCAAGGCTGACGTTGCATGAGGAAGAAAGTGATTCACAGGCACAAAAGGGAGTGAAGAAGGGTAATGCGGATTTCAGAGCGATGTTGGGCCTCAAGCCAAGTCAGACAGCAGGCGAAGGTATCTCCAAGCCCAAGGTGATAGCGGCTTCGACCTCGTCATCACGACAGCCTGAGCCGCCGAGAAAAGCAGCGCCCCCTAGGCATGAGCCCATTACACCATCGGCGACGGAAGTCTTAATGGCATCATCGAGGACCTCCACAGCCCAGGCTCCGCAACAAACTACGACGCCTACACCACCCTCGCAGCCACAGCCTTCTCAAGCCCCCATCGACTTCTTCTCTCTCTCTTCCTCTTCCTCGAAGAGCCATAGCGCGCCCAGTAAGCCCTCCCCTCTCCCTTCATCCTCATCCTCTCGTCTTGCAGTATCCTCTGCTCCCTCGATAGCAGAGGCTTCACCTTATGCCGGCTGGCACCAGAATCCAGACGGGTCCTGGGTCCCCGTCACACCCGAAGCCATTCAAGCCTACGAGGCCCACCAAGCCTCTCTCGTCGCCGCCTCCTCCAACAACTTGCAAGCGGCAGGCGGTGACGCTCGAGCGGCAGAGGAGGCTGCGCGGGAGCTCCGCAAGCTCCGCGAACAGGGAATCGACGTTGAATCCCTGCAGTCTGTGGATCTGGAGGCTACTCGCGCAGAATGGGAGAAGAAACCAATGGAGGCGCGTTCCTCCTCTGCCCTAGACGCAAAGTATGCCGCTGCTGCTGGACTTGCCTCCCAGCAGGGCACCGCCGGGGTGGGAGATGAGGATGAAGAGGGAGCAGCCAGGAACGAAGGGAGAAAGAAGGCAGAGCTACCGGGTGCGAAGAATGCTCGAGGTAAAGGGAGGGGACAACTCTCGAATCTGATTGCTCAGGCTGCTGAGCGAAAGGATGAATTGGAGCAAAAGTGGGCAGAGGGAAAGAGTAATAGGGCGGCTGCTGGGAATCGATATGGATGGTAGTGGAGGAAGGGAGAGGAGGGATGGGGTAAGAAGCAGAGCCGAGCCAAATCATACCCATCAGCGCGCAGAGCGCTTTTACTACGCAGCGCATTATATCATATCATCCAGCTGCACAGATCAGAGGTCGTATATGAACGTTGTGAAGAGGCTCACAGTAATCGGTTGATTGCAGTAGTGGGCGAAGGTAGCGCAAGGATGGATGACGAGGAAAAGGAGGAGGAGGAGCCCCAAGATGGGACCATTATGGTGCTGCCTCATATTTGACCCTTGATCTGCACATCGTGTCAGGATAGAAACATGAGTCAGCATCGCCTCTTCTCGGCCCACAGACCCAGCAGTCATCTTAGCCCATACTCACGTCAATCTTCCGATACTTCTCACCAGCCGCCACCAGTCCAGGCAGAGCATTCTTACAATCCCACTTTCTCTCCTCCAATCGCAACCCCTTTGACCCCAACTTCTTCTTGCTTCCACTGCCGCTCCCATTTCCTCGGAGTGACTGCGAAGCTGCCAGCTCTGCAGGTGTAGGCTCAATGTAGATGGCAATCTCATTCGCCTTGAGAAAGTCGTGCGCCTCTTGCACATCGGCAAAGGCGAGCTCGGTAGCCAGGAATGTCAGTGGGACAGAGGGTCGGTAGCTCTTTGCCACGACGCCCAAGGCAGCAACTCTTTCCCTCTCGACAAAGTGGTCCATGACATAGGCATTCATGTTGGGGGCGTCGCTCCAGAGCTTGAAGAAGTGGTGGTAATTACCAGTCGCTAGTGCTAGACGCACGGCGAGAGCGTGGGCTACTGCTGGTTCTTTCTTCGAGGTTGGGGTAAGCTCGGTCATGAGCGCATTGACTTCTCTTCGATTGCGAGTATGTAGGAGGTAGAGGATGCGGTATGCCAGGAATTCCATTCTGCTCCCGGGAAGGTTGTGATGGGCATAGAGGACCCGCAGCTGAGACTGACATTGGTTGTACTCTCCCAGGTCGCCTTTTTCCAGAGCTATCCTCGCATGAATCTCATAGACTTTGACTGTAAAATCATTCTTGATCCTCTGAACCGTCAAGTCTTGCCTCATGCTCTTGAATTGGTCACAGACGTAGGCGTAATTGTTCTCTTCCCGCCACTTCTTCTTGAGAAGCTCTAGAGTCTGCTGTAGTATCGGCAGAGGTCGCACCGTCTTGGGATCAGGGGCAGATGTGAGACGCAGGTAGGGCTTCTCTAGCTTGGTGGACAGCCCAACGACTGTATCCACGTCCCAGTCGATGACGTTCTGAGGCGGATGTTCAAGGGAGCAGGGTCAGCAACTGCTAGCCTTGTCCACCCATTCCGCCCCTCTTCTCTCCTCGTGACTCACTGGATCTGCTATACTCTCGTCCACGAACCCTCTTGCCGCCAGACTCGATCCACTCCCTGATGCTGCTGCTGCCCATCCTTTGCCTGCCACCCCGCTGCTCGGCGAAGGATCATATGTCCACCCTGATATTGGTGTAGATGAATTGGAATCCGCATACCATCCCTCTTTTCTGGACTTTCCATTCTTCTTGCCTCCGCTGACGCTCAATGATGCTCCTCCCAGTCGCCCCGCCAGAGATGCCGTGGAATTGGGCGCGGCCTCGCTCCAACTGGACTCTTGCTCGGCTACGAATGCCCTCTTCTCTTCCTCGAACCTTCTCGCCCGCTTCTCCCGCTTGTCTTCTTCCTCGAAGACTCCAGAGGAAGATCCAGGACGAGATGCGCTCGAGCTCGAGTGGCCATTCGAGTAGTCCATTGTAGCGCTCAGGCTGCCGCCGGTAGGCGAGCCGACGGCACCTAGCATCCTCTTCTTGCCCTTCTTGATCGGCGTCACTGGCCCTGAACCTCCTACCGAACCTGCCCCTTTCCCAAGCGACTTGAGCTGCACATTATTCCAGTCCGTCGTGTTGATAGTTCCTGCCTGGAAGGATTGGAAGATGACCGTCTTGAGCTCCTCGGAGACCATCTTGCGATTCGAATCGTTGCAGGTCTGGAAGACGCGGTTGGCAAAGTCCTTGAGTGACTGAGGCCATTCTGTACGACTCCCTCCAGCAGCAGCGGACGACATGGCGGCGGCGGCTTCGATCCGGTGAGGCTCTGCTGGTAGTAAAAGACGGCCTTGATAGAATTTGACAAAGAGGTAGGAAGTTGGACGACGGATGGACCTCGAATGGTCGCTCTTTCCGTGTCACGCCCGCGGGTCAGGAACAGGAACTGCAACGAGGTACAGAGGGGGAGCAGAAGGGATCTGAATTCGAGGTCGAGGTGGGAAACGCAGGCTCGGGTGATGCTCAAGCCCTCTCCTTGGGCGATGGTCAGGGTGGGGAGTCAAAGGAAGACGTACGAGTATGACAGGAAAGGGCGCCAAACGCGGAGGCATTGACAATTCTGTCTCGAGGAGTCCAGCCGCGGCGCAACTCCTCCCGCTGCTCCACTCGCCGCCTCCTTCCGTACAGTGACTGCACAGAGCCGATCCCTTCCTTCCTTGCCATCACCTCCCAGCCAGACCCCCATACCCTCGCCCGACCATGGCAGACCAGCCCAATACATCTGGTGCCGAGCCAGTGTACGATCCTGCCGACTTCGGCGAGCCATCCACATCCTCCGCCCTCGCCTCCGCTCCCACCTCTGCCGATCCCACATCTTCCTTTCCCTCGGATCCCAACATTTCCTTTTCCCAAGTGACGGGCAAATGGGTCTACGAGGATCCCAACACAGGTGTCGAGAGCGAATACGACGAGCAACTCGGCAAGTGGCGTCAGCTGGTGGATGAAGAGGAATGGAAGGCACAACAGGGAGCGTATGGTGTAGAGGGCGTCGATGAGGATCGACCTGCTGCTCCTGTCATCCGTCGCGAGAAGAAGAAGAGGAAGATTCAGGATCTGGGAGGCACAGATCCAAACAGCATTGATGGTAATGCCACAGGATCTACGCAGCTACTTGGCGCTGATCAGATGGCGCCGAATAGGAGTGATGGAGCAGCTGAAGCAGAGGATGAGCGGGGGTCCGCCAAGAGCAAGACTCGTCCAGCTCGTCGGGAGCGAGTCAATACTTCCCTCTTCATCTCCTCTCTACCCTTGGATGCCACACAAGACGAAGTAGCCAAGGTCTTCTCGAGGTACGGGATCCTTGCAGAGTCGGACGATGGCTCACCGAGAGTCAAGCTGTACACGGATGACAAGACTGGAATGTTCAAGGGCGAAGCTCTGCTCACCTTTTTCAAGGCAGAGAGCTGCCAATTGGCAATTCAGCTCCTTGATGGAACATGTCTGAGAGCAGCCGAAGGCAAGAGCACGCCGCTGATGAAGGTCCAGATGGCAGACTGGAGCGGCAAAGAGACCGAGGGTAGCAAGACGGAGACTGTCAAACCTTCTAATGGCAATGGTGCGCATGCCAACCCTGAGCAAGGGTCTTCAGCATCGAAATCGACAGCTGCCTCTGCCCCTTCCGCCTCAACTTCGACGGCTGGACCCTCTGCAAAGAAGCCAAGGAACGAACAGGATAAGAAGAAGGCAGCGAAGCGTTATGCTCGTATGAACGAGTGAGTACCCAGACACTGCCAATGGCAGCCCGCTTTCCCCCTTGCATGTCTCTCAGTGCTGACCCAGCCATACATACCCTCGCTGCACATCCCTCTACAGGAAGCTCGCAGGCTGGGAGTCCTCCTCAGACGAAGAAACCTCTGCCTCCCTCCGTCCCTCCGGCGCCCAAGCAGGGTACCTCAACCCCCTCTCCCGCACTCTAATCCTCAAACGTATCTTCACCCTCTCTGAGCTCTCTTCCGACCCTTCTCTCCTGCTAGACCTCTCCTCTGATATCCGTGAAGAATGCGCTAATTTTGGAGAGGTGACGAGCGTGACGCTTTGGGATCTGGAACCAGAAGGGGTGGTGAGCGTCAAATTCCGCAAGGGGGAGGAGGCGCAAGCGGCTCTCAAGGTAATGGATGGGAGGTTCTTCGCCGGCAGGAGGATAGAGGCATTTCTCAGTGAGGGGAATAAAGTCAAGTTTAGAAGGAGCAGGGGTGAGGCGGCAGGGTTGGGAGAGGAGAGTGATGAGGAGGGTGCAGAGAAGAAGGATGGGTTTGGGGAGTGGCTAGAGGGTGAAGGAGATCAGGAGACGTAAGAGAAATCACAATGCTCACCAATGCTCTGGAGCCTAGCTTGCAGTCAGAAGTGTTATGTCTGATGAGTGACCATAGGTTGATGATAGGCGATAATTGCTCTTCGTCATGAATACATGACGCCTCTGCCCTGTGTTCAACTAATCTACTGTCCCATACCCGGTCCCTCGCTCTTCAAGGAACTCCTACCAGCGCGCAAGATCTCATCAACGCTGAGCAGGTTCGTCGCAATGACGGAGCTGTTGGTGGGGGGAGGAGCGAAGAGAAGACATCAGCACCTACTTTCGAAAGAGCCGAGTCTCGCCTTTTTTATTCGAACTCACCAGCTGTGGATCATATGCCTCTTGACTCTGTAGTTGTCCCAGACTCCAGCTCCCACCACGTCCATTGGCTCTCCACTCTCCATATCCAAACCCACGACCATTCCCTCTGCAGACTCGTCCTGTAGCTTGACAATAACGTCCTGCACGTCGAAGCCTCCATTCCTGGCGAGGGTCTTTGGGATGACTAGGAGGGCCTCGGCGAATGCCTGCACGCCAAGCTTGGCGCGGCCCTTGGCTGCCTTCTTGACAACGTCGTTGAGGTAGGTGGCAGCGGCAATCTCGTAGGCGCCTCCACCTGGGACGAGCGATGCATCTTCGATGGCGTTCTTGACGCTCCTCAGTCCGTCCCTGACAGCATCCTGAATCTGCTGAATCGTGTGAGAGTTGGGCCCCTTGATGAGCAGCGTCACACTCCTCGGGTCCTTGACCTCCTCGACAAAAGTGAACTTCTCCTCTCCCAAAGTGTGCTCATAGACAAGCCCTGCATAGCCCAAGACCTCGGGTGTGAGGCCCTCTACAGAGTTCATCGCCGTTCCTCCACAGCAGAGCTGCAGCCTCTCCATATTCCTCCTCTTTGCCCTCCTGAGAGCCAAGATTCCCTCCTTTGCTAGCATGTCCAATGACATTGGGTCGATGCCCTTTTGGTTGAAGATGACAAACTGCTTCTTCTTCGAGTCGCTGCCCACGTCTTGGTCGCACACTGCCCGCTTCAGGTCGATGATCTTCTGCACCTTGGCGTCTACGAAGCGACGCTCCGACTCCACTAGCTTCTCACGCTGCTCGGCAGACGAGTAGAAGAAGGAAGAGTTCACCTCACTGGTCGCAGGGGAGAGGGATCAAGATGTCAATGTCAGCTCAAGTCTGTACGCAAAAACTTCCTATCAACCTCCTCCCTCGTGGCACTCACGTCTTCTCGTACTCCAAGCTGACATTGAGTGTGAGCACAAAGGCATTCTCTACTCTCCTGGGCATATCAGCATGTCTAGCTCCATGGTCCAGCACCAGTCCCTTGATGAGCTGTGTATCCGTCTCTGTCCTATGTTGCATCTTCATGATCTCTACCATGTGAAGATCAATGGGATCCTTGACCTCCCACTCCTTGACCGACTCGGAGCTACCGTCAGCTTTTGGCTCAGGCGCTGTGATCTTTGACGTTGTGGAAGGCTTGATAGCCAGTACTGCGTCGACAATGTCGCCTGCAAGCTGTGTGGCTAGCTTGGGGTGAATCTTGGTAGAAAGAGAGGTGTGGGCAACGGAGACAAGGGCGGTGCGGTCCAGCTCGGGTGACTGCTTGAAGGTGTCTAGGAACTTGAGAGCTCCGAGCTTAGCGTCTTCAAATCCTTCGCTGAGCACTCGTGGGTGAACACCTTCTTGAATATACCTCTCTGCCTGCTTCAAGAGCTCTCCCACCAGCAACACCACGCTGGTGGTTCCATCACCACACTGCTCATCCTGTGCCACGGCAGTACGAGCGATCATTGCTGCAGTGGGGTTCTGAATCTGCATCTCTGTCAAGAGAACTTTGCCGTCCTTTGTCATCTTCAGGTTGCCCGAGCCGTCCACGAGGAGCTTGAGGGAACCTCGTGGGCCCAGGTTGGCAGCGACGACATTGGCTAGACCGACTGCGCCTGCTGTGTTGACTTGGAGGGCCTGTGTGCGACGTACAGACTCGGCACGAGGGTTGAGTAGCTCGATTGCCGACATGTCTGATGTGGCAGAGGAGGTGAAGGTGATGAGAGGAGGTGGTAGTGTTGGAGATGGTCCCTCTCAAGAATATCCTCTTGCTGCTACCCTCACTTTCCCAAGCGTGTCTGCCTGGACGCACTTCCCAGGCGCATTTCTTCCTCGTCCTTCCGCGCATTCTGGGTCAGTGCGTGCGTGTGTGTGTGTGTGTGTGCGTGTCTGATCTCCTTCCGTCCCGAGATCACAAGCAACACCAAGTGTCACTTCCGTCAGAACACCATCACCATCGAGGCACCTCCTACTGACAGCGACTGCCACTGCAAGCGACGGCGACAGGCAGGTCAGAGCACCCGTGTCAGTGATGGCTGCCACTATAGAGCCTCCTCCACCAGCCGGAGCAATGTCGCCCACCCTCGCGCTGCAGCTACGTCTCTCTCACCTGCAATCCGTCATCGGCCACGCTCCCTCTTCCACCAATGCAGCTCCTGCACCTCAAGATCACCCCTCCTCCTCCTCATCCCCTCTTGACCAGACCCAACGCCAAAGTCAATCTCAATCTCAATCCATCCTCCTCCGAGCTCTAGCAGCCAAGCAGCTCCTCGAATCAAGCGCCTCTACTCACTCCTCTCTCCGCAAATTCCTACGAGACTTCGACGCCAACCGTCGTCTCCTGGAGGGAGGATTCCGGTACGATGCGCGTTCCTCGCCCGATCTGGCTCGTACGAGCAGCGCTGCTTCGCGTTTCCTCTCTCTTTCCCTCTCCCTCGACCCGGCTGCTGATGAGAAGAGTGGGAGCGGGAGCGGGAGTGGAAGTGGAAGTGGAGGAAGCAGAGAGGCGGTACTGACAACGCAGGAGCAGATCCTGCTTGTGGTCGAGGCAGAGAGGGACATGAGGATGCTGGAGAGGACGCTTCTGGAGTGTGAGGCGCTGGATAGGAGAGGCGTGGCGGGTGCTGGGAAGATGGCTGGTAAGTCTCTTCCTCCTCTCAGAGAAGGATACAAGTGGACCAAACGACTGACCAGGAATACTTGTCCGATCCACCTCCTCTCTCGCCCCATTACCTCTGCCAGAGTACGAACAACTCCAGCCTCTGCTGCAAGAATGCCTTCAGAGACACAACAGCGAGCTAGCTCCCGCACAGAACGAGCTTGAGGAGGGGCTTCTGCAGCTATTGGAGCGTTATCAAGTGCATGTGAGTATGGGACTCACGGTGACATGTCATCTTTGATACATTATTGACTGAAGCTTATACTATATCCTTCGCATCAGGTCGACTCCCTCTCTCGGCTCTTCATCTCGTGGGACGAGGCGCTCAAGGAGATGGAGGACAAGGTGACCTCTTTGGAGAAGGAAAAGAGGAGACGCGGGGAGTAGATGAAGTCACAGCCGAGCACACAAGAGAAGTAGAAGGGGTTTGCTGTATCATGTATTTGTACGGGCTTCCTTGTCTAGATATACCACTACCATCATTATTGCCATCGTCATAAAATCGTTCACAAGATGCCGCCAAGGACCATCTTCTTCCTCACTAGCCCCGTCACGCCACTCCATACCCTCTCAAGCCAAGGCGCCCCCATCTGCATCTGTGCGCTCGTCGCCGCCTCCTCCTGCAGCTGCTCCGCTACCTTCTCAGCCCTCAGTGCCTCCTCTAGCAACACAGAGTTGATAATTGCCGCAAGCCTCACCCCACCCAGTGCAAGCTGTCTCTGAATGATCAGATCGTCGTTGATCCTCTTGAGATAGTCGTCCGCTAGCTCTGGTAGGTCTGGTTGTGGAGAGGGGTGCGTAGGAGTTGAAGGCCTGCTGGTCGTTGGTTGAGGGTTGGGACTAGGACTCGGACGACGACGACGACGTCTGCGCCGACGCCTTTCGGCTTCGACGTCGTCACCAGCGGCCACTGGTGATGCGTCCTGGTATCTCTCCTCCCATTTCTCCAGCAGAGCCTCCTCTTCACCAGGCGCGGGCACGGGTGAAGCAAAGGCGTATTGACAGACGAGGGGGTGCAATGGTCTACTCCAAGCCATGGGACAGAGCGGCAGGTCCGTCTCGTCGACTCGGTTCGTGGGATCATCTCCATAATCTGCAGTTGGCGGGTCTGGGCATTCGGCCCAGGAGGACCATTCAGTCTCCCACCAGGCCTGTGCGGAAGAGGTTTTGCCGACGCCTAGACCCTCGGCCATAATCCAGCGGATGTAAGGGTCCCAGACTTGGCCTTGTAGAGTTGACTCAAAGGGGAGGGAAGGAAGGGGGGTAGTGTAGTTGTACAGATTGCGGATCTGTGTGTTGATGACTGCAAAGGGAGAGCGGGGGTAGATTGATCAGACACAGACTTCTCGCGGATCCTAATTGCGTCCTCCTCTAGCACTCACTCTGTCCATCCCAGATGCTGTGCAGTCTGGCCTTTCTGCCTTCGTATCTTACCCACACGTCATTGCCGCCCCTAGCTCTACCCGTCAGATGCAGTGGTTGGTGCAAATCGCCGACAAAGTGTGTGACGAATCTGAGGGCGACGTCCCTTTCGGCGCCTGTGCCATCCCTGAGCTGCCTAGTGTAATTGACAAGCCCGGTGAGTACATTCTCCTGATCCGTGAAGCCTTGCTCGCCATAAGTGCACGTCTTTGGCGGCTCATCATGGACTGGATTGACATAGTGCAGGTGTCCCGACCAGGGCATTCGCCATTTGGCCGTGTCAGGCCAGCTGGCAAGAGTAGCAAGGTGACAGTGGGTGTGTGGTGCACCTTTGCGTGGGTAAGGGGAGGTGTAGGAGGTGAAGGAGGGGAGGATTGTGCAGAGGTGAGTGCGTACGGCGGGATGGAGGAGGGACTGGGCGATGGTGGCTACGATTGCGTGTCCTGCTTGACCCCAGGCGAGGGTGGGGGAGGGTGCGGCGAGGAGTAGGATGAGCAAGGGGAGTGGGAGGAGCAAGATCAGCGAGCGCACCATGGCTGATCAGCTACGGATACGCTGATGCTCAGGTGGAGAGTGGTTGGCCTGCGTTGTTGTGGTACTGGAGCGAGTGACAGCTCCTTTTGCCGACTGTCGCCTTTGAGATACGCCGGGTAGCCGAGCTTGGAGCCGAGGCGCACTGATCACCCTGCCGCGGAGGAGGGGCGTTTGCAACTCCGCCCCGCCCGCCCCAGCCAGCCAAGTCGCACCTCGCTCTCACGGGGCAGCGGATGATTAGACGAGGCGCAACTCACCAACAAGTCCACGTCAACCGCCTGCGCCTCCCTTCCGCTTCTTCCCTCTGCTTCCTCGCCTTGCCATTCCCTCTCCATTACACCATCACTCCCGCCCACCCTTTGATGATCCCTCCCCAGTTCGCTCTCCTCTTTGCCGCCATCACAGGCTTCTCCATCTTCTTTGCAGGTTCCAAAGTCATGGCGAAAAAGTACGCCTACTCTCTACCCATCCTGGGCGACTTTGACCATGCCACCAACTTCCAGGACCCGCAAGTGGCGGGTGCCTTTGGCATCGGCCTCATCCTCAGCTTGATCTTCCTCGGCTGGGCATTCTCCAGTGGCAGTGAGTATCGCAGGGGACAGAGTTGACATGGCAGGAGTTGACAGGGTAGGGCAGGCCCGCCAGAAGCTTCGCTGCATCCAAGGACCTCGTCTTTACTGACCTCCCCGCGCTTCCGCTGCTCCCTTTCCCCTTCCCCCAATTTCTAGAGCCACGGACATCATTGACCAACGAGTGGCAAAAGTTCAACCTCATGGAGAGGAAGAGGATCTCCTCCAACACCTCACTCTACCGCTTCCGCCTCCCCGGCACCAATGCCATCCTCGGTCTGCCCATTGGCCAGCACATCTCCATCCAGGCCGAAATCGACGGCAAGCAGGTGCAGCGCTCCTACACGCCCACCTCTTCCGACGACGACCGTGGGTTCTTCGACCTGATCATCAAGACTTACCCTCAGGGCAACATCTCAAAGCACGTAGAGGGCCTGCGCATCGGCGAGCAGATCCAAGTCAAGGGACCCAAGGGTCAGATGAAGTACAGCCCTGGTCTGGCTCGCGAGCTGGGCATGATTGCCGGTGGAACCGGATTTACTCCTTGCCTGCAAATCATCCGAGCTGTGCTGAAGAACCCCTCGGACAAGACGAAGATCAGCTTCATCTACTGCAACGTCACCGAGGGAGACATTCTCCTCAAGGACGAGCTCGACACTCTTGCCCGGGACAACCCAGACCGGTTCACTGTTACGTACTTCCTGAATGAGCCACCTCCAGCCTGGAAGGGTATGACGGGATTCATTACAAAGGACGCCATCAAGGAGCACCTCCCTGCTCCTGCGGGGGACATCAAGATTCTCATGTGCGGACCACCCCCGATGATCAATGCTTGCAAGAAGCACCTGGACGAGCTGGGCTATGAAAAGCCCAGGACTGTCAGCAAGATGGAGGACCAGGTCTTCTCCTTCTAAGCAGGAGCGAGAAAAGACGCAGATGAGCGGAGTCGGTCACGGGCGCGGCGGGTGCGGCCTCGGCTGGGACGTAGGCATAGAAAGGCTTCTGAAGCTGTGAGGTCTAGGGCGGAGAGAAGTGGGAAGGCAATGCATCATGAGGAAGACGGGCGAGATGCAGAGCAGTAGTGGCGTGGCGCGGCGCTAGGCGGGCGATTGAACTTTCCAGTCAGTAGAGAGGAGACAGCAGGATCAGCGATGCTCCCACTAGAGTGGGGTCACGCTGCAACTCTAGACCAGGTCCGGCAGGCAGGCAGGTAGGAACAACGCGGCAGAAGTGGGGTACTAGAAGGCTACCACATGCATGCACATGTGGTCGTGTTAGTCCAGTCGTGATGGAGATTTCTCAGAAAGATGTCGCTATGTCGCCATAATCATGTCATGAATCCCTTTTTGTGCGTGCGTGTGCGTGTGCAATTTGCAAATGCTAAACCAATTCCATTGCATTACTCGTTGACGAGCGACTGTGAGCGAAATTCTCCACCAGCTGGCAATCGTAATGATACTTGAGGGGGACTACAAGTCCCCACCAGTCCCACTAGCCCTGTACCACCTAAGCACCCCATCTGTCCCTCCAGCCACAAAGGCCGAGCCCGCCGCCGTTGCTGCCTCGAATCCTGCATCAGAGTCCCGTGAGAGTGGAAGAGGACGCCAAGCTAGACTGGTCGCACCTCTGGGTCCCATAGAAGACGGGGCTGACGACGACGACGACGACGCAGTAGTCGTGGTCGTGGTGCTCTGCCCGGGGGCTTCTCCATTCACCTCGCCATTGCTCTCCACTGAGTCCCCATTGGGCAGCGCAGACGGCGCCGTGGCAGCGGCAGTGGTCACATCTCCTCCAGCTCGAATAACACATACGCTCCTCTTCGGCCTCTGATCTAAATCCCACAGACGTATAAACCCGTCCTGCACACTGGTCGTCGCGAGGAGGAGAGGGGGGCGCGATTTGCCTGCTCTACTACTGTTGGCGCTGTTGTGCTTACGCATATAGGAAGTGGATGCCACGGGAACGGGGGCGAGATGGTCTATGGATCCTTTGTGGCCTTGTAGGAATGATACTGGGTTTGTTAGGATCTTGAGTGCGGAGCCGGAGCTCGAGCTGGAGCCCAAGGAGGAGAGAGAGGCGACATCGTAGAGTGTTACGAGTCGGTCGTCACTTCCGACAAAGAGGTGATTGTCGCCGCCAGTGGAGGACGAATCGAATGCGAGGGATCGGATGGGGAGGGCGTGTGAGGTATAGAGTGCCACTCTCGAGAGGGTTGGAGGGGAACTTGAAGAGGACTGAACGATGGAGAAGAGGTGTACATGCCCGAAATCGGTGCCCATGGCGACGTACTTGCCAGAGGGGGAAAAGGCGAAGCTCAGTGCATAGACTGAAGGTGGAGGTGCTGCTGAAGAGGCAGGCTCGTATGGATTGGAACAGAGGAGCTCGCCGAAGTCAGCTTGCCCGGCAGAGTGGAGCGAGAGGACTGCTCCTGATCCGGCGGCTGCGAAGAAGCGGCCGGAGGGATGGAGGGCTGCAGTGGGAAGGTCCAGGGGCTGGCCTTCTGTGTCCAGAATAGCTGTGATACTCTTGATTGGCTGTAGATCCATCGATGATGGCTCTGAGGTCGTCAGGAGCTCCTCTCCATCCTCCCCTGGGACAATGCGCTGTGCCGCTCCTTTGCTCGAGGCTGCCTTGGTCTCCAATTCCCGCAGGGACCAGAGGGAGGCGCTACTGTCGATGGAGCTACTCAGCGCCGTCTCACCCCGCTCATCGATGGTCAATGAGTGAAGAGACTCGGTGTGAGCCTTGATCTGAGCTAAAAGAGTGCCATTGTTGGCGTCGAAGGCACAGAGGGTACCATCGAGGTGGCCCGTGAGTACGACGTTGGTGGTGGCCCATTGGACGGTGAGGATGGGTGAGGGCGGACTGGGCGATGCAGGCGACGATGATGATGATGACGATGCATAGGAAGACGAGAAGTCTTCTATGTATTGCAGCGACATGGCAATGCAGTGACCCCAGGTGTAGATCACATGGACAGCCGTGTGCTGGTGGTAGCGATGGCTGACTGTATGCTGGCCTGCGCTGCTTCACTTCTTCCTGCGTCTGACGTCCTCGCTCCGTCTGTCCGTCTGTCCGTCCGTGGGTCGGTGTGCCACGTTTTCCCGGCTCCGCTCTGGGTTGTCCAGCCCGGCCCTCGCCGTGGGGAGAGGGAGTGCGCCCGCCAGTGGGCCTGGCTGCCGCCCTGCCCGCGTGTTTGAAATCGGCGACGTAGAGGATCCTTCTCATCGTCCGTCGTCGTCAGTCCTTCCCGCTGTTCGTCTTCACCACTACCGCACATCGCATCACCCTCCCGCATACCCCTCTCTCCTCCCCCCACCCCTCTATCACCCTCACCATGTCGCTCGCCAGGGTCGCTACGCCTTGCCGATCCTCCCTCCTCCGGACAGCAGCCGCTTCCCCCGTTAGCGCAGCCATCGCAAGGAGGGGATACGCTACTCAAAAGGTGGACAACATCCCACTTGCTGCCTACGTGGGTATCCAAGACTGTGCATAGAGGCGGGGCTACAAAGTGGTGGAAAGGGGAATTCTCAGATCATCGGCCAGTGACGCGGACCAGCTGGGACGACGAGAGCCAGAAGGGAATACAAGGCTGGAGGAATTAGCTTGGGAAGGGGATCGCGGGCATGCAGGTGGAAGAATGGGAACAGAGAGAGAGGATGCCACTTCGCAATATCCCAGGCCTGTCAGATGACTAACTTCCTTCCTGCTCTCTATGCGGCGCTCCTCACAGGACAACGGATCACCTACCTCAGCTGTCACAGTCGCAATCAGGGCCGGAGCTCGCTATGAGACCAGCCCCGGAATCGCAAGTCAGTACAATGATGCAGAGAGCAGAGGATTGCATTCCTCAAGCAGTGGCAGCTGACCTTCTCTTCTACTCGACACCCCTTTCCTCCAAATACTTTTCTTCGATGAAGATGGTCTGAAGCAGTGAGTCTTTGAACAAGACCTACCCCTCCGATCTGCAGACAGGCAGACACTGACCACGAAGCTCTCCACTTGTTCACTACAGCTTCCTGTTCAAGTCAAATGCCAAGCGATCTGCTCTGCGACTGGTTCGAGAGTCTGAGCTGTACGGTGGTCTTCTATCCACCTCGCTCTCGAAGGAGCACCTGTTCCTGACCGCTGAATTCCTGCGTGGTGACGAGTGAGTACTGTCTGCCGCCTCAGCGAAGAGGGATCTGCGATCTGACGGGAATTGTATTCCTCTTTCTTGCTCCGACTGCTAGGGACTTCTTCGTCGAGATTCTAGGAGATGTTTTGTCCAGCTCCAAATTCGCTACGCACGAGTTCAACGAGGAGGTCCTGCCCGCCTCTCGCGCCGAGTACGAGCAGGTAGCAGGCAACCCTTCCATTCTTGGCTTCGATGTCCTCACTCAGACCGCTTACAGGCAGCGAGGTCTGGGCGCTTCCCTCTACGCCAGCCCCTCTTCCCCCATCAGCGCCTCTGGTGTCAGCTCGTATGCCAAGGGAGCCTTCGCCAGGGACAACATTGCCGTCTTCGGTACCGGAATCACACAAGACAAGCTCTCCTCTCTGGTGTCCAAGAGCTTCTCTGGTGTTCCTGGCACATCAACCGGCGCCCTGAATGCCGGTCCCTCTACCTACTTCGGAGGCGAGCAACGAGTAGACTTTGCCCCTCACCACGCCGACAGCCCCAAGGCCCACAACGGCCACTTCTTCCTCGCCTTCGAAGGTGGCTCTTCGCCAGAGTTCGCCGTGCTGCGCGCCCTGCTAGGTGGTGAATCCAGTGTCAAGTGGTCCAAGGGTCTTTCGCCCCTGGCTCAGGCCGCTGCCAAGGTGAATGGAGGACACGCCGAGGCCTTCAACCTGACTTTCAGCGATTCCGGATTGATCGGTGCCTACATCACTGCCCCCACTGCCACGCTGCCTGCTCTGGCAAAGGAGGTGGCCGGTGCATTCAAGTCGGCTGCATCGAGCGTCTCGTCAGAAGACCTGCAGAGGGCCATTGCCAAGGCCAAATTTGACCTGACCAGCCAGATGGAGACCAAGGAGCACGGTAGGGCATTTGTCGGTGCCGCCCTGTTGAACAAGGGATCAGTGGTCATGAGTGACGAGGTCGTCTCTCAGCTCGAGGGCGTAAAGGCTCAGGGACTCAGTGCAGCCGTGGACAAGATGCTGAAGGGCAAGGCTACCACTGTGGCCATTGGAGATGTTCGTCAGCTGCCTTACGCCGACGACCTTTTGTAAAAGCAACAAAAGAGGATTTGGTGCGGAGATGAGGAGGAGATGCGGAGCAGGGAAAGGGGGAGGAGGGGGTCGAGGCGTTCATCGGACAGTGTGCCGATCCTTGCTCTACCCTGTCTCGCCTGCATTTAGCAATACAAAGATCGTGGTATACTTCTCTTGGTCGTGGCTGTGCTTGATGTTTAGAGTGCTCTGCGACACTGCCGTGTATTGACGCACCTAGGTGACTTCTTGCTCACATCTGCAAGCACTGCGACGATCGTAGAGGACTGCTGGGCACACATGAATGTTGGCTTGCTACAGTACAGGTGGGACATCTATTCAAGTGGCCACAATACGCTTTTGCCTTGCCTTGGCTGCGACGGAAGAGGGTTCATGTAGCAGTAGCCGTCGGTGGTTGCTTTGCCCCCTCTTCTCCCAAGACCTGAATCTTGCCTGAGGCCGATGGGAAGAGGTTGCTCCATCTGTCCATGTATGCTTCTGCTCCCGGTCCTACTCCTACTCCCACTCCTGCTCCTGCTCCTCCGGTACCAATGCTGGGTATGCTAACCGTGGTTCCCTCTACCCTATTGACCATTCTGAACATTCCTCTGGGGAGTTTCTTGCTCTCCTCTCGACTCATGACCTTTGCCCTCTTTGCGTCCCTCTCTCCTCCAATCCCTCGAACTCCACCAGCTCCTCCAGATCCCTCCGCACCACCCGCTTCATCCTCCTCCTCATCTTCATCAGGCTGACCCATCTCCCTAGTTGATTTCCTCCCCACCTGCTTCTTGAGTAAACGATTGATGGTTTCCGTCTTTTCGTCGTCGAGCTTCTTCTCGGATTGGTACCGCCTGCGACGGGCGACTTCGGAACGCATCAGGGCCACTTCTGCTTCTGTGCGCTTGAGCTTTTTAGAGGTGTCGGCTGTGAAAGAGGTGGGGGGAAAAGTGGGAGACCAAGGATGACAGGTGAATGTGTGAGCGAGTGAGGAGAGGAGGAGAGGACAGAAGCAGGCAAATTTGCAGCGGACACTCACAGAGTGGTAGCTCTAGGAGCTCTTCTCCCATTCCCGCCTTTGCCATCTGTCTAGCCGTCTTTGGCATATTGGCAAGGAAAGATTCTTCTCCATCTGCATCGTCTTCCTCCCCTTCGGTTCCCTCTGCGGGTAAAGAAGCCAGATCTCCTTCGTCCTCTAGCTCGTCCTCCAGCTCGTCCAGCTCCCCATCCTCTTCCTCTTCGCCCTCTGCATCTAGCAGATCTTCATCATCCGACTCGGACTCGACAAGCTTCTTGCCCCGGTTGTTCTTGACCACGGTGCGTGTAGGACGACTTGATGACGACGATGCTGTTGCTGCTGCTGCCTTTGAGGATGAAGCTGCTGAGCGAGCAGAAGTCTTCTTCTGCAGCGGGCTCCGTCCTTTAAGTGTAATCTTGAGCGACTTCCTCGGTCTACTCGGTGTAGGTGGTGAAGGCTTAGCAGACGAGTCGTTTCCCTCCTCCTCATCGTCCTCCTCTTCTTGCAGCTCATCCTCGTCCGCGTCGAGTTCATCATCGTCTGGCTCGCCTTCGGCGTCTTCATCATCGCCGAGCATCTCTGTATCCTCCTGCTCTTGCTCTGGCTCCTCTTCTGAGGCAGAAGAGAGGGCAGAGGAGACTACGGAGAGCCGAGAGGGCTGGCGGGCATGTCGCTTGCGGTTGGAGGGTGATGCGGAGGACATGGCAATGACACGGGGGAGCAGAGTTGGTTGGTGGATTGCAACAATGTAAATGGCAGCGAGGCAATGACTGTATACTATTCTAGACAAGAATATCGCAGTGGGCCCGGCCGAGGGGCAGCCGTGGCTCTGGTGCACGCCGGCTTGGCGTGGCGCTCGACGTGGAGCAACAAAAGTTGGAAATGGCCGCCGTCCCGCAATGACCATCAGCCTCGGTGGGTCCTTCTACTCCTCCTCTTGTTCGCCGTCCCGACCCTCCTCCACACCCTTCCTCTTTACTACCTCTGTTCCTCCTCTTGGCTTCAGTCCTCAAGCTAGGCTCCCTCGCTGGCCCTCTATAGCTATCCACCATGCCTGCAGTCGACACTACTGCCGACGATGGCCTCCTCCACACGCTCATCTCCTACGCTTCTTCCTACGTGGGCGGCACCTTCTTCGGCACCATCCCCGCTCCCATCTTTCAGATCTTAGCTGGCTTCTCCAACCTGATTTGGAGACTGGTGGCCGGAGTGTCCAACGAGTGAGTGGCCCTCACCCTTTGCGGAGAGGCGATATAGCAGGGAAACTCAACATTCCGATCTTGTGCTCTTCCTTCACTCATCACCTGGTCCCGCACACAGCCCAACATCATGGACTTCCACCGTCTTGCCGCCTTTGATTGCCCTCTTCGCAGCTTACCTATCCCTCGTCATGGCTTACAGAACTCTGCGGTCCACCATTCTCCTGATCTGGTGGGGCATCAAGTGGGGAGCCATCATTGGTGCAGGAATCGCACTATGGGCATGGTGGACTGGCAATCAGGACGCGATCAATAGTGTAGGCGAGACGCCTGGGACTGCTGCAGGACTGGCCAGCTGGGCGGGAGGTCTAGCTGGACTGAATGGAGGTGAGTGGGCGCATTAGGTAGACTCCAAAAGAAGTTCCGACTGGTCGCACTGGGCAAGGATGTTGGGTCTCGCAACAAGTGTGTGACTCTATGCTGGCACACCAAGAGATGTCAGGTCTGACCGTCGGGCAATGACTCCGCTTCTCTTTGTCTTCCTAAGGTGCTCGAAGATGATGTTTAGATGGAAAGCTAATCGACAGCGATCTCTCCCGCAAAACTCTCCTCACTCATGCCATTCCGCTACCGATTCGATGGACACAGCGGCGACATTGGCCACTACCCTGCCGCTCTTGTCACGTCTGTACGGAGCAGCGACGCAGGATCGACCAGCCACGACAGGCCGTGGTACGCGAAGATCTGGAGGACGCAGTGCATCTTCCAGGTCCAGGCAAGGTGCAACAGGGCAGAGCGTCTTTGATTCACTCGACGACGAGGACACAATCGGGCAAGGTGCCGCGGGCAGGACTGACGCCGAAGCTCTGCTGAGCGGTGTCCTCAATTCAGCCGGGTCATTCTATCGATCAGCTACCTCTGGCGGTCCAGGCAGACAACGCAAGACAAGATCCACGGCTGAAACTGTGGCCGATCTTTTCCAGGCTGCCAACGGTGGGGAATCGCGAGGAGCAGGATCCAGTGCACGGGGCAACAGACGAGGAACAAGCCCGGAAGGAGAAGGGCAGGGGGACATACTCGGCGGTCTGCTGAGCTCGATTGGACTCGATGGACTTATGGATGTCGCTCAGGGGGTGAGCGATGAAGGAGATCAGAGTCAGATGAGTCGCTGGCTGAACATGATTCGCGAGACGGTCAATGAGGCGAATGGACAGCCAGCAAGGAACAGGCAGCGCACGCCACGAGCGAGGAGAAGGAGCAGCTGGTTTAGCTCTGGGTCTGGCGAGGACAGCGACCTCGACGAGGAGGATGGCGATGCTGACGCTGACTTTGTGTTGGATGACGAAGATGAGGATGGATCGTCAGGGGACTGGCCCTGGTCTTCCTCCCGGCGGCGAGGTCCCGCATACAATACGCGTTCGAAGCGGACTAGCAGGAGCGGTAGGCGCGCTTGACGTGGAGACCTCTCTCTCTCTCTTGGCCTGGCATCAGATCTCTCGTTTCCCGTTCATCCCTGTATTGTTACCTGTGCTGCAATGTCTCTACGTCCGTCTTTGCAACTCTGTATGCCTTTCTCTCCTTTCCTGTCAGCGGGCTTCAAGTCAAGTCTATTTGCAAAGATTGATCTGTGCACCGTCCTCCTACACCTACAAGTCCAGTCTAGGAAGCGGAAAGAGGGGTGCGTCCACAGAGGTGCAGCAGCAGCAGCAGCAGTAGCAGCAGCAGCAGTAGGAGCAGGCAAGGGTCAATTCCGCGCGGAACTGAGCAGCTCCGTCGGTCTGTCAGCTTGTGGCCCTGCCCGTCTGCCTGGGCCTGTCTGACGCCCCGCTCCCCCACTTCCCCCCCCCCCCCCCGGCGGCCCGGACGCTTTTCCGCGGTGCAGTGCAGTGCGGTTCGGTTCGGTGTTTGGACTTGAGCAAAGGGGGCCCGCGCCCGGTACACCCACGTCAGACAAGCAGAGACGAGACGAGACGAGACAAGAACCGGCTGCCCGGCTAAGGCTGGCTGGCTGAATGGATGGATGGATGGATGGACTGAGCTTGACTTTGACCGGCCGCCCATGTCCGTTGCCGCCACAATGCGTTAATTTTTTGGGCGCCCAAGGCAACACCCGAGGTACCAATAAGGGAGAGAGAGAGAGGGGGGAGGCGTAAATTCCGAGATGCACATCAGACGAGAGAGAGAGAGAAGGGGGGAGCAAAGGGCAATTTAGATGTAGAGAAGTTGGAAAGTGGCCCTCGGAGTGATGTGGCTATCTCTCCTTGTCTCCTTATCCTTTAGACCCCAGTTGAATCGATCAGATCAGATCAGACGAGCAACCTCTTTGATACCGCCACCACTGCTACAGCCTAGATTCACCAGATCCTCCCGCCACCCTTCCCCCTCCACACATCAGCTCCTTCTCCCCACAAACAGCCATGGTCGACTTTTACACCCTCTCCGCTCCCAAGCCCAATGGCTCTTCATACGACTTTGCCTCTCTCAAGGGTAAAGTCGTCCTTATTGTAAACACTGCCTCCAAGTGTGGCTTCACTCCTCAATTTGCTGAACTAGAGGAATTGAACAAGAAGTACAAGGATCAAGGATTGGTCATTTTGGGATTCCCGTGTAATCAATTTGCTAGTCAGGACCCAGAGGGAGATGAGGGGATTGGAGCTTTCTGCACAAAGGTGGGTAGGGAAGAGGGGTATGCTGGAGTGTTGGGGGGAAGCGATGCGGAAGAAAGGGATGGCGGGCTGCGCCACTGTCCTACGATACTGATTATGGACCTTCTCCCACTCCCACTGCTCTCATGGCATCTTCCCCTCCTGCTCGCAGAACTACGGAGGTACGTTCATCCATCTCGACTCGTCACCACATCACCTGATGAGCCAGACGCTTACGGTCTCTCCCTCCTTCACCTCACAGTCTCCTTTGACATGCTCGCAAAGTCGGACGTGAATGGCAGCAATGCAAATGAAGTCTTCAAGTGGCTAAAGGACCAGAAGAGTGGTCTGCTTGGCCTCAGCGGGATCAAGTGGAACTTTACCAGTGAGTCATTACAGTCCATGATAGATGGACAAGCACTTTTCGGCAGGGCAGAGAATGCTTCGCGGAGCGTGGCGTGGCGTGGCGTGGCGTGGCGTGGCGTGGCAGGATAGGGAGCTGATCACTTCTGACTTTGCCTCTTTATTTATTAGAGTTCCTCGTGGACAAGGATGGAAAGGTGCAACAGCGTTACTCGCCCCAGACTAAGCCTCTTTCCATTTCCAATGAAATCGAGAAGCTACTCAAGGCACCTTCTGCCGCCAAGTAAGAGCTTCGAATCCAAATCAAGCCAAGCCAGGATAGGCCTGAGCTTAGGCTAGGGTTAAGCTCGAGCTTCCAACATCTTGCAACCCTTCCCGCTTCCCTGGCCTTGGACCTCGAGACGCGTAGACGTTGCAAGTCTACCTACCTGCTGCCGCCTCTCTTTGCTCCCTTTCCCACATCCTCTTGCACTACCCTGCTACATTTCCAAGTTTCGATAATGCATACGTCTACATATCCCTCTCACTCTTCTTCTCCTCCTCCTTCTTCTGTCAGTCCCTGCCCTGCAGTACAGTGCAGGGGACCTAACCACCCGCTGTATATCCCCCCGACCCCTGCTCATCCATTTGAAGTACAATGAGGATCAAGGTAGTATGTACTGCCGAAAAGGATGTTGTGCATCGACTGAGGGATGGTTGACTCGTAAGAAGAAAGGCAGCGAGGAAGCGAGCAGCAATTGTGTGATGAAGTGATATGTCATGGCTATCGATTGGTTGGTGAAAAGGGTCTATCTAAGGTCAGGTGGACTGCTCTACAAGTTCGTCACCCGGCTCTCCCGCTCCCTGCTCTCCGGCCCGCCCTACGTCTTGCCTTCACCCCCGGCCAGCAGCGCGCCCCTGAAGCTGATCGACGAGCCTGTACAGCTCCCCAGCGAGATAGAGGGAGCCGGTGAGGACAACGAGCGAATCTCTGCTCCCCTCGACACTTTGTTCCCCAGCTGGTCTGCCCGTCTCCTGACCTTCCTTTGAAGCCCACAATAGGGCGCTCTGCAGGTTTGGCAGGGAGATGATTTCCCATTGAGTTGACTTTGCAGTCACAGCTTCAGCTTGGACCTCCTCTGCTTGTGTTCTGCAGGCAATCTTCGCTTGCAGAAGTGTGGTCAATTCTTGCGGGTCGAGCGGTGAGACCCACGGCATCCCCTCTACGGGCGTTGAAAAGGGAACAAAGCCCACTCGGATAGTGAGGTCAGCGCCACCGCCATCGCCATCGCCATCGCCATGCTCGTCGCCCCTATCGGCTTCGGTTAGGGAGAGGGCTTTGAGCTTGCCTTGTAGGGAGGGCGGCTCGAGTACTGCTAGTTTGAAGGGGAGCTGTGCGAAGATGTGAAGGAGAGTCTCGAGATCACCGTCCTTCTTTTTGCTCTCGGAGAAGGAGACAAGTAGAGTGAGTGTCAGAGCCGAGGAGGAGGAGGAGCCTTGTCGTGCTTGACGCATAGCTTGCAGATGCCGGAACAGAGCCGAGAAGGCGGGAAGATTGTGAGCTCCATCGACAAAGAGGCGTAGAGCGGCAGTCTTTCCTTCTTCTATAGCGCTCCTTGCTGGAAGGGGGAGAGGGACGTCCACCCAGCTCCCTCTGCCTTCCCAACTCTCTACCCCGCTCACAATGGCGTGCTCCACACCTTCGCTCAGCGCCCCACTGGGACCACTAAGTATTCCACCTTCTCGCAGAGCCCAGGCGAGGCCCAAGCGCAGCTCCTCATGGCGGTCGGCTCCCTGCAATCCACGAGCAGATGGGGGCTCGTCTGATGCAATAGCGTAGATTGTGGAGAGGGCCGTAGAGACGGATGACAGGACAGGCGCTGTTGGCTGCAGTGGGGGAAGCAGAGGCGTCTTCAGGGCGGTGTGGCCGGGCGATGCTTGGAAGGGTCCATTGGTGAAGAGTGTCGACGCTAGCGATGCTGGTGTTGCAGTCGTTATCGATGTAGATGCGGAGCTTGTTTCGGAATCGTCTAGGGACACTCCCGTCGCAGCGTCGGTCGTGGCTGTTCTTGTTGTGGAAGGCGTCTGCAATACAGGCGGTAGAGTTGCGCTCCACTGTGATATGACTCGCCACTCGCCTTCTTCTTGACGACCAACGGTCTTCCCTGTAGGAGTTTCACATCGGACGAGCCGAGCTTTGAGCGTTTCTGCCACTCTGCGAGTCGTTGAGAGGATCTCGGCGGAATCCTCGCCAAGAAGTCGTGGATCTTCCTCCTCTACTGACCAGCGGCGGAGGTTCGTCTCCCTCACCTCGGGGCACTGACCTGCTACCACTACAAGGCCATTCTCCTTTGCAATGCCCAGCTTGTTCTCTGTGATTTGCCCCAAGGTGTCGCCTAGGAAGCCAGCATGGTCTCTGCCAATGGGCGTGATGACACTGGCGAGGACGACCTCCGCAGGGAAGACATTGGTGGCGTCCGTCAATCCCCCCATACCGCATTCGACGATGAGTACTTGTGGGGCGGGTGTGGTGAGGGTGCAGCTGACGAGGAAGCGTGCAAAGAGCCGCTCAAAGGGGCTGGCATCGATGGATGGCGCTACTTGCCCGGCCTGGTCGAGCACATTCGCCTCGATCACCCTCTCTCCTGCTGTCTGCCATACCCCAGCATCCACCACTTTGCCTGCCACTCGGCACGAGTCCCTCTCCTCTCGCAGATGAGGCGAGTTGAAGCGAGCTGTACGAAGGCCAAAGTGTGTGAGGAGCAAGTCGAGGAGTGAAGAGGTGGTGCCTTTGCAGTTTGTGCCGGCGATGTGTATCACTGGGAAGGTATTCTGGGGGCGGCCGAGACGATCAAGTAGTGGGATGATGCGTTGCAGGCCTGGTCGGATGGCGGCCGTGGCAGACGAGGAAGAGGCCATCCTGGTCAGAGTCACTCGGGCACCAGAGAGGCGACGTAGGGCGGGACTGACAGAGAGACGGTGATGAGGACCCGGTACAGATGCTGCTTGTCTGGCGATGAGCATGGAGATGCGGGCGTCTGCGGCCTGACCCTTTCACATTGAGCGTCGTGAGGGCAAGCATGATCGATCCCCCTCTGGATTCTCTCCACCTCTACTTTGTTCCTGCCTGCTTGCCCCTGCGTCCAGGCCCAGCCAGGCCCCGACTGCAACTCAAAACGCGGGGTCAAAGCGGAAAGGGACGGCGGCCATGCGCGCACTCGGGCCCACACACCCAAGTCCGTTCCAGACTAACACCACCACAGCCTGAATTAGACTACTCCCGTACCACCCGCCCTCCTCCACCATGGCCTCGTAGAGCACGCCATTGCCGACTTCTTGTCATACACTTGCTTCCGCTGAAGCTCGGATCCGCTCGCTCTTGCCGCCCCATCGCCGCCATCTTTCCACACGCCCTCAACACCTCGAACGCAAGATGCAGCAAGGTACATGAAGCAAAGTCACCCACCAGCTCTCCCCCTTGGCCCCAGACGGCAACAACAGCTAGTCGTCAAGGCGACTGCTGAGCGAGACTGCTGCACTCTTCCATAGCAGATCTGTCCCTTCAGTCAGCCCACAGCATGTCCCAGTCGCGCCCATCCTCCTCACGTCTGCCAGATCCGGCAGCGGAGCAGGCCCTCCCTCAGGGGCCCGAACCAAGGCAGGCCACCGCTTCCTCCTCCTCCTCCCAGCCGCCTTTTCCTCCAGCTCGCAACAGAAGCGGCATCCTCTCCAGAGGACATTCCAATCGCTCTGCTACTCATATCTCCTCCCCGGAGCCCAGTATACTTTATCCCTCCGCAAGTGAAGATGACGGGGAGAGCGACTTCATCTCCGACTCTGGGCCTCTCCCCAAACGCTTCCCTCCCTCCTATCCTTCCTCGGCAAAGTCCTCGTCGTCACTACAGAGCCAGTACCGAAATGCGCCGATGAGCTCGGGTGCTCCACAAATACCCCGGATCAGTCCTCTGGCGTCAGCAGCTAGCTCGTCCAGCAATCTGGTAGACGCTTCCTACTCAGCAAGCAATGGTCAACGGGGCGACAACGCTAGTGCCTTTGGAGGTCGCAGCACTGCCTCTGCGAGTGATGATCGGAGCTTTGATTTGAGCAGAGCCAAGAGTATCAGCTCAGTATCCAGCGTCACCAGCACCAGTAGTATGGAAGCCGCCCCTTTCCGAGCAGCGCCTTTGGGAAAGATCCGGACGAGCTACAACGGGGGTGCGGCCGCTGCCGGAACTGTGCGAGGGCCGGTTCCCACTATACGGACGCATCCAAAAGACCCTCACAGGTCCACTTCCGTCGCGGATCTTCGCGAAGATCTCCCCTTCAACAGTCCCCGAACGCCCAATGCTGGAAGTATGACCGCTTTCATGGCAGCCGCGCAGGAGTCTGCCATTGCTGCTTCTCGGCATCCCGCGGCTGATGAGGATACCACTTTTCCGGAACTGACGATGAGCGGTAGTGCGGAGCTCCCTCGCCGTACAGCAGAGGGCGCATCGCCTGTCGAGAAGGTCGTATCGTCTCCTGCTGCAGCTCTTGCTGCTCGGCAAAGGGGCTACCTTCCCAAAGCTCCAACGAATGAATGGCATTACCGCAATGGACCTGGTATGGGTGGCAACATGGGAGGTAGACCCATTCCCGGAGCATATCGTAGTCTGGCAGAGATGACGCAGGGTACAGCGGAGAGCATCACGACCGCTGCTCCTTCGCCGTGCCCTTCTCCCACGTCCAAGCGCACCGCGGCAGTCATTCGCAACAAGCTAGCGAAATCAGCTAGCAAGTTGGGTCTGAAACCATTGACAGTGGTCCCTGGAGCAACTCCTCTCCACCCTCGGGTGGCGTCCGAGTTCGCGGACTCTGCTTCAACGACGAGTGAGGTCCTGGACGTGCAGCAGGACTTGATATCTTCAGCTACAGGTGGTGCGCTGTCCGATCCTCGCGCAATCAACGTGCGGCCTCGCAGCGTGGCCCTAGCTTCTTCGCTGTTGAGTTCCAGCAGTGGGTCCTCCGGAGAAGTCATGGTCCGTACCAGCTCCGCTACAAATGCTCCACTCATAGTACCTCGACTTTCACCTCATCCCGATGCTACGCAACGTATGAGCAAAGCAGGCGGTTTTTTCCCAGGACCCTCGCCGAGTTCAGATATTGCAGCAATGGCAAAAGCATCGCCGTCCGGCAGTCCTCTGAGCCAAGCTGTCGAGGACGAAGACCCGTTGCTGCCAATTCTAAGTCTTTCCGCACTACGGCCGCGTCCAGGAGGCAGGGACAGCTTTAGTAAAGCTAAGCGGCGATCATCAGCAACTCCTTCGGTCAGTGCTGGTGTGGAGCCAGACGTCGTGACTCCCAAGGGCGACGTGGACTCCCCTTCGCGAGCTACAAATGCTGAAAACGCCAGTACTAGTCCTCACCACAATACTCCATCGCAGCCCACTCCTGCCGAAGTAGTTCGAATGGAAGCTCAGGCTGGTATAGCTCGCCTGCCGACCGTAGGGTCGGGTCCAATGCCCGGCCCCACTCCAACAGTCCGGCCGCACGCCTCCCTCAAGACACCCGCGGCGCACTTGAGCGAAGATCCAGCCTCTACCACCGCTTCGCTGCCGCCTTCAACGATTCTGAAAGCGCCGGATGCGACTCCCGCGTCGACAGCAGCAGGCGCTCAGCGAAGTGCGAAAGAGGTACCGTATGCCCGACCCATCATTGTCCGATCGACTTCGAGTCAGAGCAAAGCATCGCTAGCTAGCTCGACATCGCACGAGAGTCTGGCAGGTCGAGCTTCTTCCAGTAGCGCTGCTCAGCAACAGCACTCGGCAATCGGGAATGCTAATCCTGCGACCGGCTACAATTCCTTGCGGAATTTCCGATGGGACGACAATGATGGTAGCACTCCTGACGATGGCAAAGGACTAGAGTCTGGAGAAGGTACTTCGAGCAAGAAGAGCGATGAGCACGTACAGACAAGCCCACAAGATTCAAACCCTTCCTCTCTGCACGCATCGGAAGGTGAAAGTCACGGATGGGCAGATCCCGAAAGACCCCTGCCTCAAAGAGCGGCAAGCGCCATGTCTTATGCAAGCGCAGATCATCTTGAACTTGGGGCTGAAGCCCCTGGTGTGACGAGTGGACAGGAGCAGACTGCCCTTGTCTCTCGAGAGAGCTCTCGTGCCCCGTCGCCGACTGGCCATTCGGGGCATACCGCTGCCGGACAACTCCCGAAGGGCGTGAATGGAAAGTCTCACCCTTCGAAATCCGACCTCAAAGGCAAAGCTCTGCCTCCCGCTGTTGTCCCACCTCCCATGTTGAGAATGGAGTCAACCAATACTTCAGTATCTAAGGCAGTCTCTGATACGTCAGATATGGCTCCTCCCGTACCCTTCAAGCGACCATCCAGGCTCGCTGCGGGTAGAATGGACTCGTCTGAGAATCGCTACGATGTCATGGAGGGCGGAGTGAAACCCGCCACCAATGACGTGAACCTCACTGACAGTAGTGCTGGTAGCGGTGCTGTCGTGGCGCCTGCGATGCCAAGTGCAACTGGCGATCGGCTGAGCGTCATTGCAGAGTCATCGCCAGACCGGAGGTCAAGTCACAGCTCTGCAAGCACCCCAGTCAGTGTATCGCCTACTCCTCCAGGCCTGAAAGTGGCGGATATACCGGCTACCGTGCCTGTGCCGACCCAGAGCTCGTCGGCGCTCCCGTCAATGTCAAGGCCGCGAGGCAGGGACGACTTTGAGTTCGGAGATATTCTCGGAGAAGGCTCATACTCTACAGTCATTCTTGCTTGGGACCTTCTCACTCATGCTTCTACATCGGCCTCGCCTCGACCAGAAGCTGTCACATCAGTGGCGTCAGCACTCGCTGGCAGTGGATCAAAGGCCGACGCGACGCTTCGTGAGGGCAAAAGAGCCTATGCCATCAAGGTCCTCGACAAGGTTCACATCCTCAAGGAGCGAAAGCAGAAGTACGTCGCTGTCGAGAAGGAAGCTTTGAGCTTGCTGGTGAGACATCCTGGCGTCATCCGACTCTACTGGACCTTCCAAGACCAGGAGTCTCTGTACTTTGTCCTCGAGCTCGCTCCGAATGGGGAGCTGCTGACGTTTATCAAGAAGTATGGGTCATTTGACGAGAACACCACTCGCTACTATGCCGCTCAATTGCTTGATGCTATATCTGGGATGCATGCGGCAGGCGTCATCCACCGTGACGTCAAGCCGGAGAATGTGCTGCTGGACGACCAGATGAATGTCAAAGTGACCGACTTTGGTTCAGCGAAGATTGTCAACAAAGCCGACAACAATGCTGCCTCTGGCAACGCTGCTGGCCCTCCTCGCGCTAATTCTTTCGTGGGCACTGCAGAGTACGTTTCTCCAGAACTCCTCACTGACAAGGCCGCTTCGAAGGCATCGGACTTCTGGGCTTTCGGATGTGTTGTCTTTCAGATGTTGGCTGGACGGCCCCCCTTCAAGGCGATCAGCGAGTATCAGACGTTTCAAAAGATTATCAAGAGAGAATTCGAGATGCCCAGTGAATTGAGCGAAGAGGCCACAGACTTGCTGAACAACCTCCTGGTACTAGAGCCAGACCAGCGATTGCGTGAAGACCAGATCCGTAGTCACCCATTCTTCAAAGGGGTAGACTGGGATGCGCTCTGGCAGACCGAAGCGCCCGCTATGAAGACTGGCATTCGAGCTGCGCCTCCGCCAAAGGAGCCGCGCGAGCAGGAGATAAGCAGCAACTTCGACGGCGTCTTTGGCGATCAGGGATGGGCAGGCGACGACGACTTGGGCTCAGAGGAGGAAGAGGGGCCAGCGTCTGTGAATCAGGAACACATTCCAGCCTTGGAGGGTTCCCCTGGCGACAGCTCCGATGAGGAGACGGGCGACAACGATGTCCGCTCCTTGGCCCCATCGGCCGATCTCGTATCTCTACAATCTGGCCATCGTGCAGACGTCGAGGAAGACGAAAGTCCCTTTTCCTCCCGGTCGCACTTTGGAGCTCCAGACTCTACAGCAGGTACCGCTCCGACGACAATGTCCTCCAGCAGATCTCTGACGACAGCTCCAGAGCGCCGGCCTAGCCAGCCCGCCTCGGCTGTGGCTGCTCGACCCTCAGTGGCAGTTCTGAACTGGGCTGCATTGCTTTTGCCTCATGAAGGTGTCCTGTATGCTTCTCCCACGGTGCATCGCAGGACTGGCACTGCCAATCTGCAGTCCAAGAAGAGGATGCTGATCCTTACGGATTTCCCTCGCCTACTGTGCGTCAAGGAAGACGCGCAGAGCCTAAAGGTGAAGAGTGAGGTCCTCCTCGCCCTACCTGGCGAGGGTTCCGGTGGTCACAAGTCTGGTACGCCAGGCGGTACGAGCCTTCTCGCGTCGCCTTCTCCTTCCTCATCGGTGCCCTCTACGCGCCGTGGCTCCGTCTCTGGCACTCCCTCGACCCTGGTGGTGATCAACACCCTTGCTTCAAACGCAGCACTGGCGTCCATCAACCCCAATGTTCTCCTGTCGATTGAGCAAAGGGGGATGAAGACGCTCATCATCCACACGCCTGCACGGTCGTATACTTATGATGATCCGAGTGGGGATGCCAGCAATTGGATGAGGAGCATACGTTCTGCGGCTGCGAGACGATGAAAGCGGCGAAGGAAGGATGCGCGAGGGTGCTCGCATTGGGTGCGGTCATGATGAACGAGGGAGCCGCGAAGGGCGGTGAGAACAGACATAGGGGTAGTGGAGAAGCAGAGGAGCTATGTGCGGGCAGAAAGATCGACCTAAGCGTGCATGTCGCAATTGTCTCATTATACAAAAAGCTATGTCTCATGCCCACAAAGCTCACTACCAGACTGTCCGTCCGGCCTTCCCTTCCTTCTGGCGACATCATTTTTCTTTGCGTCTCTTAGTAGGCGTACTCTACGCCCTCTCGTTGATAAGCTAATCCACCCAAGTGCAACCTCTGCCAAATGCTCCTCACCACCCTCTCCTGAGCCTGTACTGCCGTCTCTTCTTCTTCTCCTTTTTCCCCCGCAGGCGATCCTACCAGGCATGGTCTAACGCAAAGGAAGCGTCTAGCACCCAATGATGGTCTTGGGAGTCTCATTCCGCTCTTGGAATCCCACAATGGCAAGTCAGGAGGAGGAGCATTCCCCTCTGTAGCTATACCCCCAGCCTCGTACAATACTGCCAGTCCAGCACAAACGTCCCATTCCCAACAACCTCCTTCCCAAAACACATCGATGGTTCCCGAAGCGCAAAATGCTAAATCTAATGCTGCACTTCCCATACTCCTCAGACCTTGAATTTGACCACCAAGTCCATTACGACTTCCCTTTTCACCGGCAAGATTGAGAAAGGAGTTTGCTTTGCGGAGAAGATTCCCATCGGGGTTGGCTCGACGATCTTTGCCCCATTCGGAGGCTATGAGGAGACCGCTGGGAGCTTGGCGGGAGAGGGGACGGGTGGGTTGGAGGGGTAGACGCAGAGGCTGAGGTCCTGGTGGTTGAGGAGCGGCAGAAGAGGAGGAGGAGGAAGAGGGATCCGCTGAAGTCGAGGTGGTGGAGGTGGTAGCCCCAGCGGTGGTTGCAGCAGGAGTAGTACTAGTAACAGGTTGTGGTCTTGGCATTGCTGAGCAGGCATACCGCTCTAGGAATGCCAATGAGCATTGCGTCGAGTCTGTCGTGGAGGGATAGGACTGGTAGGCTCCTCTCCCTTGACATGAAGACCAGAGTGTACCTCCCGAAGCACGAGGATCGAGTCCTCCCAGCATGGGCGCATAGATGGCTCCCACTACCGGCACCTTATTGATCGTAAACCCAATGGATACACACACGAATGGAAACAGGTGTAGGAAGTTGACCGTTCCGTCCAGTGGATCAACGATCCAAGTCGCCTCGTCCGTAAGACCAAAGCGCTTACTACCTCCCGCCGCATACGTTTCTTCGGCCAAAAGGGCATGTCCAGGGTAGCGTTTTTGAATCTCCTCGAGGATAAATTTCTCGACTCGTAGGTCAGTCTCGGTGACAATGTCCACATTGGACTGTTTATCCCTCACATCCAGATCTGGAGTTTCCGAGAGACTTGTGTCATTTGATGAGGAGGAGGAGGAGGAGGCGACAGGGGGTGGGAGATATCCGGCTTGAGAACGGGAAAAGGCAGCTTGCCGGAGAAGAGCCCCTGCACGCACAGCGAGGTCCGTAGCAAAATCATGAATGGCCTCTAGGTCTATCATCGAAGAGGTCTCCGTGCTAGCGTCTGGTAACGCAGAAGAGCTCACTACCATGGCCCCTTTTTTTGGAAGAGCGATGCTGGCAGATTGAGCGAGGGAAGGTCTGGACGAGGAGCAACTTGGTGGCATGGGCCAAGTCTCGACTCGCCTCGGCTTGGGGGTCGGCCATGTCCGAAAGAGCCCGTCGGAGAAATGGTCCAGCTCCACTGCACCCATTCATTCAGCCCATTCGTCATCACCACTAGCCAAACAGGGACTCAAGATATACACACACCCTCTTTCTTTCTTCCACACACTAGATTCGCGTTATGACGGTATAGTAATTAAGATGGTTCGTTTGCGACTCTGGTCAATTGATTTTGTTTCGTGACTGAGACTGATGAGGATAACTATACAACGAGGGAGCGCAGAGACATGCTTATAAATGCTGGGCCGCTCACGATCTTCACGAATCGAGGGCCTGCTACAAGAGACGAGTGAGGTGACAAGAAGAGACTGTAACGAGAGAGAACAAGGGGGAAAGACCCCTCACCTGACTTAGGCATCCCTGGTGAGCGAATCGACTGCTTCACCAGAACCATTCTTCTCCTCGCCAAGGGAGCCACTCTCCAAGCCGGCACCGCCACGGTTCTGAGACCTCTCAATGGCAGCAAAGTCGGCTGCGTGTAGCTCGGCGAGCGAGGCGTGAACGATTTCGTTTGCCCTCCACACTGGCCTGGTCTTGAACAGGTCGTCCATCTTCTCCAGCGGAATGCCCTTGGTCTCTGGGAGCATGAAGAAGATCCATGGCACGGAGATGAACATGAGGCAGGCAAAGATGAGGTAGAAGCCCCATCCGATGTTGAGGAAGGCAACGGGGGTGGCACGGGCAATGGCAAAGTTGTACAGCCAGTTGCTGGCAGCCATGAAGACCATTCCGAGGGATCGAGACTGCATGGGGAAGATCTCCGATCCGACGACCCAAGGAGTACCGTTCCACGAGGCACCGTAGAAGATGGTCCAGATGTAGAAGCAGGCAATGGAGAATCGTCCAGCAGAGTCGATGCCTTGGCCGGAGTGGGAAGCTGGCTTGTCAACGGCAATGTAGATGGCAATGGCAAGCATGCAGATGGCACCACCGATGGATCCAGTCATGAGAATCTTCCTTCGTCCAATCCTGTCAATGAGGAGCCAGATCCACACAAAGGCGCCCAGGGTCTTGATCACACCGAAGATACCAGTGGTGAGCAGACCGGTGTTAGCACCAACGATGCCCAGGGACTTGAAGACGGTAGGCGAGTAGTAGTTGATGGCGTTGATTCCGGTACCGTTCTGGAAGGCGAAGAGGGAGCTACCCAGAACCAGCCTCCAGAGGGTGCTCTTGGTAGTGAAGATCTGAACAAAGGGTGCCCAGAAGCTGGTGCTGCCGCCGAGGAGACCGCGCTCCTTCTCGTATGCCTGCTCCATCTCGCCCATCTCCTCGATCATGTATGGGTGCATGGCATCGAGTTTTCGCAGCTTGCTCAGCGCGCGCACGGCATCGGCATTGCGGCCGCGGGATACAAGCCACCTGGGTGACTCGACGAGGAAGAAGCAGCCAAGGACGAGCATACCACCTGGGATGATCTGCACAGCAAAGGGAACCACCCACTGCCTAGTGGAGATGGGAATGTGAAGAGAGACACCGTAGTTGATGAAGAAGCCGACGATGCCTCCCAGCTGCCAGCCGATTTCGTAGAGACCGACGAGCTGACCTCGAATGGACGCAACGGAGATTTCAGAAATGTAGGTAGGGGCGAGAGACGAGGCGGCACCGATGGCGAGACCAGCGACGGCACGACCAGCGTAGATGGGGGCGAGACCAGTGTTACCATTGGCGCAAATCATGACGATGGAGCCGATGGTGAAGAGGAGGGCACATGTCATGAGTCCCCACTTTCGGCCGGCGAAGAAGCCTAGGGGGTATCCCATGAAGGCACCGAAGAAGGCACCTGCCTGGTAGGTAGTGACCAGATTGGCTGATGTGTTGGGGTCCAAGGTACCAAAGTCCTTGAGGAAGCCCTTGAGGGTGATGGCTCCTCCGACAAAGGCCGAGTCGTAGCCGATCATGATGGCTGCGGATGCTGCGACGGCTGCGCAGCCCCAAATGCGGAGGTTGTAGACCTCCTTGGGCGTGGGCCTGTCCTCGACGACCTTGAAGCTGGGCATTGTGAGTGTTGTATGGGTTGCAGCAGAAGTGGTGTGAGGGTATTGAGGAGGGGGGGGGGGGGGGGGGGGGGGGGCTAGGTTGGTATAAGAAGAAGAGGTCGAGGTGTGGGGAAGGAAAGAGTGTTTGTAGGTAGAGGCGGAGGAGGGCAAGGAGAGAGAGGAGAAGGATATAGCCAAGAGAAGGAGATGGTTGCTTGTGGGGTTGGCTAGATGATGGAGATAGATGGGATGTGGGAAAGTGGGGGTGAAGGAGTGGTTCTTAAGTAGCAAAGCGCCAAGTGTCTTCCTTCCTCTTCCCTTTCGCGCGGCATTTCGGGGAGCAACGACGCCACAAGGCGGGGGGGGCGCCTTTACCCCCACCATGGCATTGCGGGGAATGGCGAATACGGCAGGCACAGCAGGCACGGCAAGGACAATGATCTGATGCCATGACAACTCCGGTTTGCTGTCAGGAGAATCACCCCACGCTTCTCCTTGGCCCGCTCGGGGGGCGGGGAGTGGTAGCGTGGCGTGGCGGGAGTGGGGCCTGGGCCGCTCGCCTTTTTTTCCTTCCCTCGCTCGCTCGTCGATCCGGAGCGCGGGGCAAAGGACGCCACCAAAATGGGTCACGCGAATGATGAAGAGGTGATCGCCGCCACAAGTCCGGATTTGCAATGGGAATGGCAATTCGGACAAGGCATCGTGCCGCGAGCTGATCCGATTTGCCTTGGCTCTTGCCGATGAGAAGATTTCTCCACACGGCAGATCCGTTGATTGCCTGCTCCGTGCCGCGTCCCATCTCCGCTTCCGCGTCCGGCGGGGGGACCTCTTCCTGATTTCCAACGCACGCAGCTTCGACTCACCGAACAAAAAGGGGCACACACCACCTTGGTTTGTCCATAGCCGTCTCCTATGTCTGCTCCTTCTTCTTCTTCATCCTCTGCACAAACACAAGCTACCAGTCACACTATGCCGTCCATCGTAGACAACACTTCAGCCGCTCACAACCTGCCCAAGCGGGTAGAGGGTACCACGAAGACGTACCTCTTCGGTGATCCCATTGCTACGTCGCTGTCCATTGCTTATCACAATGCTTGCTACAAGGCCCGAGGCGCATCGTCGTTTCACGAGCGCTTCGAATCGGTTGACACGGACGCCTTTATGGGATTAGTTCACAGGGGTGATTGCGGTGGTTCCGCGGTGACCATGCCACACAAGGTCACCATCATGTCCCGACCTGAGATCAAGAGCATTGAGAAGAACGCTGAGATCATTGGGGCCTCGAATACTCTTTACTGGAGGACAGGTGACAATGGGGAGAAGAGCCTCATCGCCACAAACGTGAGTGTTGGTAGGGGCTTCTCACATTACGATGAGCTCTGCGCTGACCTCGCTCCCTTCCCTCCCGCTTCTGCCCACACAGACGGATGTAGACGGCATCCGCGACTCGATTCGAACGGCTGTTACACCCTCCGAGCTGTCCGCTTTCGAAGCTCTGCCAGACTCCGAACGTATCGGTATGGTCGTGGGGGGAGGAGGGACCACCAGGACGGCCGTGGTGACCCTACGCATGGAGCTCAACTGCACAGGTCCGATCTACATCATCAATCGCTTCGACCACGAAGTGGAAGCCATCATTCAAGACTTTGCCTCCAAGGGTCTCCACGATATTCATCACCTCAAGAGTCCAGAAGATGTGCAAAGGCTGCTAGCATCACAGGGCAAGCGACCTTCTTACATTGTCAATGCCATCCCGTCCTTTGAGCCAACCACCGACGAGGAGAAGCTAGCCCGCAAGACTCTCACAGCTGTGCTGAGCTTGCGCAACCCTACTGCCTCATCCGACCACCCCAACTCCCCTTGCGTGCGAGCTGATCTTCCATCGGCGTTCTTGGAGATGTGCTACTTCCTTCACCTCTGGACAGACGCTTGTACTCTGGCGCAGAATGAAGGGTGGAAGATTGTCACTGGCGAAAAGTGCATGTATCTACAAGCCCTGGCGCAGCAAGTTCTGTGGCAGGGAGCTACCCCCGCGGGAGTGGATCTGACAGAGGCGGGGCGCAAGGGTGCTGAATTTGAGCAAGAGAGGAGGAGAAGAGGAGAGGAGCCTCTGTGAGGCCCAGAATTTCCGTACATTTATCATCGCAGCCTAAGCAGAACAGACAGAATCCTTGCCAACTTGTACATTGCATCACCAGTCTATGGCTTTTTTCTCCTTTTTCAATCTAACCAGTCAGCAGACATACACGGCAGTCCCGTAGCATCAGCCTTTCCCTCGAGACTTCCTTGACCCATTACATGGCCTCACCTGACCGGGCTCTGTCTGCCGGTAAATCTTCGCTTCGTCTCGCCCCGCTTCCTGAGCCACACACCTCCGTAACATCCCTCTCCGAAATCAGCAAGCGCGAGTCGCCCCTCGCCCCCTTTTGCCTCCACACGGGCCAAAACCCCTGTGAAGTGGGGGCCCCAGTCCGAAAGCGAAAGACACGCACACGGAAAGGGAGAGACGGAGAGAGAGAAGAGGGACAGGCGGGGTCTTCGTTCCCCCGTATAGTCTAGCCGAGCCGAGGTCGGCAGGAAGGCTTTGGGGGAGGGGAGGGAGGGAAATGGCGGAGAGAGGGGAAGCTTGGAATGCTACGCTCTTCTTCTCGATACTAGAGACTTTAGATACGCCCATCGCTTTGTCTCGCCTCGTAGCTTACAGGAACGCTCGCACGGAAAACTCAGTACTGCTCGCTGCTCAAGTATGGCTTCGACGAGAGTTGGTGCGGGGAGTATCCTGCTCCTCAATGGACCCAATTTGAACATGCTAGGTACTCGCGAGCCAGAGAGGTAAGTTGCTGATTGGCAGGGCAAGCTGGTCAGGAAGATTTACAAGCAGCTGAATTCAGAGGGAAGTACCACACTATTGTCCCTTCTGTATCAGGTACGGGTCCACAACACTAGATGACGTTGAGACGCAATGTGCCGCCCTTGTCTCCTCACACCCTGCCACTTCAGGATCTTCGACTTCGAGCTCTCCAGTGTTCTCAGCCTACCAATCCAATCACGAAGGTGACCTCATCGACCGTATTCACGAAGCGAAACAGGAGGGCGTTGAAGCGATCATCATCAATGCTGGCGCATACACGCACACTTCCGTAGCCGTCAGGGATGCATTACTCTCGGTGGATATACCCTTCTTTGAGGTGCATGTGAGTGAGATACTGAAATTTGTTTGCCAGTCTGATCGCTCGAGATGCTGACTGAGTCTGCCTCTTCTCCGTTCTGCAGGTCACAAACGTCCACGCTCGTGAGCCGTTCCGCCATCACTCCTACCTCTCCGACAAGGCAGCCGGTATCATTGTCGGTTTGGGCGTACAGTGAGTAATGACTTTTCCCCCCCCCCCCCCCGCCAGGACGTCTTTGATGCCCTGCAAGGCGGCTGCTGAATCCAGCACTTTCTCTCTATGCCCGTCTCGTCTTTTCTTGAATTAGTGGCTACTATGCAGCCATCAACTATTGCCTGACGGCCTTGACGGTCAAGGTGGCTACGACATAGCACAGGGTGGAACACTGTATGGCTCAGTATCGAACAATGCAATGACTTCTTATCATAACTATCAGAGCAATCGCAAACATGCAAGGTTCGACAGTGGGTGACAATTGAGATTGAATACGTGACAGAGATCGAAGCAAAAATGTGTGTATGTACGTATGTGTATGTGCTGTGAGAACGTGTAAGAATTACAAAGCAGATGATCTGTGTGTGCCAACAGAGTCAAGGAAGTATTGATGGCCCTTCATGCATCTCTCTGCCGCCTTTTCCGGATAAGCATCATCTTCGTTGATCTGGTCTTCATTGAAATACTCGGCACTGAGCCAACCTCTCCAGCCGCACTTTTCAATGAAGATCTGAGCTACCTTGTTGCAAGGCAAGTAGCCTTCCCCCTGGAATTTGCGGTTGGTGCGAGCCCATGACATCTTGACATTGGAGTGAATCTTGGCGTCGAAGAGGGGGTGCGAGGTAGTGAGAGGTGGGTCCATCTTTGCCCCGTCTCCGAGCTGGACAAAGAAGACCTTCTGGCGATTGGCACGAGCTTGGGCAGAGTCTCCGCCAAAGGTCGAGGTGAGACGCTGCAGACTGGCCTCCATCTCAGCATCTGCATTGGCTGCCTTGCCGTCGACGGCAGAAGGGTCAGCGTAGCAGGCACCGGGGATCTGGAAGGTGTCTACCACGAGACCAAAGTTGGGCCTGTCCACTAGCTGAACCTGTCTCCATGCTTGCTCCCAAGTAGTAACATATGCACCAAAGCACATGGCTTCGTAGGCCCAGAACTTTGGTCTCGACTGGCCCAGCCCAGTCGAGTCTCGCCATGCTAGTCCAAGATCGGCAATCAAGCGCAGGTCCTCGACTACTCGCTCTTCGTCACCGGTGGCAACACCTTCGCCTCCGAACATGGCGCTTGCGATCTGAATGACATCCGTGCCGAGAATGTCGGATACGGTGAACCAGACTGGGAGCTCGTCGTGTAGACGCTGATCGCGCTTGCTTACTGGCAACATGCCTGGGTAATGCAGGAACGGCTCGAGACAGATGATGGCTAGGCCTTGCTCATCGCAGATGGATCGAATGTGAGAGGCTGATGTGTATAGCTGCTGTGGTACTGGCTTCGCAGAAGAGGAGAGCGCGAAGAGTGTCTGTGCGTAGCAGGGAAAAGGCGCAGTGTGAGTGAGATGCACAAGAAATACTTTGGTCGGTCACCGAGGCTCACTCACCCTTGCAGTGTTCTCGAGGTCCTCAAAGTGAATCTCAATACCATCGTGTCCGGCACCACGACAAGCCTTGGCCTTTGTGACCCAATTGTGGTGACTCGCATCTTTGCCCAAAGATAGGGACATGACACCGCGAGGCATCTTGTGGATCGCAGTAGACTCAGGATAGAGCAGGGGGCACTGCAGTCTTGCACTCGAAGCTGCCTGGAAATGACTCGCGGGCTTGGTCATGGACGGTCCGGCTGTAGCAAAGTGGGCATCCTGTACACCCAGGGTGGCAGTGGCGGACATACGGGGTCGCTGGTGTGGGCCAGGGAGCTCAACGAGGGCACACATGATGCGGGTGTATGGACGAGCGGAAGGGCGTATGATGGTAGGGGGAATGGGTTCGTCGTCGTCTGGTGGTCGATGAGGATGGGACAAGATGAAGTGATAGGCAAGGAAAGATAGCTGTCCCGTGTATTCCTCCCGCCCATTGTCCGCCCTCTGCGAATCATGATTTGAAGGGGGGGTGAGCGTCTAGGCTAAATTTGAGCGGAGGGAACCATGTCCGGATGCGCCCTTGCGGTGGAGGGCTGGAATTCGGAGCAGAGCGGAATGATCGATCGGACTTTGGGTAATTGGGCTTTCTGTCTGTCTGTCGGGGCGTGTCTGCCACGCGCCTCGGCACGCGGCCATCTCTCTCTGCCTCGCCCCGAAAGGGCCGGGCGAAGAGGCCCCTTACCCCCGGACTGGCCTCCGCAATCACTTTGCAATCCGGTGCCCCACAGCTCACCCCTGCCCTCAGCCTCTGCCCTCTCCGGATCTCTGATCCTGCAAGCGACATGAGCGCGCCAGAGAGGTCAGGACAGGCTGCCAGGACATCACCGCCTACGCAGGCCAGCCCGGAGAGGACATCGCCTTCGTCATCCTCAGTCTACTCACAGCCGGCGACGCAGCAGCACCGCAGACCATCTGCTCCCCAATCTTCCAACCCACGCGACGGGCGAAGCGCGGTCAGCGTCATCAGTCTCACCACCCAGCCAAGCGCTGCCTCCAGTCACAAGGTCACCAAAGCCAAGTCGTGCCGCGAATGTATACGTCTGAAACACAAGTGCTCCAGGGCACCATGGCCTTGTGAGAAGTGCAAGGAACGAAATATTGCACACTTGTGTCCGGACTCTCAACTCTCCACACGCTCCTACAAGCGAGGAAGAGAAAAACGACAGAGCTCCAGCATACCCAAGACGTTGCATCGAGAGGACTCTCCGGGGCTCTCACGGCCTGCGATGCATTACCCAGGCAGCGGGTTGCCCGACGAGAGGAGGGCTGCAGCTGAGCAGTCCTTCCGACCCATCACAGCCTCACCACACACGGCCAAGAGGGCACGCATTGCGTATGCTCCCTCGTCAGATCTCTCAAGGGCAATCGCAGGGCCATCGTCACATTCTTCACCAGGCGGAAGCTCGTCTGCAAATCTTTGGCGCAATGAAATGCCCACCTCAGTACCAGGTGGGGAGCATCGGCCTTCTGCGCCGTTGTCGACTGCTGAACGAGGTCTGGTGCCAGCGCCCAGAGGCTCGCATGCTCCTGTGCACGGCGACTATGGGTCTGATGTAGCAGATCAAGGGACGCAGCACACAGCTTCCTCATCTAGCAGTAGTGTCGTCGCTGCTGATGAAGTCCTTGCGGAAAAAGGCACTCTCATGTTTGAGAGATCAGGCAAGGCAACCTACTATGGACCAGGCTCACACAGCTTCCTACTCGCTCAGCCTGCAAGCGGAGATGACGAGCTGTATTCCAGAGCAGCTTCGCCACAATCGCAATACTCTTCAGACGAGGATGAAGAAAGTCAAGACGGCCAAGGAGGCCTTGCTTACAATGGAGATGCCTCTCGCCCTGGTCTGAGGAAGCGTGATTCCTCAGGACGTCGCACGGTAGCTCTCATGGATACCTCACCGACTACGACAGCCACCAATGGCCCGTACAGCGTGGAAGCCGTCAGACAGACGATCTTGGACAATCCAGTCGCCTTCATGGCCATCCCTGGTGTCATGCCGCCCTTCAGGATTGAGCACCTCGTGCAGCAACTCTGTGCCCATCTGCCTCCGCTGATACAGGCGAGACGAGCTTTCCGCGCCTATCAGCAGAATTGCAGCTGGATGTACGACCCCATCATGTCTCTGGATCGACTCTGGGAGGACTTTTACGAACCAAAGACATTGCAGACTCCTCGCAGATCGAATGCACGCGCGATCTTCCACCCGCACCGCGTCTCTTTAATCTTCTGCGTCTTGTCCCTCGGAGTCCTGTTTGACGTCAAGCGCGGTGGGGCGACGGCACCGCAGGGCGAGAAGAGGGATCGACGAGCGGAAAGGTACTACCACTGGGCATGGGTCGCTCTACAGCTGTCCAATTCGTCCGACTCGCATACCGTGGAGCACGTCCAGTCAATCCACCTCATCGGCCAGTACCTCTGCAACCGCAAGAATGGTCGGAATGCAGACTCCTTCTTCCCACTGATGGGAACGGCAGTACGGAGTGCTATAGCGATGGGCCTTCACAGAGAGGGAGGGGCGTGGAACATCCTGCCTGAAGAGCTGGAGGAGCGGCGGAGGCTGTTCTGGGAACTCTATGCCTCGGATTCCTTCAGATCTCTCGCATATGGGCGCCCATGTAGTGTACAAGACGCACACTGCGACGCCATCTTTCCGACTCAAAGACCACAGCGCAAGCTCTCTGACGTCTTTCACACGGTCAAGTACCAAGTCGTACGCCTGATGAACAGGATCTTGGATGCTTGTCAGAGGTCCACGACGCCCTATACGACAGTCCTCGAATTTGATCGAGCTCTGAGGGCTTTGTGGGCGGGACTGCCTGCCGAACTCAATCCATTGCCTATGGGACGCGCCACGGAGGCCACCGACAACCTTGATCGTATCTCCATCTTGGACGACGAAGATCAAGACATTGGTATGACACCAGACTCTGATAAGCTACACCTCTTCCTGCAGGGTCACACCATTGTGGCAAACATCAATCAAGCCTTGCTGCATCTACATCGTCCATGGTTTGTCCGAGCTCTGCAGCACGATCAGCAGCCGCCACGCGCAGACCGCTCCAAGGCGAGAGATGCCTTCGACTCGCGCTTCGCCCGCTCCATCGTCGCTGTATCCGAGTCCAGCAGATCTCTCATTCAGACGGCCCAAGCGATCTTGGACTGTACTCCCACTCTGGGCATGGCTTGGAACTTTTGGTGGCAACACGCCTTCAATGGAGCCGTCTGCATGTACTTGCAAGTCGTACACAATCCTTCAAGCATGACTACCTTTGGTGCATGGGACGATGCCCGACGTGCATTGATGATCTTGCAGCAGGCTAGACCTGACAAGGAGGATGTAATCTGGGCCGGTAAGATCGATCTTCTCAAGCGCTTACATGCTCGAGCCGAGGGTCGACTCAAGGGCAGTCACGACGCCCGCAAAGGTCACAGCAGGCAAGAGTCGGAGCACAATCGCACCTCTACTCCACACGAGATTCCCCACGATGAGCAGGAAGAGCATCTTCGCCTCGTGGGCGTCACTTCTAGTATTGATCGGAGAGATGCCGCTCGACGTTCAAGCGCTGACGACCCGTCGCGCAATGGAGAGGGTGCAGAACGCACTTCGCCTCTGGAGAGCAATGCGACAATGAGTCCGCAGGCGCCCCGTCTCGGTGCAGCGCTCGACACAGATTCCAACGCTAGCCTAGTCGAGCGGAGTCACTCTGGACAATCACACTCAATCCCGCACTCCAGCTCAGACACGATTTTATCCCCACACATGGCCTTTGGGAATCAGCAAACAACCCCTTCTCATGCAAGCGACTGGATCCCCTCTCTATCCCACTCCCTCATCGGATCCCTCTTCGACACGTCCTCCTCGGCACACTCACTGCCAGTGGACATTGGCAATGTGCAGGACCCGAGAGGTGAAGGACAGCAGATGCACATGGCGCAAAATCAACCTGGAGGTGGGAGTGGGGGTGGCGGTGTACCGGCGGGGGATAGTGCGCAATTTGATTGGCTTCTGACGGAGCTACTGCAAGGAGGTGCTGAGCCCGAGGCTAGCTTTTGGGAGACGATGGTGGGTGGGCAGACCTCTGGCTGATGATGCACACATCGTGGGGTCAGGAGGGAAGGCGAGGACGCAAATTTCACCCAGGGCCCCCCAACAGATGGGCAGCTGGTGATTGGGATCAGATAGTGGATCGTAATTTGTACAGTACAGTAAGCATCACAGTAGCAGCAACACAGCACAGGGCTCCCTTCTCGTCGTCTTGAAATGGAACGTCCGTGGTTCGTCTTTGCAACAATCTCCAGCCCTTCAACGGTGATCCAGAACCAACACTGTGTGCTCAGTGTAATCAATGCGCGCAATGGAATACACACTTGGGGTCTGGACCAGAAATTGGAAGAGGTAGAAATCAGAAGTCTTGTCGACAGTCTACATCCCTACGCCCCGCTCGCTGCTCAGTCCAGCGGAAGCAAGCTGGAAGGGAAGTAAGACTCGACCACGTCTCGTCTGACATTGTGGCCTCGGAAGGTGGGAGCTCAGATGGGGTCGAGAAGGCGGTCGAGGTAGCCGAGGTGGTGGCAGAGGCAATGTCAGGCTGAGCTGCTTTCATGAGTCGAGCGATTCCCCTCGAGCAAGTGGCAGCGCGAGCCATGCCATGTCCGTGATGGCCCAAGTCGAGGAACAGACCAGTAGACTCTGCCGAGGAGGCTCCGCTGCCGAGTGTGGCTTCCCCGTTGACTCCATGTTGACGCTGAATGGGCGGAGAGGGAGAGGGGAGGAGCGCCGCTGGCACTTCTCCTATGATAGGCACTGAATCGCGCGTGTATCCTTGTATACCCGTCCAGACTTGCTTCATCCCCTTGCCTTCTGCACCTCCTCCTTCCGTCTCCTCCTCCCAGCCCTCAAAAGTCCTCGCCGGCCACTGCTCAAGATGCTCCGTCACGCTCTCCATCACAACCGAGTCGTCAAAAACGCCGATCTGCTCCGAGATCGGAGCGCAGGGGTGGCCTCCGCCGAGTATGAGGTACCCGCTGCGCGAAGAGGGTCGCTGTGTGAGATATTCGTAGTCGGCTGGAGCGGGTGTGAAGCCGGAGATGGAGGCGGTGTACGCAAGTCTGCCGTCCCCAGCGATGTCGCCATCGCCATCGCCAGCGCCAGGGGCGTAGTGGTTCCCGCCAACTTTGCCATTGGGTTGATGAACTGGATCTACCTTCGGTCCGCCATACTGAGGTGGAGGAAGGATGGCGCTGCATTGCGCTCGATGTGGTGTGAGGAAGTCTGCCAAAGTCGGGAGCAGCACGGTAGAGTAGCCATTCGTGGCTAGGAGGACCTGCCTCGCCTTCAGGGTTCCCCGGGATGTCTTGACCTTCCACCTGTATCCTGATGCTCCGTCGTTCGCGGCTGCTTGGAGTGAGAGCACAGGCGTATGGGTGTAGAGCTCCAGTCCCAACTCGATGCATCTCCGGAGTACGGCGTGCACGAATCTCAGAGGTTGGAGGCTGCCCGCATCCCACGAAGTGCATCCCACCGCCTTCGGTATACGGAGTCTCCTGATCACCTCCTCCTCATCTTCAACCCACTCGACTTCTCCCTCTCCCGTACCCTCACGCAGAAGACCCGTAGCTGCGTAGGCATCCCAGACCCTACGTGCCTTGGCTTTACGAGCGGCAGAGAGGTACACGCCGCACGTCTTACCCTCCCACCACTGACACTCTTCTCCCCAAGTCGTCCCCTTGTCTTGCTTCGTCTTGCGAGTCTCCTCACATTGCATCAATTCTCGCATCAGCTCGAATGTCTCGCGCTCATTACGCAGTACAGCGGCAGCTTGTGTGGCACCAGAGAGAGAGCAGAAGTGCGAGTAGCCGGAAAAGCTGTCGGGTCGACAATGTCCACCGTTACGACCAGTGGCACCGCTACATGCCGATCGGGCCTCGAGGAGGACGGTACGTGGCTGTGCACCCGGGGAACGGGATGTCGTCGCTGGATCGTCGTGCTGTGCTGCACCTGAATCTTCACCGTTTAGGAGGAAGTAGGCTGCGAGGGAGCCAGAAATGCCAGAGCCGATGATGAGGCGGTCGATTACTTCGTCTTTGCACTCTTCTGTAAACAGCAACTCTTTCGCTGTCTTGCCATTCGGCCCAGGGTGAAACCAATCAAACAGGCCAGCTTGCTCCTCTCCCCCGCCCTCGCCATTAGCAGTAGCACCATTCGAGCTGCCAGTCGCACCGTTCAGCGGACTCGAATTTGAGCCAACTTCAGCAGCTTCTGTCTGCCAGTAGGACAGGCTGCTTACAGGCGTCGGGTATCCTATGGGCAGACCGGTGAGCGGGTCGGCCTGGGCATCTTTGTGGAAGCGCGATTGCGGGGCGAAGGGCGATGCTCCTACTGCCAGCTGGACACGGTCGCGGTGGCCGGGGAGTGTTGCTGTGGGGCTCATCTCTGGTAGGTGGTCAGGTATGTCTACACTCGTAGCCCGACCGCAGGAGTCAGAACTTAAGGACCAAAGGCCAGATGGTAGGACGAATAGAGGATGGTAGGGTGGAGCAGCCGAACATTTCGAGGTGCTGTGCACGGACTCTTCCCCATGCTGACACTGCAGGCGTGCATGACGACTCACAATCGTCCCCTGCGTAGTCAGACTAATCTACTGCCCCTCACTATCCCACGGTCGGCAAGACAGGCAAACAGCTGACCACAGTCGCCGAAGTATGTCTGCGACGAGCTTGCATGGACAGATTCAGACGAGCTCGTCAGGCATAAGCAAAATAGAAAGCACACACCGGATTGAATTGGAATTCTGGTGGCATCGAAGACGAAGAAGAAAAAGAAGAAAGGCAGAAGTACAAAAGAAGCAAGAGTCGCAAAGCAAGGGCGAAGAAAGCAGGAAATGAGGTAACAGCGAAAGCAGAAGGACGAAGCGAATGCAGGCGGCAAGCTATTGCTAGCTGTCGGTGTGCGGTAATGAAGGTGTGTGCGACGTGGTGCGCTGGTGATCAGAGAGAGGACGACGCGACCGTCATAGTCGCCCGCCCTCGAAAGAAGAGGTATGCAGTCGCCAATGAAAAGGGGGTGAGGGGGGGAGCTCAATGGGAGGAGAGCGAGCAAAGGACGCTCTACGACTCCCTATCTTGAAGAATGACTAGCAGGGTGCTGATGAAACGGTATGCTTGCTTGCTTGCTTGCTTTCAGGTATGCTTTGTGTGCCTCGGGTCTCATTGTCTCAGGTGCCATCCTGTACTCTCCTCATCCGTCTGCACCCCAGGTCCACGCCCCAAACTACCCCTCCGTCGATTCTCCTGTGGATAGTAGCCCATGGGCTCGTCACCCTCATCGTAGTTGCGTCGGTAACCTCTTCCAGTGCCTTCACTAAAGGACCTCTGCGATTGGGAAGACCTCGATCTATCAAATCCAGACTCCTCGTCGTTGTAACCCCTCTTGCCTCGCTTGCCCAAGCTGAGCGGTCTGCGTGGCCTGTCATCTCCCATCTGCGTCTCGGTCATTTCGGTGACACCTTCGGTATAGCCATCCTCGTCCTCTTCGCGCAGCTCGGTAGCACTGAGAGTACGATCCGAGTAGCGCTCGCTGTCCCCATCTTCACGGTAGGCGGATCCTCGCCGTCCACCACCACGACCGGCTGCGTACCCTGCACCGAGGCCTGCTACACCTGCACCAGCAGTAGGTGCAGAGACTGCACGAGCGCGGTAATTTGTGGGACCATTGTTGGACTCTTGAAGCGCGAGCTGCTGCTTGGCCGATTTCTTCCAGTCAAAGGCTCTCCTGCCCCAGGTGAAGTGGGGCTCATTGAGCGAGTCCTGATCCAGAAAGAGGAAGAGGTACAGACCAAATGTCGTCTCGAAGGCCCAGAGGAGAACCTGTACACCAAAGGTGGCGTAGGCAAGTGGAACGGCCCAATTGATCAGGTCGCAGACGTGGTGGAAGTCTGCAGGCTCCGTGTAGTGAAGATAACCGTCGAATTGACAATTCTCATAGCCTCGCAAATCATTGGCGTACGCGAGGGCACCAGAGACCCACAGCACGCACATTGCGAATTGCAACAGCAGCTCGATCTTGACCATGAAAATGGAGTAGAGGAAGTCACCGTACTTGATGAAGGGCATGAGTGGTAGGAAGATGTTGTAGCCAAAGTAGATGATGGGTGTGAAGAAGCCGAGGAAGATCAAGAAGATGAGGGATCCCCATGAAGGGCGGATGATGGGGTCGTGGGTGTTGTAGTACACGACGACCAGGATACACATGATCGTCGTCGCGAGTGCTAGACCGCACACGAGTGCGGTCAGTAGAAAACGCAAGATCAGGATGAGGTTGGGATTGACCGCCGGGGGCGCCGAGCGCACATCCCTGGCGGGGACGGTGAGCGAGTAACGCTCTGGTAGACCCATGGTCGAGAGGGGGTGGCGCGAATGTGAGCCTCTTTGCCGATGGATGAGAGGAAGTTATGCAGCCTTGAGCGAATTGCCAATAGGCACGCTAGACTTTTCAGTCCACCTCTGAGCAGAAGTCGAGGTAGTGCTGCGACCGTGAAAGGCGCGAAGAGCAGTCAGTCGCGAAGGTTCGCGATCGAGGATGCCGAAGGGTATGTAGTGGATATGGGAGCTCGCCGCGGGTATCACTTGCTGAAAGGCGAGACTGAAGCGTATCGCAGCAACAAGGTCGAAGCTGGATGGGTGGCGGCTGAACGATGGGTATGAGGTAGAGAGGGTGATGAGGGTATCACTTGGCCAGGACGTGAGTGGAAGAGCTAAAGGACAGTGGGGGGGCGGCGAGGAGAGCGGGGGAGAGGCGAGACTCCGCTGCTCGGCGGCTGAGGGCTACGGTGACGAAGGGAGCGGCGGCGGGGAGGAGGCGGTAGGAAGACAGGCAGAGGGGAGCAGCCGAAGGGAGACGCCGTGGAAGCGAAGATGGGGAGGAAAGTGGGGCGGAAGTAGAGTGTCGCAGTGCCTGAGTCACAGGAATACAATGACGCCAATCCTGACGAACATCCGAGGCTGGGGTCCGGGGAACCAGGCGCATGACACTGCTCCAGTGCCGCTCCAGAGGAGATGCAAGTGACCAGTCTCATCTGCCCCGTCGAGCGGAGAAACTTCCTCCAGAGCTGCACGTCCGCGGTGCGACTGCAGAGCTGCCTGACAGCGGCCCCCCTTCGACGCAGGCAGAGGCAAGTGGCTGCGCTGTGGTGCCTCATCGGCTTCAACATCCATTCTGTGCTCCGACATCGGCCTCTGCGACAAGGGCGACAGTCCAATGGGAAAAGAAGAGGCCACACTGTCCCAGAAGCACAGTCGCCCTAAGCGAGAATCAGAGACCCAGACCTCCCTCTTAGACTCCTAACACACAGCAAGCTTCAGTCCCAGCTCCGCTTCAAAAGATTGATACGCTGAAAGGCGAGCAAGCAAGCACAAAGTCAGACAGAAGCCATCACCGCCATCCAGGCTGTAGCCAGCTCTATTTGCATCACTCGGAACAGACTCGAAGCGGCGAGCGGCGTAGAGAGGTCAATTTGACTTGACAGACGGAACAGCGGCTCACAAGTCAACAGAGAAGCTCACGTCGTAGCGATGCAATGCCGATCGACAGAGTCTGGGGCAAGTATTTCCGCCTGAGCACATACCTCCCCGGAATAGTCACGGCCCGTGCCAACCTTTCTTCATGCGGGGGAGCAGGGTTCGCCTTCTTTCTCTACAGCTTGGACTTGCCCTTGCCTGCCTTAACTACGGCCCTGCCGCCGCCAAGACTCTTCTTCCCAGTAGCAACGACCGTCTGTTCAAATGCAAGGACCTTCTCTCCCTGTCCTTCCTCGCCAATGACCCACACGTCGGTCCTCAGCTCATCCCCCGGCTTGACAGGCGAGGTGAAACGTGCGGATACCGACTTGAGCTCTACACCCGATTCGTCTGCTAGACCATCTTGCGGGTCGAGGCTCTTCAGAATCGCTCGCATCGCAATACCGTAGGAGCAGAGACCGTGCAGAATCACACCGCCCAGCCCGCCGCGAGAGCCAATGGAGGGATCAATGTGAAGAGGGTTGTAGTCTCCGCTCAGACGGTATAGCACGGCCTGCAACCCGGAGGTCTGTGTCGTCTGTGAATAGTCTGGCGAGCGATCTTTCGGTGGCGAGGCTGTGGGCGGCTTGGAGACGATGGACTTGGAGAAGTTGGTACCTTGTCCGCCGCCGCGGTAGAAGGATGACTATGAAGATGAGCGCGACGATGGAAGGGAGCCAGAGTGCAGGGGTCAGCAGATGAACATCTCGCAAAACTGAGAGCTCTTCCACCACTCACACCAATCATGGTCGCTACAAGCTTTCCGCTAGGGTCAACAAGCTTCGCTTCCGTCTCCATGATCAGGCCGCTCTTCTTGTCGTGGACGGCTGTGACGACGCAGAGAGAAAGGAGTGCATACATTCACTTCAGTCTTTGAGATCACTTTCATAGGCATGCACACCACTGCGAGTTCTTCACTCACCAGAGACTCGCTTCTGCAACTTCCAGCCGTCTCCAGAGCTGGTGGGAATGGGGGCGTGCAGCTCAAGCGACTGCTCTGCGTGTACGATGGTATTGGGATCGAGCTGGGGGGACAGGCCAAGGCAGAGATGCAGAGTCAGCGATGCGATTCGGCAAAAGTCTTCTTCTTTGGCGGCGACGGTGGTGTCAGCCCTACTCACCGCCGGGAACCCATCTACCGCTCCTCTCCCAGCCACCATCTGAGCAAAGTCATTGACCTCTGACGTGGCGCCCTTCAGGGGCAGCACAAGGGGGTACGAAGGGATCACTCGGAATGCCTTTGACTTCTCGTACAGGTAGTTCAGCTCTTCCTCTGGCTTACCTCCCGAGGTGGAAGATGCAGAGAAGGGGTAGAGGGAGACATTGTAGAGGAGACAGTCCCGCTTCTGCCAGGAGACGGGCTGATCGCCCAGGTCGAAGCCTACAGACTTGCTAAAGTCGACAGAGGGAGCCATGACAGATGGTCTCAAAGTCTGTGATGCGAAGTGATGTGTAGAAAATGAGGAGTGACGTCGCGTAAGACTAGGACAGTGGGACTGGCGATGCAGGGTGTTGAGGCGTGACCGGTTTACCTACCCCGGCTTCATCTTCTCGGCTAGCTCAAACGGGGCCGTGCATCCCGGAGCCCCGGACAAAGCAATCCCTTGGTTCCGTTCCGACTGGGAATCGGAGATTCTCCGTGCCATGCACTGACCCTCGTACTTTTCTATGGTTGCAGCCCAGAAATCAGCCTTTATCTGTCCGGACGCCTGCCTATACTCTTGACCTGGGCGGACCACATCGAGATGTCACGATTGACACAAGCAGCCTATCAGTGTGTCCCAGGCGGGCCACTCGACATAGATCGCTCCCTCTACGATCGCATCGGAGCGGCTGAGAAGACGCTGGAGTATGGCTTTGTTCTGCCTATCCGGAGCGGGAAGGCCTGGAAGTTGAAGGCAGGCCAGATCTGTAGGATCGTGGCTGTTGAGGGGGCGCAAGTGTGAGTGATCGGTCGTGATACCAGTCTAGAGAGCATGAGCAGCGAAGCTGAGGCCTGTGTCGAGTCTGTCTCTTTCGCAGGGGAGACCTCAACCTTTGGTCATTGGCCAACCCGCGCGAACGGTTCTGGGCCGCACGCACACGGCAGCTCCAGCGAGCTCACGTATCCATCTATGACCGGCTATGGAGCTGTCTTCCTTACTTACGGCCGCTGTGTACAATCACTGGTGACTCACTCGCTGACTTTGGTTCAGGAGGCAATGGCAAGGGAGGAGGCGTGGATGCTGAGGGTGGGAGAGTACATGACTTGCTAGGGACGGTGAGTCAGAATTAAGCCTCCCTGGACGCTATCCATCTCCTAGCTGATTCCAATTGTGCCTTTGGCGGCTCTCATAGCGCTGTGACCCCTACGTGAACCGCATGCTCACCGGGCAAGACTTCGACTACCATTGTCACTCCAATCTAGTCCGTGCTATCCTCCCTCACGGACTGCACGAATCCGACGTGCACGACGTCCTCAATGTCTTCCAATGTACCGGGCTCAACTCATCCGACCAGTACTTCATGAAGACTTGTCCGGCCAAAAAGGGAGATTACTTTGAGTTTTTCGCAGAAGTGGACCTACTGTGTGCACTGAGCACTTGTCCCGGTGGAGACCTCAGTAAGGCTATGTGGGGCGAGTCAGCGAACGGTGCTGCTGAAGGGGAGGATGACCCTACGCTGGAGTGTTGCCGGCCTTTAGGGGTGGAGGTATATGATCTAAAGGACCGCGAGGAGGTCTTGAACGGCTGGACCTCCCCTACACCGTTCGGGGAGCTGTACAAGGGCGGGCATGGCATGCACGAGAAGAAGTGGGAAAGCAAGTAGGGAACACAGGGACACCGACGAGGTCCAGTGGGTACTTAGTGATAGATGCAGTTGCATAGTAATACATGATGTCCGACTTTCCTTGTGCCGTTGTATACGGCTTACATGGATCAAATTATCCCCTTCCGCTCCTCTTGAGCTCCATCTCACCGTGGTAGTACCAGCCGACAGTGGTGCTGGCCGTCTCTACATCTTCTTCCACGGCCGGGTCACCGAAGCCGTCCACTTCCCATCGGCCTTTGGTAAGATATTGCTCTTGACGCTTGCAAAATGTGGCCTCACTAGCGGTATGGTCATGCTTTTCCACGTCTCTCTTCCCGTCTCGGCTAGTCGTATCACCCAGGGATACCCTGGCGTCGAATTCCCAGAGTCTCCCAGCGCCAGCGCCGAGAAGTCTGCCATGCTCTCCCACTACGCTGTACGTGGGGAAGTCAGCCGGAGGGGAAGGCGGGTACATGCTCGATCCTTCTCTAGGCGCGGGTCGGCGTATCGCTAGCCCATTCTCCTCCCTTCCTTGTCCTTGATCCCATGCTATGGCAGTCTGATTCTGAGCGCCCCCTTGCGCGTCTGTATCCATCTGAAATAGCTTGACAATACCATGTCTAGCGGTTCCAATGGCGAAGCTGCGGCTCTTGCTGCCCACGCCTAGCACGATCGAGTAGACCGGCGAAGGATCGTAACGGTCCGTATATCTCTGCACTGGCAGCAATATGCTAGCAGGGCTGGTTCTGGAGCTGTTAGCGGCCGCTCTGGCTGACGTTCCGTTGCTTTGTTTCTCCAACTGACGCAGGTCCCACAGTCGCACGAGGCCGTCGTAGCAGCCTGCGAAGAGGAGGTGCGGTGGAAAGCTCGGATTGTCCGAGCAATTGGACGAGGCAATAGCATAGACGCTCATCACCTGAGGGTTGCGAGAGGAGGACATTCGCAGAGACGTATATGGAGGCTCAGACCGAGCGCCACACAACGCTAGGAGGTAGGAAGCGGTATAAATCTGGTTGAACCGTGCTTCAGTCAGCAGACAGATCGTCAACAAGTAGCCGTCTCTGCTGAACTCACTCTGAGAAACTCAATACCCTGACAGCCCAATACGAGCCATGGGGACGATCCTTCTTGTGTGACACCCAGATGAAGAGACCAGGGTCTTGCATCGATACTCCAGCTGGAGAGGAGCCGGAACCCGTCACCAACATCCCGCGAAGGCCCCGTGCCATCTACTTCCTCCTCTGGATGGTCTGACGAAGTGAAGTCTTCTCTGCACAGCGAGCTCTTGATGAGTTCGAAGACGACGACTTCGCCGCCCTTCCAGGCTATTGCGATCAGATCATGAGAAGTGAGATAGGAAATCGCCTGGACGGAGCTTGCAGACGCGCTTTCGGGTTGGTACGATGCAAGTAGACGTGGAGTAAGACCCTTTGGCGAAGTAAGGACTTCCCACTGCCACAATTCCAGCTTTCCGTCGACTCTTCCAATGAGGATCCAGTGTCCGTCGTCGATGAGCTCCATTGCACTGATGTCCTCCCACGCCGTTGGGGACTCTTTCGTGTGATCTCCTAGCAGGGTCACCACTTTTGGCTGATCTTCTTTGATGCCCTTCTTTGACTGCAAAAGCCGAGTAGGCCAGAAGCAGAGGCTGGACTTCAGCGCCATGATGAGGCCTCTTGTACACAGCCGCAAGATGGGCATGGCTTGATTTTGGCGTGAGAGCGCTTGGTAGGACATGTGCGGACGTCCCCGACCTCGTGAACTATTGCCCCAACCCGACTTGTTCTCAGCACCGTGGTTCTGCCCGTTGACTCCTGTGAGGCCGAGTGGTGCAGGGAGATCGACAAAGTGTATCTGCCTGGCGAGGAAGGTCTTGCGTTGCCATGCCCGATCGATGCCTAGCAGAGCCTTAGCCGCTTCACGGCCGTTCGCATCTACCCTTACGTCGCCTTTGAGTATCTGTTTGCGTCTAGCCGCTGGACTGTGTGCGAGCCAAGCAGACCAGCCATGTAGATCCACCGCTGTATGTAGCGGCTTCGAGACGAGGGAGAGGGAGGTGAGGTCGGACAGGCACAGGTGGAGGAGAGTCTGAGTGAGGAGCTCTGGAGGCAGAGACGCTAACGTCGGAGCAGGGTCGCTTGTCGCAGGCGTCTGGGCATGTATGCTGCCATTGCCTCTCGAGCTCGCCGGCATGATGCCGTGGGCCGAGCACAAAGGTAATGGAAAGCTGAAGTGGGTTAGGAAGGACAAGTGCGAAGCGGGACCATGACTCTATGCGCCCCGCCGCGGCCCCTGCCCCTTCCTTTCCGGCCCGCGTGTTTCCCTTTCCGCTCCCGGAAGCGATGGATGTAGCCCCTTTCTCCTTGATCTTCTTGACCACCTCAGAGATGCTTTGGCCTCGTTCGCGGGGTCTCTGAGTCCTGAAGGTGCTTTCGAACCTCGTATTACCGTGCTGCCAGTCATGCAGCATCCTTGTGATACGGGTCCAGGACATCTCTAATGACCATGTGCTACTGACGACCTTTACGAAGCAGAATATCCTAACGCCTTCATGCGTTAAGCATGCACTACCCCTAAGTCACCTTTACGAAGTCAACGATACCCGCACCCGAAAGGCAACAGACCATGAATTCCTCACGATACCCTTCAAATATACCGCTTGATCACACAGAGATTGCCCTCTCCGATATCGAAGATGACTCTCCCGTGGTACGAGCTGCTATCACGAACCTCCAGAAGCGCACAAACCAGCTACAGAAGCTCAGCAAGGCAGTTCTACACTCTGTGACAGGGGTCAAAGAAGCTCTGGACAGCCTGAACTTCAAGGAAGCATGCTTAGATGCCTCGCTTGCCGATTTAGCTACTCTTCTCCCCGCCTTTGGGGAGACCGCTTTACCTCCCCTGCTGGCCCGCAGACGCGCCCTCGCAGGTTCGCGTAAGCAAGAGAAAGCAGAACTGAGCAGGAACCTCGAAAGACCACTGAAGACGATCTCAGATCAGTGCAAGCTCGTGCTCTCAAAACAGATGCGATACGAGCTTCAAAGCAAGAGTTACTACTCTGCTACGCACAGATGGCTCGGCGAAGGAGCCATTTCAAGTGCAGCGTTGTCTTCGGGCTCCTCTCCATCTCGCGATGCCAGTAGGATAGACTCGTCCTCACAAAGCCAACTGAACTTCTCTGTCAGTCATCCCGAGGAGCAGCGCGTTCGAGAACTCCGCTTCTTGCTCACGCGCTTGGACCTGTACGATCAGTTGTTGCAACTTCATGGAGGCGAAGCAGAGCTGTCGTTGGTTCTGCCTGCAGCGAACAATGGCAATGCATATTCAGAATCGATTGCAGAGTCCATGAATGGTCTGTTTGCTGCAGAAAAGGACAAGGTGGAGAACCGCAAGTCAGCCTGTCGACATCGGATCGCCAATGTCAAGGACGAATTGCGCCTGAGTGATGCTGTGATACAGGATCTTGCTCCAGGTGGGAAAGAATTTGACGATCTGTTAGCGTCTAGCAAACAAGCGCAGCCCAAGTCGCCGCCGGCGGCGGCAAAGTTTCTTAGCGCGCTACCAGCAATACCACGTCGACATTCAGCACGGCCCGCACCAGGTAGTCAAGAGCAGGCAAGGGGACAAGTGCGATCGACGCCACCTTCTCCTTCCTCTCCTGGCTTTATGAAGCCCTTGTCAAATGCTTTGCAGCGATTTAAATCCGGTCACACGGCTTCTAGTAGCAGTCTGGAAAATGGCGACGGTTTGCTCGACAACGCATCATCAACGAGTGCAGAAAGAGCATCGATCACAAGCAGGCGACTTTCTTTCAACCGCTTGCCCTCGGACTCGAGAAGTTATTGGCCTCCCAGGCGATCCGTTAGTCTCAAGAGAGGAAGCGATATGATCCCGGGGACATCCAGCAGCAGTGATGCCTACGTAGCATTAATGCCGCGAGAAGGTGCTTCTACCCCGACATCGCCTTCGCTTGTGAGGAACCAACCCTTCCAGTCTCCCACTACTGGAAGCGTGGAAGACCATTTTCACTGGCGTAGGACTTCCTTCCAAGGCTTCGCCTCCAAAACACCATCCCCGAGGCCACATGCCAACGCGCTGTCACTATCAGCTACGCACGATGCAGCTTGGTCTCATATGCCTAGTCTAACGTCTCCATCCCCGCCGTCTCGACCGCCACCTTCGCCTTCTGCCGATATGAGCAGATCGGTTTCCTCACCTGCACGGAAGAAGGAAGGTACTCTATGGGTGATGGGCAAGCAAGTCACCTCCGATTTTAGCTCGGAAGCGCCTCGATCGGCGAAGAAGTCTTCCTTGTGGAGTGAAGCCTGGGTGGTCCTCTCTGGCTCGGGTCATCTGTCCGAACACACGGGCTGGCGGGGGAAAAAGACCATTATGACTCCTACGCAGCCAATGATCGACTTACAATTCGCCACAGTACGGGAGACTCGAGCTGTAGAACGGAAGTTTGTCTTTGAGGTGGTGACACGACACGGACGGCGACTGTATCAAGCTTCGACAGAGAGTGGGATGCAAGAGTGGATCAAGGCCATCTCCAATGCGATTGAAAGCTTGTGCAATGGAACCAGCAGTATCCGACAGGTGGACAAGGTCGCACGAACGGAAGGTCTTGCACTAGCCGCAACAGAGGCATCCTTCAAGGGACTGATTGGGAGTCCGCGATGGTCTGAGAACCTGAGCGAACTGGGCATAATCAGTCCGAGCAAGCTTTTTGGTAACGGCAAAGAGCAGAGAAGATTGCGTAGCTCGGCAGCCTTCGACGATGGCGCAACCTCGACAGGCAGCGACATTGAAGTCATGGCAGAGACCTCATCCTCCGGAATCTCAAACAAGACGCCTCTCTCACAATATGTGCCGAGCTCCAGGCGCGAATCCGGTGTACGTTCAAAGCTGAAGCATAGTACGAACGACGATGCAGCAATTGACCTACGTATCGAGGCTGCAGTACACTCAAGCTTTGGATCTGGCAGCAAATATAGCGGTGGCCCACAGTCTGCTCCATGCTCGTCTTCGAAGAGGTTTTCCCTAGATGTTCCAACATCAGACTGGCATCGGCAGACAAGTTCTGCTTCTCATGCGCGTACACAATCCGCGGTGTCAGAGTATAATGATGGCAGCCGGCCACCCTCAGTGCGACGCGCCTTGGCACAAGAGATCGATTGTCTTTCGCGCTTACCAGTCAACTCACTGTGTGCAGACTGCCGGAAGCCCAACCCGCGGTGGGCATCGTGGTCCTTGTGCGAGTCCACATGCTGTGTCTTTGTCTGCATTACTTGTGCAGGCATGCATCGCTCGCTGGGCGTGCACCTCTCCAAGGTCAAGAGCGTCGACCTGGACGACTGGACGGAGGAACAAGTGGACAATGCCAGGCAGTGGAACAATGTGAAAGCCAACGCTATCTGGGAAGAGCTGAGGAAGATCGGGTCGAGCTCCGAGCTTCGCAATGCCACATCGGTACAGGCTCCGAGAAAGGGCGAAAAGGACTTGTGGAATGTGAAATACGTACAACAGGCTTGGAGGACAGAACCCTTTGGGCCCTTGGACCCTAGCCGAGGGTAAAGTCGGATTCACAGACGATGGATCGTCGCTCCAATCAATCGCTTGAATTGCTCTAATCTGCTCAGAATGTCGCTGTAATGGATACCCTTACCTTCACCCTCGCGTGGCATCCGAGCTTCGACGAACGAAGGAACGAGTCGGCTGATTGTACCGACCTGGAATTTGTCCTGCAGCAGTCGTGGTCTTGGCGCGCGGGGGACCAAGCCACCCCTACGCGCCGCCCAGGTGATGGTCCACACGCCGCCTCTGCTGCTGCCAGAAGACTATGCCTGGTGCTGCACACGCTTCACCTTTACCCTGATACTGCACCTCTCCAGCTCTACCCCGCTGCCGTGCCTCCGTGCCTCCTTCTGAGCTTGGATCTCAGTTGGGCTTCCGCCTCAGCCAGAGCTCAGCTGCATCTGGCCCGGCTGCATTAGCCTGCGGGATTGTTTGGGCCTGGCATGAAGCGGCACCGAAGCCTGGGCGGAGAATCAAAGGTGATATGCGAGCCTACAGCGGATTCACTGTGGCTCGAATGCTGGTGGAGTCAAAGCTTAGAAGTCCTAATCACCTTCACGCTTCTTGAGCTTACATCTACTTCGGACCACTTTGTGTTTGAGATGTTCCATCCAGAAGACCATTCTCACCTCGTCGCCGCACGGCTACCAATGCTGAAGCGAGCACTGGGCGCTCATCGGTCCGTAGCCTCCCTCGCTTCCACTCTTTTGCCATTCTATTAGAGCGCTTCAGTCTCCATCTGCACCGTCCCTGTGCTTGCATCTATTCCGAGGTGCGGGGCAGCAAGGGTCTCAGCACAATGGGCCACTCCTCGACTACTGGGACAGATCTCACCATCGGGAGCTCATGGCGCCACTACAAGAGACTCACTCAATGAATATTACTCACTACCTTCTTCCCCACTGATCTCCCTACCTCTACCCCGTCCCCGCATTGTCTGCTATATCTGTGTCGATCCCCCCACACTCGTTTCATTCACTTCGTTGACCCCACTCATTGATACCATAAAGTAAGCTAGCATTCCGTCTCTGCCCCACACTCATTGACCGATCCAGATAGACGGTAATCCCACCCGCGTACGCCTCAAGAGTCGTTGCGTCCCAAGTAATCTTGTCCGCAGACAAAGTCCCGAAGCGGTACTCTCTACCAGAGACCTTCAACCTGTAGGCTTCCAGCGCTCCAACGGGAGACTTCGCTCTCTTCGACTCGACAGCCAAGAGCTCTTGGCGCCATGAGCTCAAGCTCCAAGACCTCCGCGCCCAAGCGGTCAGCTCCTCCTGCGTCCGCCTCATGGTCCCGGCCTCGAGTGCTACTGCTTGTATGCTGTCTTATATCAGCTCTACAGCTCGCAAGCGCTGCAATGGCTCTCACGCCAGGGCCGCAAGTGCAGAGCTCCCTTGCTTCTGCCACCGCTTACCCTCTGCCATCAGTGGGGAGCATAGAGGCCGCAAAGCTAGCATCGCCTCCGGAGCAGAGGAGAGGACTGGCACGAGCAGAGTCTGCACCCCAAAACGGACGGAGATACGCCGAAGTGGACAGTCCTGAGCCTTTTGCCGTGCTTGGAAAGCGAGCTACGGCGGCAAAGAAGAAGACAACTTCGAGCAAGAGGAAGACGACTTCCAGTAAGAGAAAGACGACTTCCAGTAAGAAGAAGACCACTTCGAGCACGAAGAGGACGACGTCCAGCAGCAAAGGCAAGACTACCTCGAGTACGAAGAAGGTAAGCTCTAGCACGAGTAGCAAGAAGTCAACGTCTACCGCTTCCTCAAAGACTACCACTAGTACCAGCCGGACAACGACGAAGCCGACCTCTACAACCACGAAAACGACAACAACCACACCTGCCTCCACTGCTACCCTATCGTCCTCCAATCTACATCTGCTAGTGCAAAACAACCTCGACTGGGCCACTCTCGATGAGCATCCCGGCTTCCTTCTATCAGAGGCACTCTCGGACTACTCAACGGCCTCGATTGCATGTGCCGGCCTCGCAGAGACGCTGGCAAGCCCCGGCAGTGCCAATGTAGATCTTCAGAAGCAGCTCTCCTACCTCCTCTACAAGGGCGTACTCAGCAGTGGGCAGTCCATCTGGACCAGTGACTCGCAGCTACTGACCCTGATTGGAACAGATGGGAGCTACACACTATCTGCAGCAGTCTCCAAGAGTGCACAGTACGCTGTTCTCTGCACTCAGAGCGCTCCACGTAAAACTGCCTACACTACCGACACTTCGAGCAATTGGGACGTCCGAGTGAAGACACCTGCAGGAAGCGTCGTCACTGGCTATCGAGATGGTCTCTCGTTCCGCTTCCACGCGATTCCGTACGCAAGTACGCCTGTGCGTTTCACGTACTCTACTGCAGACACATCAGCACGGGTTATCAACGCCACCGTCGCGGGAACAAGCAAGCAATGTCCGCAGAACTCGGGTACATATACCGAAAATTGCCTGGTTCTCAGCATCTGGACAACATATCTGCCTAGTGCTTCTGCAAACGCAAGCAGTTTGATCAACAGCGTAGGCATAAGCAACGGCACTAATAGCAGTACCAATACAAGCGCAACAGATGCCCCGTCGTCTACCACTGATACCACTACAGAGGCGTCTGGTCCTACTGACACCAATGGCGCCCCGGCAGAGACTGCTACGACCCCCACCGACCCTGATGAGGGCAGCACTCTGGAGTCACGGCACATGCTTCAAACTCGCGCCACTGATCAGGGCCTCCGACCCATCATGGTGTGGGTGCATGGCGGAGGAAACGTAGCAGGCACTGGACTGGACCCTACTTTCGACGGAGGACAATTGGCATCACGAGGTGATGTGGTTGTCGTGAACATCAACTACCGACTGGGCACACTAGGCACTTTGCCCATCAGTGACGACCTGACCGGCAATTATGGTCTACAGGACATCGTCACTGCTCTGAAGTGGCTGAAGACCAACGCTGCCACATTCGGCGGTGACGCTTCCTCGATCACCCTCTTCGGCCAGTCGTCCGGCGCCAACCTGATCCAGATCTTGCTCGGCAATCCCTCAGCGACTGGTCTTTTCCACAAGGTCATCATCCAATCGGGCAAGCCTGCCGACAGCTACAACGGTGCTCTAGCTTCTGACACGTCCGAGACCAAAGCAGCTGCGACGCTTAGCGATCTCGGATGCACAAAGTCGACGACGGCTGCGACCCTGGCTTGTCTCCGTGCCCTGCCTGTCAGCAACTTCCTATCCGGCACCGTTTACTCTCAGACGACAGTTGACTCCAAGTTCGTCCCACAGAGAGCTTATGCACTCAATGGACATGGGCACACCACCAACAGGGTCCCGGTGCTGATGGGCTTCATGCGTGATGAGATGGCTTCGTGAGTACGCGAGAAGTTGTGTCCACCGCCCTCTTCTAGCCCCTTTACTGACATTAGATACCCACTCCATCCCGATCGCAGGCTCGGCTACGTTCCTCCCAAGTCGGTGGTCAATCTCAGTACAGCCATGACCAACGCCGGCATCGTCAAACGCACGCGCCAGATTGTTCTCGACAATCCAGACGTCTTCCCCAAAAGCATTCCCAATGGCGTCCAGAATCTGACTGTACAGGTGGAGAGCTACAACAGTACTGGATCCCGTTGCGGTATACCAGCGACTGCTTATGCCGCCGTACGCTCTGGAGCCTTCCCTAATGTCTGGGTGTACACGCAGGACCAACGCTCGTACCAGATTCCAAACTACGACCCGTATGGAGTATGCCAGCCCTCCACAGGCTCTATGGCAGGCAACTCGAGCGCCTACTACTTCTGTCACTCGGGAGACCTCCTCTCCACTTTTGCCAACCCCATGTACGAATTTGGCATGGGAGATCGTGATGGGGAGGACTTGGACTGGATTCGCAACGTGGTAGACCAGTGGACTGCCTTTGCCCACAACTCCGACCCCAATCCGACGGATGCCTACCGTTCTGCCCGGGGGTACTCGGCCGTGCAGGGAGACCCTTGGCCCAAGCTCAGCACTTCTTCGGGAGCTGCCGCGAGCAGGATGATCAGCCTTGGACCCGAGCAGGTGGATATCCCCTTGGTGTATAGTCCAGAGCAGTGTGATATTCTCGGCAACGGCATCGAGTACATCTACAAGGGCGGAGAGACTGGAGACGATGATGGCTCTGATTAGAGCCTCTCACATTCTTCGCGGCAGCATTGCCCTCCCAAAAGATGCAAGCCCCGCAGTATTCCGTCGTTCAAGGCTCATAGCATCGTTTCATTTTGCAACGTTACTCTCTTCGTCCGCCCCGAATCTGGATCTTTCCCACGTACCGCTCGGCCTGTATACTTTATCCATGACTCCCCGTACTTCGTTTCAATATACCCTGTGCGTTCCTTGTGTCGCTCCTGTCACAGTGACAACCATTTTGAGTGAATGAGTCTGATCGAGCATAGGAAGTTGAGATTTGATGGGAGAGGAGGGGCACTCGCGCCGCTTGGGATGCGTGCTCGGAACGGAAGGAAGCGTGATTTTGAGCTCTTTCCGCTTCTGCCTTGGTTGAGGGTAGTGAGTGTACTTCTTCCTAGCTGTCTTCCTGCCATTCACAAACTCTCTTTTCCGAACCATTGCTGATTATTGTGACAAAGACAAGGCCAAAGTAGCCTGTTCTGGGAGACCTCGAGATATCAGCAACAACCGGATCTTCTCAAGTCGGCTGGTCGCTCGTAGGCAGCCTTCACCATGGACCCCTCCTCCTCTTCACCCTACGCCTTCCTTCCTCATGCCTCGCTAACCTCAGACGCAGCAGCCTTTCGCTCTCCCTCCTCCTCTTCCTCCCTCTCCCTTTCCCGCGCTGCTCAACCCTTCAACAATGCTAATGGTGGCGCACCTAAGCCGTCGCGTGCAAACTACATCACACAGCTAGCCTCTCTGTCCCCTTCGAGACTTCTTGCGCTCACTTCGGCTGGAGTGCAAGTGGTGGACAAGGAAAGATCACTAAGTCTTGGACTGGTGCCGCATTCAGATGGAGATGCCACGGCTGTGGCGACCATGTCTGCTCCAGGAGGCGGTAGTGGAGGAGGCATGTGGGGCGTGACGGATCGGAAGGGAAAGTGTAGGGTTTATGATGCGAGGGGAGGAGGAGGAAATGGGCTTGGGATGGCGATGAGTATTGACTGTGAGTACATATGACAGAGAGGCCGGGTTTCAGCCATTGTGGGGCGCTGACAGTTCGCTCTCTTGTTGTCCTTGGTACTTGCAACCGCCCCTTCCCTTATAGCTCCAACGCCATCACCACTCCTCTCCCTCGCATTCTCGTCTTCGTCCTCCTCGGCTGCACCTCTGCTTGCCCTCGGTCACGAGCTGCACTCGATAGATGCACCGGTGTACGTCTACGATCTGCGCAACCTCGCCGCTCCCCTCTTCACATACGACCAATCCCACTCGGACGATGTGACGTCTCTGCAATTCCGGACTGCAGGAGAGCAAAGCGGGGAAGAGGGGGAGCAACTCCTCCTCAGTGCCTCTACAGACGGATTGTTGACGGTGTATGACCTTCAAAAGGGCGGAGATGAGGACGACGCTGTCTTATCTGCTTCAAATACAGGCGCATCGATTGCTCGCGCTGGATGGGGCGGTGTTCCACCTGGCGTGGGGGTGAAGCGTGGGCAAGTGAAACCCAGTGATGATGACGATGGGCAGACTGGTGCGAGTGGGATGGACGTCGATGGCGGTACAAAAGGAACAGCGGAGATGTACAGGGGACTGGGCGCCGTCTGGGCCGTGAGCGATATGCAGACGGTGGGGCTTTGGGATTCCGAGTCGGTGAGTACCTTGGCATACGGGCATGGAGCTCGATCATCAATTCACTGACAGACTCTTATCTCTTGCTTTCTTCGTCCCCGCCTGCTTGCCCAGACGGATCCTCTGCTGCCGCCTCTGTCAGTGCTGCCGCTATCGACCTCCCTTCCTGCTACCTCACCCTGGGGTCCCACGTACCGGTATCAGCCAGACTACATCATCGACTGCTCTCCCTCGCATCCTCTTCATACCTCCCTCGGAAGCAATGGAAGCCGTCAAGATGGTCTCTCCCTCTTCACAGGCAGTCAATCCGGCGCCTTTTCCCTCGTGCAAGTCCCCTCTCCAGCTCCCTTCCCAGGTTCAGAAGGGAATTACGATGCAGATGCCCACCTGCGCACGGTATGCGCGCAGCCCTGGACCCTCACGCATCTCTTCCCCGGTGAAGCAGACAGCGCGAGGGGTGGTCACAGCGATATTGTGCGCTGTGTAGAGTACGAGGCTGGGAGCGCCTCGCAGCCTGCGCTCCTCTGGTCGGGTGGGGAGGACGGTAAGCTCGTTGTTTGGCGTGTGGGAGAAGGAGAGGAGGAAAGTGGGCCAGGAATCGGCTTCGTGGGAGCTACAGGTGTAGGTGGTGACAACCTGGGCGTAGGAATGGGCAGTGGGATGAAGGCAAGCGTGATGGATGAGGTGAGCTTTGCTGGTAATTCGGCGGGAGCGGCAGGAAGGAGGAGCGGCTTTTCGCCCGGACTGAGAGGTGGAAGCGGGGCAGCTGGTGGAGGAGGCAGGTATCGTCCCTACGGATGACGATACTTTACATTAGAACTCAATCGCACATTGCTAGATTGTCACCATGACCACCATCGCCCTTGTCCATAGCCTTCGCTGCAATGCAATCCATCCGCCGGATCATTCCAGGCCACGTGGTTCCTCGCCTCGCCCGAGGGAAATTTGGCGGAGCAATGGGTGCGGTGTTGGACCTCCGCCCGCCCGCCTGCGTATTTTGTTGCACTCTCCCCCCCCTTCCTCACTTCCGTATCCACAAATTGGAACCTCTGCCTCGTACGACATCTTCTGAGCAACAAAGTTCAATCGAGGGAGCTATTTGAATAGGTAGATTGCTAGACAGATCGGTTGACAGACAGACAGACAAAAGGAAAGACAGACAGAGAGACGATTATGGGTAACGGCGCAAGGTGAGCATTGAGCATACCGGCCAGATCCAGGCCAGCCAGCGTAGAGAAGCATTGTGGCAAGGTCGACAGGACCTTTTTCCGCCCTGGTAGAGAGCGAGAGCATTATAGAGGACCAAGAACTGACCACTTTCCTGTACATCCTTCATCTTGGCTTGCGATAGAGCTCAGCAGAAGCGGGATCGTAATGCAAAGGACGCCAAGAAGGGCCCTTCCTCGCAGCTCAAGGTGAACCGTGAGTGTCCCCTACGTCGAGACAAGAGCAGCAGGAGCAGGAGCAGGAGCAGCAATACCAGCTCAAAAGCTGGCAAGTTTGAAAGGTTGCTAGGCAGAGGAGCTCGGGCTGACCAGGACTTCTGTTACACCCTCCTCCCTTGCCCCGCTCGACAGAGGCGGCATGTAACGTAAAGTGCACCGTCTGTATGCAGACTTTCCTGCAGACTGTCAGGGAACCAGCAGTGAGTATCTCATCTTCTCCCAGCCCTCCCGCTATCGGCCCCTTTCCCCTCCTTAGATCTAATACTGACCCACCCTTCTTCTTCTTCCCCCTTCCTTGGTTCACTTGGTACCCCCCTCTCCCCAATCAGCTCAAGGAGCACGCAGAGAACAAGCACAGCAAGACCATCCAGGACTGTTTCCCTGGATTTGCCGTTGCCGCTTGAGCCTCTCCTCTCTCTCGCATACACACACACACACACAGCTCCTCTCTCTCTCTTTCTCTTTCCTGTCCTGGTCAATACCGGGCTTTGGATTCCCTTGTTCCCGCTAGATTCCCCCCCCCCCCCCCCCCCCCCC